ACAAACACAAAAAAAAATATTAAAAAAAAAAATTCAATAAAAAATATATATTTTGATGAAAAATATAAATCATATAAAAATAACTAATATAATATAAAATAAATCAATAATAAAGAAATTGCAATCTAGATTAATAAAGTTATAAACCTGGAAAAGAAATATCCAATGGAAATAAAAAAAAAAAAAAAAAAACACTGTACGAGAGCAGATAACGATAGAAACTTATTAAAGGAAATGTAATCTCGAGTCTACGAAAAATAAAGAAGAACGTAAAATTTGAAAAATGATAAGAGAGCCAAAAGAAAGTGGAACGGAAGAAATAAAAAATAATAGCGAAGATAAAAGTAGAAAAAAAAACGATAATTTACATTTAAACACTAATAACATATTAGTAAAAAAGAGAGAAAGAGAGAGAATAATACAATTCAGGATCTTAAAATATTTTTTAATGATAGAACATTAAAAATAATATAACGAAATATGTGTCATTTAAATAAATTTTAATGATTGTATAATTATAATTCAAATTTATACCAATATGCAAAAATCCAAAAAAAGTCAATGAAATCCAAAAAATATTATGAAAATTCATAAACGAAAATGAATGAAGAAAAAAAAAACTAAATGAACGCACAGTAAACTTGGTTGTATCTTTTTCTATTGCAACGTTTTGATGCACATAAGTTATATCAAAAAGAGATCGTTTTGTGTATCATTTTTAGAAATGATACACAAAACGGTCTCATTTTTTGATGCAAAAAATTTAATCAATTTATATCAATCATGGCCGAATTGAATCGACTCAAAATTAAACGAAGTTTTTTCAGATATTTTGGTAATAGTACAATTGCGGAGACCATTTCACTATTTAATTTGAAAATGAAAATAACAGAAAATCAAAGACAATGTGCAATTCGATAATTAAAAAGTGACAGCTTATAAACATAACCTAAAATGCATGAGAAAAAAATTGTCGATAAAATCAATATAGCCGAGCTTTTTAGAAGGTAGATGGCAGTTTTGCTTTTTATAAAAACGATTCAGAAAAAATTTAAAGAAAGAAAATAGATGAGTGCTGCCATCTACCCTCTAAAAAGCTCGGCTATATTGATTTTATCGACAATTTTTTTCTCATGCATTTTAGGTTATGTTTATAAGCTGTCACTTTTTAATTATCGAATTGCACATTGTCTTTGATTTTCTGTTATTTTCATTTTCAAATTAAATAGTGAAATGGTCTCCGCAAATGTACTATTACCAAAATATCTGAAAAAAATTCGTTTAATTTTGAGTGGATTCAATTCGGCCATGATTGATATAAATTGATTAAATTTTTTGCATCAAAAAATGAGACCGTTTCGTGTATCATTTCTAAAAATGATACACAAAACGATCTCTTTTTGATATAACTTATGTGCATCAAAACGTTGCAAAGATTTGATGCAATTTTTGGTCTCAATTTGATACTTTTAGGAAAACTGTGACAAAAAATTTCGTAGATTTTTGTGAAGAAAACAATTTATGAAAAAAATAATACGCTTCTATAAAAAATTGCAAAATAATTATCTAGCAAGGCACGGCAAAACATGGACCATAAAAGTGCATATCATGAAAGTAGTGCGATGTGTGTATTATTCATTGTTTCGTGTCCTCCGAACGTTCTATAACGCAACGTCGAGAATATCCCTTATTGTTACACACGCGGTTTCAGTTGACGTTTATATATATATGACGAGAAAATTGCGAGGGACCAACTAATTCCACCCCCTCGATCTTCCTAGTCGTGCGTCTCTTCCATGAAAAAAAAAATTACCACTCCAACTTTTTTTTTTTACCCCACAATGTACTTTCAATGGACATACATTTTTTTTTTTTTTTTTTTTTTTTTGATGGACATTGCATTCGATCCCTCAGAAAAAAATGATTTCATGTCACATAAAAATAGTAGACAAGACCAAAAAAAAAACCTTTTTTCTTATTAAAAAAAAGAATTATTTTCCCTTATTAAAAAAAGAATTATTTTCCTTTATTAAAAAAAGAATTATGAAAATAAAACGATTTTTCCTCAACAAAATTGTTATGTAAATAAATATTGTCAATTAGGAGAAAATTAACAAAAACTAATTATGTATTTATGACATTTTTTTATTAGAAAAGTTGAAATAAACTTTTTGAACCTAATTGAACTTTTAATCGCAAATATATATGTATGTATACACATTCCCGTGAAGTAAGTTTCAAGTATATCGTAACTATTCAGACTTCCTGACAAAGTGAAAACTTATCCTTAAGTTGGTAATACAGATATATATATATGTTTATAAAAGGTCCGAATCCAACTTGAAAGCATTTTTACTGTCTGAAATATTTATCATCACATATATAAAAAAAAGGCGGTTATGCAAACGCCCCTTGAGCCTCACCCAAGAGGTACGGGTCAAATTACACGACAAAAAAAAAATTGTATATACTTTTTCGCGCAGTTATGCACCCTTATTTTACTTTCATAAACGCGTTTATTACATTTTCTTTGAAAATCCCTTTTTCGACGCAAAAAAAAAAAATTTACATTACCTAGAAAATACAATTTTTAGTAAAATATAAAAAAAAAATTACCTAGAATAGCGAAACGTTTCACTATAGTAGCAAAAGTTTAACTCGTTTCAGTTATAAATTTTTCTAATCTAGTGAAACCTTTCGCTGTTTCAGGTATTTTTTTTTCCTACTATTTGATTTAGTAATATTTTTTTTATTAAAGTGAAAATTTTTCACTCAAACAATATTACTAAATTTTGTTGTAATTTTTCCCAAAAATTTGTTTTTTAAAAAAATAATTTTTTACCAAAAAAAAAAATTAGTAAAAAAATTTCTAAGTGAACTCTCCTTAATTCAAATTTACACATCTTAAAATTAAATAATTTCGAAAAAATGGAAAAATCGGATAAAAAACTCGAAATTCAAATCCCTTGAGTCTTAAGTGTGTGCATCTACTTTGATAATATGGAAAAATCCAAAAGCTCAACGACAACTTTACTAATATACGAATTTTTTCTTTCATTTTTTTTTTTTTTTTGGAGAAGGGCCTAGCGTTCAAAACGAAAGACACACTCAAAGTTGGTTCATTTGAAAAGTTTTTTTCCCAGCGCAAATTTTTTTTCTCATACAATCCCGTGTTTCAGGAACTTCGCATATTCTCCATTGGGCCCCCCCCCCGTTTAAACTTCCCCTCTTTTCTCTCTTCCTATCCTCTCCTCTTTACCGATCCTTCTCCTCGTACAACGACTTTTCAAATTAATTTTTAAGGGTTTCATCCGCGAAGCTCTCTCGTTACCGCGTCGCTAAAATCGTACCTCGTTCATTTTCGCTTTCTTCAACTCGCCTCGCCGACTATCTTGACTTCTTATTTTTTTTTTTTTTTATTTTTTTTTTTTTCGTTCAACTCTGATCCAACTCTGTATGAAATTTACTTTTCTCTTTTCACATAGCTATCCACGCGCTCTATTTCTCTTTCTCTGTGCCTTTCGGCGAAAAGAGGAGAGGTGTTTGCCGAGGTAGCGCAATAATGCCCCGATGTACCTAGCAAACTTGCGAGAATGCACTTTTTATTTGTTCACAATTGTCAATATTTGTTTTCGCACTGGGCAAAATAATAATGGCGTATATATAAAGGAGGGGGGTGAAAATTTCTTTTATAATAACTCAATTGTCGACGCTCTTATTTTTCCCTTGCGAAAATTGATTTTTTTTTCCAATATCTCAAAGAATGTTTGCATTTATTAATTTTCTTAAACCAATTACTGATTTAAAATTTAAAAATTACTGATTAAAAAAAAATTAAAGTGGTGTCATTCAATAATTTTGTCACGTCAAAAAATACAACTAAATTTTTTTGTTATACAATTTTTCCAGTAAAATTAAAATATTTACCTTAATAACGTACGTGGCATCATAGGATTGAATCTGCAAAAACAAAAATTAAAATAATAATAAATAATAAATAATAATAAATAATAAAAATAATAGAAATAATAAAAATAATAAAAATAATAAAAATAATAAAAATAATAAAAAATCAATAACAATAAAATAAAAATTCAATTCCATTAGAAAATATTGTTTCTCCGCAAAAAAAAAAAAGATTTACAGGCATAATTGTATCTAAAAATAATATTCACTGCTTTTCAGAGCTCATTTTCAAAATGTTTTGATTATCATATATATATTTTTCCGAAAAAAAAAAATAACAAATGATAACATTATTTTTAGATCTTTGTTGAATCGATTCAAAAACCTTCAAACTTAAAACTGCAAATATCACTCTTTAGAATCAGACTAGTTTGAAAACTTTATTTTTCCTCACGTGAGTTCAACTTCTGAATTGCTATGTTATTGCGAAGTAATTTCACAGTACATATTTGTATATCACATTCACTATATAGTATATATATAGAAAGTTTCGTCTGAATATGTGTTGTGTGCGGAAACTTTGCGGGATAACAAAAATAGTTTCGTCTGCTATGGAAAAAAGTAGCAAATCTCCTTTATCAAATAAAGTGCCTCGCAATCTTTAATATTCCAGTTGGTCCAAAAAAAAAAAGAAAAACTCTTTTTACGACTTTCTGTAGATTATACAAAAAAAAAACGATTGCACAACTTTTTTTTTTTCTAAAAAACGATAGAAGTTTAAATTACTCTACGAGTAATTTTTTTCAAAAAAAAAATTCTCTATTTATAAACAAATTTCAATTAAATTTTTTTTCGCAAAAAACTTTTGTATAACTAAAATAGAGCTTCGAAATGAGGAATATCAAAATCGGAAAATTCTCGAAAAAAAAGATTATAGATAAAATCTCTTGATGGAAGAACTAGAAACAAACTGTATAAAAAATAACTAAAAATTTAAATCTGGCACAATGTGAATGAAAAAAAAATGCTAACAAAAAATGTGTAAATTATCAAAAATTTCAAAAAATTAATAAAATCTTTTTTTTTCTTTTCAGGCCAAGTTGTTGGAATCGTCCCACGCTTGGCTCGGTGCCTCCACCTCCAGTATAGCAGGTGAGTTTTAAATATTTTTACAACGTCCATTCTCGAATTTCCAGTGGCTTGATTCGATTTCCGAGCTCGTAAAACAAGCGGAAATTAAAACCGAGAAATTTGACATCAGCATTTACGGAGCATTATTACCATTTTTATTATTTCATATATATACACACATTTATATTTGTAGTTTCATATTATATTATTATCTTTCTTTTCGCACAAAACGTATATTTTTATACCAACGATATTTCGGTATATATTTAATTTTAATAACATTAATATTTAATTGCGAAATTTTTATGTAAATTTATAACATTTTTTTTTTAACCTAAATTGCATTCAATTTAATTAACTTTATACTTCAAAAAATTATTACTTCTCATTTAGTAGAAAATGAAAAAAAAATTGTTGATTCAAATAATCGACTATTATTGACTATTATCGACTTCAAATAAATATTTATTTGAATCAAATAATTTTTATTTAAATTGAATAAAATGTATTTCAATTTTTTTTCAGATTGATTTTTAATTTATTTTTGAGAATAAATTTTTACACCGTTATTTAAAAAAATAATTTTATACAATTTTTTGAAAATATTGAATGCAATTTGGATAATAATTTTTTTTTTCGGCCTACAAAAGTGAATGATCGCGATATAGGAAAAAAATATATATATATGGAGACGTCGAATCCGCTATATATAGGTATATATATATATTTGCAACGGGCAACAACTTTATTATTCTTTGGTGCCACGATAAAAGTCAGGAATGCGTTTAACATTAACGAAGAAAACTATGCGGAGAGTTAATAGCCACCGATAACAATGCGCTCGCGATTTGTGCTTTGAACACGCCATTCAAAGAGGAAACGAAAGAAAGAGGACAAGAAAAGGCATAGCGACCTTTATAGAATGTTACCAGGAGTTTTCGATTCTTCCTATATATGAAATTATAATTATATTTTTTTTTTGACTGTTTTTATATTAAATATTACATTTACATGTTTCTTCAAAATTACTCTCAAATTCAATTATTATCATTTTTATTATCACTATTGTCATTATTATTATTATTATTACTATTATTAATATTATTGTTGTTACTATTATTGTTATTATCATTATTATTTATAAAATTTAATTGTTTTTTATATAGAATATTTTTTAAATTAAGAAAAATAAAAAATTCACTAATTTGAATGAAATTATAATGTTTAAATTTAATAAAAAATCTAAATTGAACTATATTTAATTAAATCTAAGAGGCTAAATTTAATTTAACTAAGGTTAGATTAAATTGACTTTAAATTTAATTAAAGCACCAACTAAAAGTTAAGTTTAGAAAATAATTCGAAATTAAATTTAAATTGTGAATTAAATTAGAACTGAAATATCAAGTCAGAATAATAAATTTGAATGTAATTTAACCTCTAAGCACAATGAAAATAAATGAAAATTAAATATTTAATTATATAATAAGATCAATGAAATTAAAGGAAATAAATTTCATTCATATATTATTTTTTTTTTTTTTTAGAATTTTTCTATTGATTTTTATAATATTTGCAATGCTTCTAATTTATTTGTTAAAAAAAAAGAAGAGAAAAAAAATATTACTCCTCACGTTCCGAGTTCTTTATTCGGAGAGAATTTAATTACTTTCTTTTTTTTTCCTTCTCTTTCTTTGGTTTCGTTTGATTCTATGGTTTCAGAGAGAGAGAGATTATTTTTCCAAAGGGAGAAGTATCAATAAAGTCTGTTTTTAGGCTCAGAAAAATGACTTCTTTCTTATATGAGTTAATTAAAAATCTTTTAGACAATTATATATATACGTTTGAAGAAAATAATTCCTTATTGAAAATAAGGATCAAATTCATATAAAAAAATATTTGAATCGGTTACTTATTGTCAAATAAATATTTAATTGAACTAAATTATTTTTACATATTTGAGTAAAATAAACTATTTTAATCAGTAATTTTTTTATTTGAAGCAAATAACATTTAATTGATTCAAATTAAATATCAAAACATATAATTTATATAATTATTTGACAATTATATTAATTTATCATTTTTAAATTTATTTATAAAATTTATTCTATAACATTGTTTTTTAATTTATTTTATAAAAAAATTCAATAACAAAAAAATTCAATAATTTTTGCATATAAAAAAACATATTTTTCTGACTTGATTTAATAGAAATGAAATTATATTGTTAATTGAAATTGTTTGCTTTCATGTTGTGTGTGGTTTTTTGCGGGGGAAAAAAAGTGAGCTTATAATTTTTCGTATTATATCAAAATCAAAGAATTATAAAAGTCATATAACATGGAAAAGTACATATATAGGAAAGAGAAAGAGAGAGAGCAAGCATTAAGTATCGAAGAAAAACCCCTTCTCTCGTGTCAGCTAATCGTGGATAATACATGGGTCGTAAGCTGATACTTGACCGTTGGAAAGCAGGCTTTAAAAGCGTTTGTAACGCGCGTCAAAGCATAAATTGCGACGTATATAAGCGGCGTTAATTACTCTGTACGTGCGCGACGTCGGGTGGAACTCTCGCGCTATATATACATATATACACGCAAACCGAGAATTTTACTGACACTTTCCGGATCTTCAAATTGAGAGCAAATTTCTCAGATTACGCATTAATACAGAAAAAATTTTATTAAAAAAATATTTATTTTATTCTATATTTTATTATGTAATAATAATAATAAAAAAAATATCTGTTTTAAATATTAGTTACAAAATAGAAAAAATTGAAATTAAAAAAAAAAATTTAAGTAGAAAAAGTTGCACTTGTCAGACAAAATAAGTTCTAAGTAGAAAAAGTTTGTTTTTGTACGACACAAAAAAAATACACTACTATAAAAACAAATAAATTCTTATATATATGTGAAATTCACGTAAGTAAAATAAATTCAATTGAATTTCACATTAAATTAAATTTTAATGAAACTCATCATTAATTATATTGTAATTTAATTAAAGTTAAATTAAAGTAAATGCAATTAAGCCTAAATTAAAGTTTAAATTTAGTTTAATTTGAATTTAATTTAGATTAATGTTAATTATAATTCTTTAAATTCAACTCTTATTGATAAAATTAAATATTTTTTTTTACAAAAATATTCTGTATTAATGCATTTGAAAAATCTTTCCCTAATACTGAAAAAAAAATTAATTCAATTTTTTTTCCATGATTTCGTCTCTTTAGAGAAAGAAATTAGGAACTTTTATAAATAAAATTTTCTACAAAATAAAGTTATATATATAATGAAAGTAATTATATTTATATCTAGATTCTAAAATGGGTCTCGGGATGTAATTAAAAAAAAAGAGATGTAAATAAATGGGGTTAATGAAAAAAAAATGAAGAATTCGAGATAGGTATCTGCTAATTTTTAGCTGACTATTCGAACCTGCTGAAGCTGAAGGCACCAACCTGGACCAGACACGATCTCCAGGAGGCAATTGAAGCTGTGGTCACACAAAAAATGCGCTTTACTCAAGCATCAACTAAATATGGAATTCCAAAGGGCACACTCTACGACAACATTCTTGGCAAATCAAAAAGAATGATGGTCCTCGAGGAGGCTGGTCTCAATTCAAGTGATGAATCAGCTGTTCTTGAATTTTGTTGCGACACAAGTATTCATCCTTATAATCGACGAACGAAAAAATCTCTAAATACAATACTCAATTTTGTTGAGAAAATAAGACGCGAAAGAGATCCAAATTTTATGTTCACTGGTCTCTCTGGTTTTCGATGGTGGTGGGCATTTTGCAAAAAACATTCTATAGTTTCACTTTATTTCAATGACGACAATGAACACGAATGAAATTCAAAAATAATGAAGAAAAAACATTTTTTTTTTCAAGCCCTAACAAATTCTTTGAAATTAATTTAAATATTTTTACATATATATAAAAATTTACTATTTAAAATATATATTTATTATTCCTTAAACTAATTGCAAAAATAAATAAATATAGCGGATATATTTTATTTATACTAATTAATTATGGAAATTAATTCTTCCAATTATAAAATATAATTAATAAAAGAATCGACTAATTAGGACAAACAATTAAATAGTACAACAGAGATTAAATAATTAAATTTAAATTAAGTAATTGTTCGATTTAATTATTTCGATTAATTTAAATTGACAGTTTCTATATTAATTACTCTAATTAAAAATCGCGATATAGATAAATTTGCTAAATACATTTTTAAAAAAAATTGTTTGTTTTTTCATATAAAAAAAAAAGTTATGTTGAATTAATAAAAAGTAAAAAAAAAATTATTTTCTTTTGACTAATTTAAAATTCAATAAAAAAAAATCATTTTAGAAAATTTGAAAATTTGCCTAATAATGTTTTTTCTTCATTTAGAGAACGAAGAACCTAGGTAAACGCATTTAGATTAATAATTAGTGCCTTTTTATATAAAAAAAAAAAAAATCGTCTTCCATCGAATAAGATTTATATTCCATTCCACTTCATTCCATCTTATAACTTTAATTCGGTTTGACGAAGCCAACAATTGTATATATCGTTGCGCGCGCTATTCGTCACTAATTTGATATTAATTGTAAGTAGAGCAATATCATTCCATTCGGTCAGGGACGAAATTTAAAAAAATATATATATTTTATTTTAAATTACGTCTTTCAAATAATTATTCAAATTACATGTTTATAATTCTTGGAATTAAAAAAAAAAAGTTTCTTCATTAATTTACTAAAAAAAAAAAAAGAAAAATTATTTTAAAAACTAAAATAATTAAATTTATTTTCAATTATTCTATTTGATTAATTATTTCACAATTAAAAATTTTATTTAAATAAATAAATAAAATCGTCTCTGATCAGACTGCACGGAGAATCATAATCCAATAATTATTTAGGAAAAATATTATAAAAATACTGTAATAATTAAAAAAAAAAGTGATTATATATGCATAATAAAACGCTCAAAAATTAAGAAATAATTAAAATATGGGGGAAAAATTTTCAAAGTTCAAAAAAATTCAATTTTCAGGGAATTAAAATTTTGTCTTTCAGAAATTAATTTTTAATCGCGAAACAGAAATTCGCTCGATATGTGCCTAAAAGTATCGCTCCAACAGTGACGTGCGAAACAAAAATGATATATATAATATATATTTATTTTATAAATAATTATTTATTTAACCATTAATCAAAAACTTTTTTTTCGCGAGTTCATTTTCCTTGAATTGACGTAATCAGACCCATTAAGATTGTTACTGGCGCCTGCAAAATATCACAATCTAAATATTTTAACGACTGTACTCAAATCGAGGTATTTATCTCATAACGTATTGCTCAAAACTGATTCTATACTCAAGTGTTGAATATTTTTAAAAAAAGCATCTTTAAAAAAAAATACAAAAATTTTTTTAAAAATTAAATCATTGAAATAATAAATATACATATCTTTTGTAATTATAAATAAAATTAATTAAATTAGTAAATTAAATTCTTTATTAATTAAATATCAAATATTTAATAGAAATATAATTAATTAAAAATTAATAGAAAACAAATGAAATTTTATCGCCTAATTATTATAGTAATTAGTAAATTATTAGCAGTTATTAACAAATTATAGAAATTATTATTAATTATTAATTATTAATTATTAATTATTAATTATTAATTATTAATTATTAATTATTAATTATTAATTATTAATTATTAATTATTAATTATTAATTATTAATTATTAATTATTAATTATTAATTATTAATTATTAATTATTAATTATTATTCTCCGTGCAGTCGTAATTATCAAACATTGTTTTGTATTTAAAGATTCAATACCTCAAGAGAAATGTATAATTATATCTGACTTGAGCTACTAAATTTAGCCGAAACTAACTTTTTTTTTCAAACTTTTTTTTATCCTCATTCACTATCTCGTTTTCCATTTTTCATTTGTAATGACTATTTATAAAACTCACTGAACATATATCGATTTCGCTTGACCTCTTTTTATTTATAACGTTAGAAAAAAAAATTCAAGCTTTGTAAAATTTACATTCTTAGCATAATATGCATTCCCCGCGGCTGTTAATTTGCCAAGTCACAAAACAGTATTGCTTAAAAAATACTGAGAAATTATTATAATCTTTAAAATAAAAAAGAAACTCTTCTTATATATTTATATATATATTGTTTATATATTGTAACATGTTTTGTCATTTTGTTTTTGAAAAAATGAAATTACTATTATTATTATTATTATTATTAAGCGAAAAATATTATTAAACTGGTGCTTTGATAATGAAAAATTGATTTTCCTACAAAAAAAACTTATCAAAAAAATGTTTATCGTCAAAAAAAAAATTGTTAAAAATTTATAATCTTCAAATTTTATCTATGGTATAAAAATAAAAATATATATATAAAATTTTTTCCACCGACACTTTAAGAGAAATAAAATTGTTTCAATTAACGAATAAAAATTAAAAAAAACTTTAAAAATTTTTATAAATCATTTTTTTTTTTCATAGAAGAGAACAAATTGAGAAGAAATTTTCAAAAGAGAGAGAGAATGTGAGAGAAAAGAAAAAATGACTAATATCTAAAGAGGCGTGTGATAAAATCACTTGATAAAAAAAAAAAATGAATTTTTTGTTGTTGTCAAGAGATGTACAAAGTGATACATATATATATAAATATACAATAAATGTATACAATAAATAGAAATTAAATGAGCAATTATCGCTCAAAAGATAAGAGCTAATCGACTTTTGATTCGGCAAAAGTGAACGTTTTCAAGTCTCGCTTTGTGAGATGAGATAAAATAATGATTTTCCAGAGAGCAATTAGTTAATTAGTCTCGTCTAATGCCAACGATGGTCTCGTACCGAACACAAACGACGCAACGCTTCTCTACACGTGTTTTTCAATTAATTGTATTAATCATTAAATTGGAGGAGCCCTAATTAGACTCAATAACTTAACTGTTAAATAATCGTTCCGGATCGAGGCCATCATGCTCGGTGCTCACTATTCATGCCCATCGAGAGAGGGCACCTTTTTACTATTTTTTTTTTTTAAACTAATATTTCGAAAAGTCGTACATTTTTCATAACGATAAAAGTTCAAATGGCGAGTAAATATTTTCAATTTAGTTTAATTATATGTTATAAATTAGTTTTTTTTCTAAATTTTTGTTTCTAATATTGTTTTCCTATCCAATAAAAAATGTGTAAAAAAAAAAAAACTTGAAACCTAAATTATTCAGAGAGTTAAAAATAAATCAATTTGAATTTTATTTTTATAATTTCTTCTGTTGAACTCGACATACATTTCTAATTTAATATTTTTCTGATTAAAAATATTTCCAGTTTATTGTATTTTTATATTTTTCTCGTTTTTAATTTACTTTCAATATTTATTTTCGCTTTATATTAATTTATATTATTTTAATTATATATTTATCATTTAAAATTTATTTGTTTTAATTAAAAATTTTGTTTTAAATTTTTTAGTGTCGGTATTTTTCAAATTATTATAAAAGGAAGATATATACGAAAACAGAAAATTTTTTTTAACTGGCTTATTAATTAATTAGTAGCTCTAATTAACGAACAAAAAACCTCATTTTTTCCCCCGTTCAAAGTATATAGTCAATTAACTAATTTTTTTCTCTCGAGATGAATCTAACGTTTAATAACTAAAGAAACCCTTTGAAGAAATGGCTATATAATTTCATTAATTTTTCTTTTTTTTTTTCCCCCCCCCCAACGACATTTGGCGATGAAATTGTTTGACGAAAAAAAAAAATCTCAATGTAATTATATTCTCTCTCATTTTCGAAAATAGAAAATAATATTTCTGGACTTTTTTTCCAGTGTTCTCTATAGATGACCTTCACTCCAAGGTATACCATCACGTATTGTATAATATTTCTATTTATATATTAAAAAAAAAATATCGATAATTGCCAAAAAAAACGATCCTCGCGGGTACTTTTGTCGAGAGACCCAATATAGGCCTTAATTATTATATTTGTCTCGAATTTGTTTTTTTTTCCATATAATTAATTAGCAAAGGGAAGAAGAAAGAAATTTTTTTTAATAAGAAGAGAATATATAGACGTTTTGTCGCGGTTAATTTAAAAAAAAATTAATTCCAATTTTGCTTGACAATTATATAAACGTACGTATGTATTTTGATTTTAATGAGATTATATTGTAATTGTGTTTTTTGTGAGAATCTTCAAGTACTAATGGAATTCCCTTTTCTTTTTCATGGGGGGACGTTACAACAGACAGCTACCAGTACCAGCTGCAGTCCATGTGGCAAAAGTGTTGGAACACCAATCAGAGTCTGGTACACAACCTTCGCTTCCGAGAACGCGGACCTCTCAAGTCCTGGAGGCCAGAAACTATGGCGGAGGCGATCTTCAGTGTTCTCAAAGAGGGACTGTCCCTTAGTCAAGCTGCCAGGTGTGTTTTCAAATTTAATTTTCCATTTTAAATATAAATATCCATCTGTCTATAAAAATTCATCTCCTATCAAAAAAAAAACCAACTTTTTCCAAAAAAATAAATTCAAATATTTATTTGTTAAAAAAAGATTTTAATATTTTAAACCAAAGAAGAAATTATAAATTAAAAAAAAAATGTAAAGAAATTCATTTTTATTAATTACCGAAGACTTAAAAAGAAAAAAAGAAATATTCTCATTAAAACTAGCTCAAAGGATTCAAGAGAATTTCAATTAAAAATTCTGTGACTTATTACATGGTCACCTGGTACAATGTTTTTTTTTTTTTATTACACGGATTTTTAATTTTCCTTGAAATATTAATGCACACGAGACAAATGAATCATATAAAACAAATTTAAGATCATAAGTTTCGTGTATACAATGCAAACACAATTTTTTTTTTTTTATTTAGGGACCATGGCAATAATCTCACACGTTATTTTTAATTGCTTTAGCTTCTGAAATGAAATATTGTCTAAGCTTTTAACTTTATTTTCATTTTGAAAATTTATTGCATTTTTTTTCAAACATTTTTTTTTTAATTTCACCTTCAAAATATTTCGATTAAAAAAAATTAATTTATATTTTTATTATTGAATTCTTTTTGATTTAGTTTCACTTTCAAAATATTTCGCTTAAAATAAAAAAAAATGTATTTTTAAAATTGTATTAAATTATTTTCGATTATTTTTTAATTTATAAAAATATTCCGATTAAAATTTTTTTTCGAAAATAAAATGAATTTTTTCGAGACTAATTTAATTTTTCGTTTTTTTTTCAGAAAATATGACATCCCATATCCCACTTTTGTTTTATACGCAAATCGAGTGCACAATATGCTTGGGCCTAGTGCCGACGGTGGGGCTGGTAAGTTGTTAATATATTATATTTTTGCCATATTATTCACTATATGTTTGGACGTTCAGGACTGACAGACACTTCCTTTCCTCACCTGATATTTCCTAGAGCAATGACCTTTTACTCGCACTAGAAACTTAGCGGTATAATAAATCATTATAATAATGACGATAACAGTCAACAATAAACATATAATCTTTTAAACTCTACATTACAACTGGGAAAGCAATAATTTTTATTGCTCTTGTGTCTTTAAACGTCTTTTTATTTTATTTTATTTTTTCTTTTTTTCTTTCTTTCTTTTCTTTTTTCACTTCTTTTCTTTTATTTTATTTTAAGAATTCATGGAACATAAAGATAATATACGATTGCTCTTGTCTTTTGCAAAGATTCATATAATTATCTGAATTCTTATAAAATTGTTATTTTCACAATAACTCGAAAATGCGCCGACTATGCGCGTTGTTAGAATTTAAAAACATTCATCATGAGATTCACTGTTTCAAATACATATATATAAATTACTACCATTTCTTGAAACTATCATTATATGGCTGTAATTACCATTTTTTTTTTTTTAACAAACGATTTAAAACTACCATTGATTATAAAGTATATTATTTATTGAAGAACATTGCTTGAAACTATAGACAGAAAAAATTATCTTCCAACCTCTATACTAAATTCAAAAAACCTAATTTTTTTATAAAAAGAAAATTTTTAATTCAAAAATATAATTCACAAAAATAAAATAAAAAATAAAAAATTATCTTTCAACCTCTACTAAATTCAAAAAAACCTAATTTTTTTATAAAAAGAAAATTTTTAATTCAAAAATATAATTCTCAAAAATAAAATAAAAAAGAAAAAATTATCTTTCAACCTCTACTAAATTCAAAAAAACCTAATTTTTTTATAAAAAGAAAATTTTTAATTCAAAAATATAATTCTCAAAAATAAAATAAAAAAGAAAAAATTATCTTTCAACCTCTACTAAATTCAAAAAAACCTAATTTTTTTTATAAAAAGAAAATTTTTAATTCAAAAATATATAATTCTCAAAAATAAAATAATTTATTTACTTGGGTTTTATGAATTAATTACTTTCTCCACGAGGAAAATGTAATTTCCGAAAAAAAAAATTGTTTCAATTTTTCCTTGACCTTTTCTATCTTGAAATCATTATAATGGTATTTAATTAAAGAAACAGGCAATTTGTGAAATTTATGTTTTGTGGCGTTAAACTTAATTTGACGGAACAAATGAAAAAAATGACGATATCGTTTCTAGTGTGCAAAAAAAGAAAAGAAAAGAAAAAAAAAAAGCTCGGGTAGCACGACATTTGGAGTGCGAGGAGGTCAGAGCCTTCTGGTAGATTTAGTTGCGCTCGTAAAAGACGCTATTACATCGAGCCTCGACTCATATACGACTCCCGGAGTATTAGGACTCATTCTCCTTTGCGGTTACTCGATTTGACAGCCATTGTGTTTACGTAGGTCACTTTAATTCGTTATTTTATTGTTACACTTGAACGTTATCGCAATCGCTTTTAAACCATTGTTAACAACCTCGAATATCTTTAACTTTTCATACCACCCTCTTCTCCATTCATATTCTATTAATTCCCACACGTTTTCCTATATACAAAACTAAAATTTGACAATCAACTTTTTAATTTTACATTAAAATTTTTAGTTTCTATTTTTAATTTTTATTTTTAATTTTCGATTTTAATTTTTAATTTTAATTTAATTTTAATTGAATAATTAATTTCAAACATTATTGAAAAAAAAAAAATTTCAAATTCTGATAAAAAAATTATCTTGTACATAATAATTTCCTCTGGGCAATTATTATTTTTTTTTTTCATCGAAAATATTAATAATTAATAACTACGGAAATTAATTAATATTCGATTACTATTGAAACTAATTATTTTAATATTTAATTTTTATTTTAATTTAATTAAACTTGCTTCCTGTTGGAAAATTTTATTAATCATTAAAGGAGTTTTAATTTAATTAAAATATAATTTCCTGTTAAACTATTCTTTATTAATATTCTAATTATCTTATTTTTAGAAAAAAAAAGTGAATTAAATTTAAATGGAATAGAATTTTAATTTTTCTAATATATTTGCAATAATTTAATTGCTAGCGAAAAAAAAAATCCCCAGAATTGGTCATTAATTAAACCAAAAGATGAAAATCAATATTGATCCTGATTTTTTTTTTACACAGATCTTCGACCAAAAGGAAGGGGAAGGCCGCAGAGGATTTTATTGGGAGTTTGGCCCGACGAACATATTCGAGGAGTGATTCGAACTGTTGTTTTTCGCGATGGACATTCGCCACATATGATTAAAGACGAGGCAGCGTCGTTGTATCCAAGTTTGGCAAATTACGCTGCCTGCAATGGACCGGAAGGTGCTGTTAGTCCTGGCGCAGCTGCAGCAGCTGCAGTTGCAGCAGTCGCACAAGGTAAGTTTTTATTTTCGTATTTCTACATTATTTCACATATTAAATATGAGTTCCGAGTATTATGTACTTTTATATTTTATATTGATATCTCGAAAGCGACATCATGCTTAAATCCATGTTTTGCTTTTTTTTTCTTTTTTTTTTTTTAATTTCAAAGCAAACACATATAAACTTTATAACTGCGCGATTCTTGTTCGATTTTTATCGCGTCAGAGAGAAAACAAAGCAATTTCAGAATCTGCGATTTTATCATTTCTGTATATAATATCGATTTTTATTTCACCTTCATAAACTCACGAAACTCTTTTTTTTTTATTTTTCATAAATTAATTAAGAATTCATTTTTTTCGGGTTATTGGAATTTCAACTAAATAAGATATTTTTTTTTTTAATTTAAATAAACGTATTGGTGGAAATGATTAAAATTTTCTTTATTTCCACAACAGAGAATTATAGAAGACGAAGTCCTAAGGAGAAAATGAAACTATCATTTGAAGGCAATCACATGTTTGACATTCAAGGTATATATTTCGATCAAGTGGAAATAAATAATTTTATATATTTTATTTCTATTATTATTTTTTCTTGCTTTTTTGTGAATTATTCTTATTTAATTTGTTTTATATAATATTTTTCTATATAGATATAATGTTTTATTTTTTTTCCTGTCTGACTAGATTTAATTAAATTTTCATATATACAAAAGTTGCAAATCTTTCTAATATAAAAGAGCGCTGCTTGTACAATGCTTTTAATATTGTCATTTCTTTCAATTTAACCGATTCTTTTAAGTATATATATATATATATACAACTGCAGAGATATAATTTATAAAACTAAAATCGTAAAAACTGTTCGATTTAATGTTTTATTTTTTTAACATTTGCATTTTTATCTAATAAAATTATGAGAAATTAAAAAATTTAAATTACTAACAGTTGCCTTCGAATTTCAAGAAAAAAACTCGCTTTTTAACATTTATTCTAAAACTTAAAAAAATTGTAAAGCTTATTTTATGAAAAAAATTTAAAATTAAAAATATTCATTCTCATTTCTTCATTTGCATTTTCAATTTCATTTTTCATCAATAAAATTCATCTCTAACCGTTTCGAAATTTTTTTATATTAGTAAATATATTTTCATAATAATTTATTTATATTTTTAATTAAATTATTAATTTATATATTATTATTATAATTGAATCGTGAATTTCGAAATTTAAATTTGCGATTCAATTATTTATGTAATATTTTGAATATTTTTTAAAAAATTTAAATTATTTTTCTATTTAATATAACGCCTAAAAAGAAATACGAAAAAAAACCCTATTGCTAATTAATGATGAAATTTCGCAGGCCTAAGGCATCAGATGTGCAGTATGGTAGCAGCGGCGCATTCTCAACACGATCTACTTGCGACGAATCTCTCGACAAATCTCTCGTCGAATCTCCAAGCGGCAATGCATCAGGCGAGTCTACATCATCACAATAATAATAACAGTCTTCTCGGTGGCAATAGTAACAATAACAATGGGAATTCACCACTAAATCTTGGATTAGCGAGTCCAGGCTCCGGTGGACCACCCGAAAGTCCATTGGAAAGTCCATTGGCAAGTCCACTTGGTCCATTAATGGATCCAGGACATTTACCAAGTAGTGTTGAAGTTGGAATTGGCGTCAGTGGTATGACCTATAAGCCAGCGCGAAGTTTTGTCAGTCCACGACCGGAAACATTATTTCAAGAGGATATTGCCGATCTCGTCAAAAGTCCCCATAGTCTCAAGGAAAAGGATAAAATTTCAGTGAAACTCGAACCACTCACAGACTCTCGGTGCGAATAGCATAGCTATCAAAAAAATAGTCCCTTTTAAAACAGAGGTGATTGCGATGACCTTTAGAGGTATATACGATAAATAAGACTCAGGGTCGTTCGCGCGCTTCCGAATCTCGAGGTCTCGCCAATAATGATTCCCCCAAAAAAAAAAAGATCAAAGAAGATTGAGACCAGGATCGAAAATACCTTATCCGAGATTCCTGGCGCTTCTTTCGGATATAAATATATACATACGAGTGCTTATAATAAGTAAGATAATTAATTAAGAGGGTATTATTTACGTATACAAATGAGGAAAAGCGTCGATTACGAGGCGAGGCTAACAATCAAAAGATTTAAAAATAAATCAAGAGGACGAAAAGTAGCTTTTAGGATATACGACTTGTAAGTCCCGGTTCTTCTCGTCGCCAGGACTCGATTAAAAAAAAAAAAGAAAACTCAAAGAAAATTCGAGTCCCGGTGATTGGCTGGCGAACGCCAAAAAAAATCGCTCGCACCCACGTATCGTTTTTTTTTTTTTACTTTTTTTTTTTTTATTTTTATTTTAGTAAATACCGTAGAAACCTGGTTGCATTGTCGCCTTAGAGCGCTGCACCACTTTCCAGTCTAGATAATCGTGTCGTGTCGATGGACGCATTAAAAAAAAAAATATGCATATAAATGTAGAGCCGTCGCGAAAGTCGCGAGGTAAAAGCAAGTACTATGTTATTTATACCTTACGCATATACGATACTATACGTTAATGCCAAATGTATAATAGTTTTTAAGAGTTCGCAAAAAAGACGATTCACGGCTGACCGACGTCTTACTCATTCAGTGATACTGAGCAAAAATGGCCTCAATTGGGCCCTATTCTAAGCCAGCTCGAGCAAAACGCTTTTATTTTTTCAAACAAAAAAAAAAAAACAAACAAAAATTTACCCACGGCCATTGACTCTTCATTATTAACTTCCTTTATATAAATTTTCAACAATGTTAAACGAATTGATTTTTCAAAAAAAAAATGCATTTTACAATAAATAATAATAAAACAATTTTTTTTATACGTTAAGTAAAATTAAAACTAAAAATTATTCTCTTCAAATAGATAATAGAATTTTATTCAAAAAATTGAATTTAAAAAATATTAAAAAAAAAAAATTCTTCTTTATTTTTTATATTCAAAAAGTAAAAAAAATGAATTCAGTTTTACTATGTTGAAAATAAATGACTATTTTCTATTTAACATTCCTAATAATATTTTTCATTGAAAATGATAAAATCCTTTTTTTTTGCAATCTAATCAAGAGATTTCAGGAGTCTCCAAAGAATGTCGATAAATATTCCAAAGAATTATAAATTCTAAGAATTCCAATTTTAAACGTAATGCATTTAAAACAAAAAGACGGTGGAACATTCTTTGAAGTCTGAACTCTATAAAATCTTTGTGGAAAATTAATGGCTCGGAAGTTATTAATTTAGAGTGAAGAGCCTCTCAAATTGTCGATATCACGGTAAAAGTTTTTGGGATCCTTTCTTTAGAGTGACACGTGCCAAATTGAAGAGACTCGATGACGAATTGTCGATCGTCGCGAGGAAACTTTTTTTCGTTTTCTGGTGTTTTGAAAAGTCTTCCTGTATTATAGAATACTCGCGTTATATTTTACGTTCGAGTGATAGAGTGTATGTGTGAGAGAGAGAGAGAGAGAGAGTGTGTGAGAGAAAAAGTTGTTGTCAGGATAGGGTCCTTCGAAAAGATGAGATGCAAGGTGAAATATTGAAACTTTGTGTTTCTAGCTGTGATGTAGAAATGCAAAAATCAAAATCTAACAAAATGCCTGTTTCTTTTTTTTTTTAATTGTAATATAATATTTTTAATATATTTTAATCAATAATAATTTTACCGAAATATCTCACCTTCATTTCGATAAAAGACTGTAGAGCAAAGTGAAAACAATGTGGATTGTAAACTCTTATTCGTGTAGAATAGATTGTAATATTATTGACTTATTTTTAAGTCACACAATATCTATCAAATTTAGCATTTTTAAGATGCGATTGTTAAATAAGAAAGTATACGAGTATCTAATACTTTTTTTAAACTGTTAGGATTAATTATTTAGTAGCTATGTGATCACTGAAAGTTAGAAATATTCATTTGTACTTTCATTTTAGATAAAAAAAGAAAAAAAGAAAAAAGAAAAAGTCGTCAAAACAATTAGTACAATTCTAAATCCTTTTTGAAGGACTCCAAGCAGAACAAATATAACTAAAAGTAGAATGAAAACCAGCTATGAGATTATAAAAAATATTCAAAAAAAACAAAAATCAAGGAAAATTCCAATCTTTAATATCGTACCATTTAAAATTCGTGCCATGTTAACTTTTCAAAAAAAGGTAACTTGAAAAATAGAAAAAACAATTCTATTTTTCAATTAATACCCCAAGGAAAAAATAGTAAACTTTTAATGATTCGTGAAAAAATAATAAAATTTAAATGGTTCGTAAAAGAATGGGTAAAATTTTAGAAAACTATAAAAAAAAAAAAATTGTATCGACTTTAAGAATATTAAAGGGAAAATGAAAACTATTTTCATTCTCCCCCAAATAAAAAAAAAAATAAAATAAAATAAAAATCAACAGGAAGGGAAATTAGAATAATAAAAAAAGAGATATTTTCCAGAAGAAGTATTTTTTAACGAAACTTTTAAATCCAGAACTTAAATTAAAATTTTTGTTTATTATTCTCTTTTTTTAAACACTCTCATGAAAAAAAAAAATGCTGGGAGTTTTTTTTCGCAGAAAAAGTTTTGGATTTAAAAACAAAAAAAAAAGAAAGAGAATAGCTGGTTTTTTTTTTTAAAAGAAGGGTTTATGATTTAAAGAAAACTTCTTTAAAGTGTGCGTATAACGTGTTTTCAAGCTGCTGAAACGCTTTTCGCTTTGCGAGAGCGACCGTTAAAAAAAAAAAAGTTTTTTACAAAGGCCAGCGTTTTCTAGTCAACGACGGAACGCGCACACGAGTGCGCGCGCCATCGGCACGTGTAACTTTCGAGAAAGGTTCAGATAAATAGAATATAGGATTGCTCTTTTATTATTCACACAGGGCAGATGTGTGCACTAAAAAAAACCATCAATTCCAAATATGCACTGTGAAAGATTATTTTTGTGATTTCTCAAAGAGCAATAATAATTGACGATTATATAAATGAGCTGTCACCGCTGCTACCGCTACCGATACTTAAAATACGAAACAAAAAAAAAGTGAAAAGAGGCGCAAAAATATAAATGTACAAAATTAACTAAATTATGATGAACAGAAAGACAATTGGACGGCGACAAAAAAATAAAAATAAAAATGTAACAAAGGCGTTAGCGGCGAAAAAAAGAAAGAGAGAGAGAGAGAGAGATCGCTGTAAGTTATTAAGTGTAATGATTGCCTTCCTGCCATATTTGGGGTATGCCAAGTATAAAAATTCTAAGGTTTAGGGATTAGAAACAAAAGCAAATTTAAGACAAAAAAAAAAAAACTATGAGTGTGGATTTGCACGGGAGAGAATGCGTGTCAAACTTGTGCTTTTTTGAGGAAAGTGTGACCGATTATGAGAGGCTAAGAGATGATTGAAAACGTGTGTGTTTCTTTTCGAAAGATCGTGCTATTTTTCAAAATTTTTGTACACCGCCAATTTCGATCTAGGATTCCCCGTTCGAGAATCTTTCGATCTTCCGGAGATCGCACGCGAACACACGAGAGGCCTTTGCCCATCAATCTTGCTACTTCCTATAACAATTTTCCCTATGCGTGAATCAAATTCAAAAAAAAATCCAACTTCATTCTTTTTTTTTTTTTTTTAATTTAGAAAAACCACCCTAGTCTTCATGCCTAATTTAGTTTTAATTTGCGATTTATTTTTTCATTTTAATTAGTTTCTCAAATAATGAAAATTCGCATTTAATTAAAGAATATAATTTTAAATATTCGTTACCGCAATATTAATTATGAATATATTAATTATGAGAATATGAATTATAAAAATATTAATTATGAGAATTTTAAAAATATTATTTATAAATCGTCATCTTTTTTCAGAATTTTTAAATTTATTTATAAAAATATTAATTATGTACTTTCTTCAACAGTACACTTTATTAATTATTTATGAAGAAACTAATTATAAATATGTATATATGATTTATTAGTATAATATTAATAATTTTTTTAAAAAGATTTTTTCTCAAATTTTAATAAGAGAATTGTTTTATTATTTTTCTTTATTTATGGAACAATTTTTATTATTTTAAAATATGTTACGGAATTTTTTTTCAAATATTTTAAAGCAATTTTATTATTTTTCAAACTTTCATTCATTAAAAAAAGTTCAAAAATAATTTTCTTTTTTTTTTCTTAAAAAAAAATGATACAGATCATTAATGATACGAAATAATGAGGAAAAATGTTTAATTTGGCAAGGTTGTCGCGTACTAATTAATGAAAATAAATCGCGTTAATCTACGGATTATCATCATGCGATGTCTAGATCTTTTTTTCGCGCTTTTAATGTCGGTCTCTGATTCCGGAGCTCTTGTACGTTTAATGACGAAAAAATAAAATTCGAAGTGGCCTTCGCAAGAGTTGAGAAAGATGAGGAAAAGGCAAAAAAAAAAAAAAAAAAAAACGCAGCGTTTGTCGCTTCGACTCGAGCGCGCGATACGAGATTAATAATTTTTGTTCGTTATCGTCATATTTTGTCACAGTGAAAAGGGAAAAAAAAGAATATTCTTGATACAAATGTTTTTTGTGCGACAAAAAAAAATGAAAATTCATCTAGTAGTGCGAGCGAGTGAAAGAAAACAAAAGATAAAATTTTGCAGAAAAGTTTCGTCAAAATTTAAAAGACAGAATCGTTCAAACTAGCCGTGACGTTGTAAAAACAAAAAATGAAAAAAAAAAAAGAAACTAAGTGAGACTCTAGGACTGTTTTTTGGCGTTTTTAAACGTATAGTGTACCTATTATTAATCTATTTTTCATTTCTGATCTATAAGGACTTACAAATCTCGGCTGAAGGTATTTTACGATTTAGGCATATATAATGTGTTCAAAAGAATAAAAAGCGAAAGTTAAATTTTGCGAGCGGCAAAACTAAGTAGAAGTTTTTTAAAAAATAAAAAATGTGTACGGCTAAGTTTATAGTGAGAGAAAGATAGCGCGCGAGAGCGAAAGAGGACGAGAGTTTAAATTAAATATTGTATAAAGAAATGAAAAAAAGTAGAAAGTGCCTTCCAAACGAAAAAAAAAAAATTTTAAAAAAAGAGTCCCGTAGATCGTGACCATTTGTACATGAAAGAAAGCGTTCAAAATTTTCGTGTTAGAATATGAGTATTAATTTTTGTTCATTCAATTGCGAACTTGAATGTTTATTATACTTTTTTTGTTATATATGTATAAAAAATTCAGAGTTTTATAAAAAAACAAAAAGAAAAGTGAGACTTTTTTTACGAGTGTTTTTGGAAAGTATGCAAAATTACTCTATTTTTTTATTATCGAAGAAATCAAGTTCGCAAGAGATTGATAAAAAAAAATCTTGAATGAATGTCTCGAATGGATGATAATAAAAAAAGTCACGCTTGACTTAATTTCATATTTCAAATTCAAACCGTAACTCAAAAGAGATTTCAAACTAAAAACAAATGAAATTTCAAAAAAATTCACAAAACAAAATACGGAAATTTGAAATTTAGTCGAGGAGGTGACGTCCGACAAAATTTCAGTTTTGGATATCCACACCGGTAATACCCTGAATGGCATGTCTTTTAAAAGAGGTACTTTTTAATTTCGAACAAAGGAGAGGAAGAGTAAAAGAAAAAAAAAAGTAAATAAGAGTGTAGCGGATGCTTTGAGAATTTCGTTTTCACAATTTTTTGATATAACTGTGAAGAGGAAAAAAAAAAACCTATATATTACATACCTAAGAAATAAGTGAACAAAAAAAAAGTATCTAATGCGCTATTATTGATAGAAGATACGGAAAAAAATATATATATTGAAGTATAAATATATATATTATATAAATTGATATATATATAGGTATATTGAAAAAGGGGTTTACTGCTGGGTGCGTAAAATTGAAAAAAAAAAAATTTTTTTATCTCAAAAGAATGAGAAGGCAAACAAAAAACCAAAAAAACAACAGCAGTTTGTAGAATTTCTATCCCATACTGATCGCGGAACAATAAAAATTCTTTTTATCATCGTACGAGCGATTCCTTTCTTTTTTACGTAGAATTTAGTTGATATAGTGAGAGATTATAAGTCGTCCGAAATATAGGCAAAGAATTAAAAAAAAAAAAAATAATAATTAAAACAAAACAAGTTTTTTCGAACAAATTCAGTGACCGTTTTTTTTTTTTGTTTTCATTTTCGAAAATAGCGAAAAAAAAGAGAGACAACCCCGCAAGGTAGGCGAACCAAACAGAGCGAATCATCTTGAATTTTTCTCTAGTGGCAAAACGAATCATAAAAGAAAAAAAAAAATGAGAATTGTATAACAAGAGAATAAAAAGTAGCCATGTACCACAATTTTTGCATCATAGTTTACAGAAATAAAAATCAAGGCGAGTCTAATCGCAAGGAAAAGAATTCGAAGAGCGGTTAAAAGAAAATTGTACATTAGAAGGTATCGCTCTTTGTAAGAATCACACACAAGGAACGCACAGCGAACGCGTGAGAACAAAAAAAAAAAAAAAAAAATGCCAGAGAATGTAATTTTTAATTTTGGTCTAAAATTTGCCAAAATAATAATAATAATAATAAGAAAATCAATTCTTAAGAATGACTTTTTTTCAAAAAAAAGAGCATTTAAAAAAAAGCGCTACCATTTCGAAAAAATTTCGAAATAGACGCGTTTTTGAAAAATAATTCGTTTAATGAGAATTTTTCAAATAAACGCGCTCACTTCGGAAATTTTTTAATCGAAATGAGCGCGTTTATTTGAAATTAAAAAGGGAATGGTGCAATTTTAACATTCGCTGGCATTTCTCACGCGAACTCGCACCTGATTACGTTTATTCATATTATTGTAAATAGAGAGAATGTACGGCATTGTTCGTTGTGTTGGCGCACGTGTAACATATTTATTATTATTATTATTATTATTAATTAATTAATTAATTAATTATTATTTTATTATTTTCGACATCGTTCGCCCCTCGATTGATTCTGCGAACGTCGACGTTGTTAGTGAGTTCAATTCTGTTACTATTATTTATTTCGACGCCCTTTTTTTTTTATATAGAAGAAAAAGGAATAACGAGGCACCCGCCCGGCTGTGAATAATTGTATAATACCAAAAATGGAAGCTTTTTTTTTAAGAAAAAAAAAAAAAAAAAAAAATGAAAAAAAACACGCGGCTGGTGTCTCTTAGGAATTTATAGTTGCAATATTTTGCAGAACTTGAATGTAAATCGCGCGACAATCGAAATTGAATTGTTGGCGTAGATAAATTCTATGTTAATTTGTACTTTTTCCTCGTCCCCCCAATTTATTTTTTAAGTTTAGATTTTTATTTTCTTCGATGAGAAGATTGTCCTCTTTCAGACTTGAGTAGATAGCCCAATTTGTTATTTTATTGAGCGTATATGAATATATAAATTTTTTTTTTTTTTTTTTTTTTTTTTTATTTTAAATGAAGAGAAAAATGAAAAAACAAAAAAAGCAATTAGCATCGATGCGCAGACAACCGCCACCCGTTGATTCTTTTATTTATTATACCGACTCTAGTTCTTAAGGTGACGTTCAACCGAATATAAATAAAAATATAAAATAAATATAAAAAATAATATTCAACCTACCTACAGACCCGTGCGTGCACGGAGGAACAAAACAGAATCACGCAATCATACATTTAAGTTGCTACTTGGCACGTATTCCTAAGTAATATACTAACATAAACAGTATGCAATAATAATAAATATGAAAAAAAAAATAAATTTTCTGTTTTCATTATTCCTTCCCTCTATAATATAACGAAATATTTTATTTATTTCCTTTGCTAAGGCTCATTTTTTTATATTTAATTTTTTTTTATTAATCCGCCACTTAATAAACGATTTACAGGATAAAATAAAGTTTTAAGATTAAATTAAAATTTTTAATTTAATTTAAAATTAAATAATTTTTTATTAATTATATTTAATTTGTTTCATTTAATTATAGTATGAATCAATTTATATTAATTACAATTATATGTCAATGGTGTTATTAAATAAAAAACACTCACCGATTAACAATCCCACGTCGAAAATGTTGAAGAGCTATGGCAGCATTGCTCATAGATCCTCTTTTTTTTTTTTGGAGGATGTTTCCTATTCATTTGAATTTTGCACTTCACAACACCTCACTGCACTTCACCTCACTTAACTACACTTCACTTTAATAAACATTTTTTATATGAATAAAATTTTATTAAAACTCATTTAATTTTATAAATTCTTGCAAAACTTTTAACTATTAATTTGAAATCACAAATTTTACATTTTTAAATCTAAACACATTTATGTTGAAAAATTTACTTTCATTGAGAATATTTATTTGTATTGATTTAAATTCCTTTTCAAATTCTGGACAGGAGTCCAACTTTGAATTGAAATTGAGAGAAAATTTAAATTTAAGGTTACTTTTGATGTCAATTATGTAAAAATATTCTAAATGCTCATATTTACCAATTAAATTTATTTGAAATATTGAATTTATCGAATCAGATGAACGTAATAATAGACAGATAGTTATAAATAACAATAAGAATAATAAGAAATTATTAGATTTAATTTGCGATTTTACATTCTGTTCCGTGTTAACGGCCTCGACATATTCAAATGGCATCCAGTTATAAGCAACAGTGCCAACTTGAAATAATGAAATTTCTTACATTTTGCGCATTAGCGCCAACTCAAGATAATGAAATTTTCTATATTGCTACCAACTTCACTATAGAAATTTTTATTTCCATATTTAATTTTATTAATTAATAATTTTTTTATATTAATTTCTTTGTTATTCAGCTGCCTTTATTATTTAATTATTAAGTAGATTTAATTCTAATATTATATTTTTTAAATAGAAAAAAATGTTACCCATTGCCATTGCAAATTTTTAGGTTATATTGCTGTCGAAAATTTTTTTACTAATATTAAATTTCTTTCTAAATCTTATAAAACTTTTATGAAATATTGATTCTTTATTGAAACTTGAACCTAATTACTGATAAAGATTAATAATGAACGTTAAAATATAAACGATGTGTTTAGATTTATTTTTGCAATGACATGATTTCTTCCACTGAACTATACGGAATGCGGACTACATTGTGAACAGCGTGCCGAGAAGTTTTTCACAATAGTGCCAACCCAAGATAATGAAATTTTTTTATATTGCTACCAACTTCACTATAGAAATTTTTATTTCCATATTTAATTTTATTAATAATTCTTTTATATTAATTTCTTTGTTATTCATCTGCCTTTATTATTTAATTATTAAGTAGATTTAATTCTAATATTATATTTTTTAAATAGAAAAAAATGTTACCCATTGCCATTGCAAATTTTGAGGTTTTATTGCTGTCGAAAATTTTTTTACTAAATATATTTAATTTTTTTCTAAATCTTATGAAACTTTTATGAAATATTGTTTCTTTATTGAAACTTGAAGCTAATTACTGATAAAGATTAATAATTAACTTTAAAATGTAAAGAAATGTGCTTAGATTTGTTTTTGCAATGACAAGCAGAACTATACTGACTATACTGAATGCAAATTCCATTGCAAACTTCCTGTTGAGAGAGATAGGTAATAATGGTTTGTGATTGGTTGTTTCAAATATACCCGGGGGACAAGTTTGAAATTTTTATAGAAATTACATGTCGCGTCATCTATAATTAAGATTGGACAAATTTGAAACTAACACTTGAAAATGTCTTCTTGAAATTATCTCGTTTTCTAACCTCTAAATTATTAAATTTATTCTATTTCACATAAATTAATATAAATTTTTAGTATTAAAAAATATAAATTTTATGCGTATTTCACATGTTTACATTTCAAAAGTATTATCAGTCTTATCAAGATATTATGATAATAAAGTGCGCGATTTGCTGATAATGCCAAAGAGGCATTTACAAATAGATCCAATTGTTAAAAAATTAAAATTAACGAATGATAAAGCAAATCACGAATTAAAAGTAAATGAAAAAAAAATGGTTAATAATTTAGAAATTGATTGTTCCACTGGTGATTGTACAAAAGATATTAAAGTTGAATATCTCAATACTCCTGTCAAATCAGAAAATGATAAGAAATTGTACAGGTTAGTTGATATTTTTTTCTTTTTTCTTATCTTTTTATTAAATTTAATTAATAATTAATTTATTAATTTTTTCTGTTTTAGAGTCATTCGATTAGAAAATGGATTAACCGCTTTACTTATTGCTGATACACATAATTCAACAGAGCTTAAAAATGGAGACTGTGATGTTGGTAAGAAAAGTTTTTTTATTATTTTACGTAAAAAAATATCAATGTTTTATTTATTCTTTATTTTTAAGGTGCTGAGAAGTCATCTGCAAGTGATGATTCAGAAGAAAGTGAGGAAGATGAGGAAGTAAGTGATGAAAGTGATGAAAGTGACGAGGATGACAATGAAGAGTCTGATAATGAATGCGATGATGATATCGAATTTTCAAGCTCAGCTAAACGTTCCAGTAAAGAAGAAAAAAAGGTTTCTTTTATTTGAAATTATAATTGATAATTTATATATACGATTTAAATTTGTAATTTTGGAAAAAATACTTTTTAGGCTGCGTGTGCTTTGTGTGTTGGCGTTGGAAGTTTTAGTGATCCACCTGAAATTCAAGGATTGGCACATTTTCTCGAACACATGGTATTTATGGGCTCTGAAAAATATCCCGAGGTAAATATTTTTCTTTCTAGTTAAAATTAAATTAAATTTTAATTTTAATAGTATAATAATATTTTAGGAAAATGATTTCGATTCGTTTATAAAAAAACGTGGTGGTTCAGATAATGCCTCAACGGAATGTGAACAAACAACATTTCACTTTGAAATTCAAGAGAAACATTTACCTCAAGCATTAGATCGTTTCGCGCAATTTTTTATTAATCCACTTATGAGACGAGATGCTATTACTCGTGAACGTGAAGTCGTTGAAAGTGGTTTGTATTTGATTTTCTAATTTTTCAAAACAAAAAACAAATTTTTGTTTTTAATAAATTATTTGTTTTTCTTTTAGAATTTCAAATGGCCTTACCTTCTGATTTATATCGGAAGGAGCAATTATTTTGCAGTTTTGCTAAACCTAATCATCCCGCAACAAAATTCCCTTGGGGAAATTTAACGACATTACGAGACTCAATTGAGGACGATAAATTATATGAGGAACTTCATAAATTCAGAGAACGACATTATAGCGCACATAGAATGACGTTAGCAGTTCAGGTACATATGAAAAGTCAATTTTTTAAATAATTATTATGGAGAAAATTTTTATTTTAACAGGCTAGACTTTCGTTAGATGAACTAGAACAATTAGTGAAAGATTGTTTCTCCGATGTGCCAAGCAATGGCTTGCCACCTGATAATTTTACCAAATTTAAAGGTGCTGATTCTTTTGATACGTCCGATTTTCGAAAAATGTATAAAATGAAACCGTTTAAAGACATTTGTCAGGTAATTAATACTTTGGAAATTTTATTTATAATTAAATTATTGAAAATAATTTTTAATTTTATTAGATTGAATTGACGTGGTCAATGCCAACGTTACATCATTTATATAAAAGTAAACCGCATCAATACGTTTCGTGGATAATAGGTCATGAAGGTAAAGGATCATTGATAAATTATCTTAGGAAAAAAATGTGGTGTCTGGATATATTCAGCGGAAATGCAGAAGGAGGTTTTGAACACAGTTCCATGTACGCTCTCTTCAGTTTGTGTTTAACTCTCACAGACGAGGGTCACAGAAATTTGAAACATGTTCTCGAGGCTGTATTTTCATACATTAATATGATACGGAAAAATGGTCCCGATCAAAGGATTTACAATGAAATTTTTCTCATTGAAAAAACTAACTTCAAGTATGCAACTTTTTTTTGGTATTCATTAATAAAATTAAAAAAATTTCTTTACATTACAAAATTTCTTGTAGATTCATGGATGAGGAGGACCCAGTTGACTATGTTGAAAGTCTTTGTGAAAATATGCATTTTTATGCGCCCGAAGATTATATATCGGGTAGCGATTTATATTTTGAATATAATCCAAGTGGAATTCAGGACTGTATGAATATGTTAACGGCTGATAATGTGAATATTATAATTTTTGATAAAAAATTCAACGAAGAGGAATTAAAGAACATTGAACCGTGGTTTAAAACAAAATATTCGAGAAATTCAATTCCAGATGAATGGATAGAAACGTGGAAAATTATTGAACCACTACCTGAATTTCATTTACCGGAACCGAATATTTTTATAACCACTGATTTCAAATTAATGACATTGCCTGATAATGTGCCGAAATATCCGACAAAAATTTACTCTGATGAGATTTTTGAAGTTTGGTATCGACCTGATCCTAAATTTCGATTACCGGAAGCAATGATGTATTTTTATTTAATTTCACCGAGCTCAATTGCTACACCAGAAGGGTATTTATTCGAGTTATATTTATTTTTTTTTCTTTATTTTCTTTATTTTCTTTAATTTTTAACTATTTGCAGTTGCGTAATGATGGATTTATTTATTGCGATATTGAAGCAAATTTTGGTGGAGAAAATATATGCAGCAACGGCAGCAGAACTTCAACACTCTATTTATACATGTGATAAAGGCGTTGTATTAAAATTTAATGGATATAATCAAAAATTACCGGTAAAATTAAAATTTTCTATTTTTATTCTTCTATTTTATTCTAATTTTATTTTTATTTTAGCTCTTGATGAATACTGTCATTGAATGTATGGCTGAAAGTCCGAATTTAATATCAAAGGAATTATTCGATGTCATGAAACAGGAACAACTAAAAGCTTATTATAATAATTTCCTCAAGCCTAGTAAATTAGTCAAGTATGATTATTTTATAATAATTAAATTTTAATTTAATGAAAACTAATTAATATTAATTTAAAGAAATTTAAGACTTCTTTTTTAAAATAGTCAATTCTTTTATTTCAGAGATATTCGATTGTGTATTCTTCGTTTGCGTCATTTTTCATCGACTGATAAATATGCTGCTATTGCAGCTATTGATTATGATCAATTTTTGAATTATGTGAAACATTTCACGAATCATCTTTTTATTCAGTGTTTGGTGCAAGGGAATATGACAATGGAGGATGTGATTGAAAATGTGACAAATTGTAAGAAAATATTAAAATGTGGATCACTCTTGCCAAATACAATGCCAGAAATCAGAGTTACGCAAATTCCTCTTGGAATTCAATGTTGTAGAGTTAAAAATTTTAATAGTTCCGATGCAAATTCGGTGATTACAAATTATTATCAGTCAGAAACTTCGAGCATTAAACTCACGGCTATTATTGAATTATTAATGGTGAGTAGAAATGAGAATTCAAGTAAATTATTTTAATTAAACATAATTGAATAAAATTGTCCACAGATGATTATGGAAGAACCTCTTTTCAATCAGCTGAGAACTTTGGAACAGCTTGGATACAATATTAATTGCCTAATAAGAGATACATTTGGAATTTTAGGATACAGTATAACTGTGTACACGCAAGCAACAAAATTCACTACAGATTATTGTGACAATAGAATAGAGGAATTTATGAAATTATTCAAAGATTTGTTAGCAAAAATGACAGACGATGAATTCAGTAATGTGAAGGAAGCCCTCATAAAAATGAAACAAACTGTCGATATTGATTTGACGGAAGAAATTGACAAGAATTGGGCTGAAATAACAACGGGTGAATATTTATTTGATCGTCTTGAGCGTGAAATAACAGCGATTGATGGCATTAGTTTGGATGATTTGAGAAAATGGGTCGATGCACATACAAAAGACGGTAGCAATTTTCGAAAACTTAGTATTCAAATTCAAGGATCGGATGAGAAAAACGATGATGCTGATGTTCCCTGTGATCATGAATCAAGAGACGAGATAACTCACAATCAGGAGAACAATTGTGAGAACAATTTTTTAAATATTATATTTTGATGCTTTTTTTTTTTTGTCATACACAATTTGCAAAAAAAAAAAAATTTTTTTGTTTTCGATACAATTTTATCGATTGTTTTAATTTTTATTATGTAAGTACTTTTTTTTTTTTTTTTTTTTCTCCTTTTAATGACATTATTTTTGTATTTATGGGAAAATGTTCTATTACAGGTGAACGAGGAAAAATGAAATTTCCTTTAAATTATGTGACGAGTAATTCATCGAACGAGGAATGTTGTATTTTAAATATTGAAGAGTTTAAAAAGGAACTAAAGGTTTATCCTATTAAAAAGACTGCCTTATGATGGCATTTTTAAATTAATAATATCTTAAAACCACTTGTGCATTTATCGAGCAAGATGTAAAATAAATTCATTTATATTATAGAGATTGAAGAAAATATGATTAAAAAAAACCTTTACCTGTATAACTATTTTTATTTTTTATAAAAATAATTTGAATTTGGGATTCGTTTTTTCTTGAAATGAACAACTAATTAATTTTTAAAAGTTTTAATTTTATTCAAGACATACAAACGTTTCAATAAACTATTACTTCTGAACTTAACAAAGGATCACTCTTTGAAAAAATTTAAAAAACAAAAAAAAAATCTAATACTTTAAGAGAAAAAAAAAAGAACTTCTGCCACTGGTTTTCACAAAAACTTAAAGCAAATAACTAATTAAAGAATTATTAATTTATTGTGATTAGATAATAATTAAATATTAGTAATTTAATTTTTTAATATTTTGACAAAAATTACAAATTATATTATTGAATTTTAATTACTTTTGTCTGAATTAATCCTTTTAATATTTGAGTAGTTAATTTTAATTAAAGTTGAATATTCTAAATTGTTTACTACATTCATTAAGTGCAGTTTTCACTTATTAGTCTGAATAATTGTTAATATTGTTTTTTTAGATTATAGTGATCAGTTCTACTTTCCAAATATATGTAACTGGTTTTTTAAATATATATTTTTTAAATGCGCCTTTAATTTTTTTAAAGTAATGATAATATAATAATTTTTTTTTTTTTTTTTTTGCCTGTCTCATTCGCTCGCACTGATTCTTAATATTTTTAATTAATCAGATCACATTAGTATTTGAATTCAATTGTTGAATTGACAGTATGCAAAAATTTGAAAATAAGAATCGCATGATTAAAAAGCACAGACAATTTACAACAACGATGGAGAGTAATCCAATACATTAATTTGATTTATTAAATATAAATGCAGATATTAAATGTTGTCTCTTCATTAGACATGTTTTTATTATTATTATTATTTATGAGTGCAGTTTTTCTTTTAAGTCCAAAAAAAAAATGATCTAATAGGTATGTATAAATAATATTTGATAAATTTCGACATTTTCTTTAGTAAATATGCCTGAGTCACTTTCTTCGTCAAATTAAAACAAACAGTTTTTTTCTCACGAAAAAAGTTCATTAGGTGAAAATTATTATTTACAAATTTCGCAGCGACGAAACATATAATTTCAATTCGCGCTTTACTTAAATTGTTATTACATTTTTTTTTTAATTGTAAAGAGAAATTGTTAAATGGAAGAAAAAATTGTAACAGCAATTAAAATAAAAAAAAAAAAATTACGAAATTGCGTACTTCTTCAACTATGAAAAATAATATCAGAGTATATATTTATGGACCCACGTGTATTTTTTAGCTACGTCAATAATTTTTTTTGTCTTTTATTATTTAATATACTGTCGTATTTCTTTTTGGTTAATTATTATAATATACAAGCAACACTATTAGTAAAACAAAAAAAAAGATCTTTCTCAGTAGAGAAATATTTTTCTTTTTTATAATCTAATCGAAAGAAGATTTTAGTAATTTTAGAAAGTAATTTTATAATTGTAAGTATTTTTTTTTTAAATAATAGAATATTTTTTCTTTTACATTTTGAATGTATCGATGCGTTTATATTTTGCGTAACACAATATAGTTGATTATTCTTTTGTTTATATAAATATACGTGTACATTATAAATTTATCGTGGGCCCCTATATCGCATACTAACAAAAAGCAGGGCACAAAAATCAGCGCACCTGACTTTGAGTCGTTCATATTTTTTATTATTTCTTTTTTTTTTTTTTGTTTTAGTTAAGATTTCCTTTCTTTTCAGTGTATTTTTGTTTTTTAAAAATCGTTTTTTTTTTGTAATGCAGTGCAAACGATTAATATTATTACATTAGATGTCAGTGACTTGAGTTTCTTTTTATCTTTACGAAAGCGTAAATTACCTTTCGATTTATGATCAGTTTAAAATTACTAATCTTTTTATCTCCCAAGTTTTAATTGTAAAAAAATGAATACAGCGCGATGATGATTATTCCTTTTTCTTTTATTACAATGTCAATTATAACGCACTTTTTTTTTAAATCAAAGTCTTGCATCTCTCGCATTTTTTTTTTTTTTGTCTCATTTTTCTTATTCCACAAAAATTTTCCTGAAGTAATTAATTAATTAGTATTAAATAATTAACTGATTACTTAATTAAAATTAATGTGGAGAAAAAAGAACGTAAGAACTTTGAATTCACGCTTGTTTGTCAGTTTACGCAATAACAAATTTTACAAAAATAGAACATTTGTTTATCACCTCTCGTTTCTTTTTTTTTTTTTTTTTTTTTTAATATTATTTCGATAAATGTTTTATTTGCTCTCTCTCTCTCTCTTTCTCTCTTTCTTAAATCTCTGCACGTAATTTTGTCTTGATTTGATTGACAAATATTAAATTTTTTTTTTCGTGCTGTCTTTCTTAGTTATTTTGTGTTTTTAAACATTATTTGTGTTTAAACATTTGTGTTTTTTTTTCTCATTTTAACACAATTCATTTCTAATCTCAATACGCTCACAGGGTAGTTTCTTTGTATATATATATAAATATATATGTATATATACAACAATCACACCGTCTTTCTTTCGCAACTGTACAAATTAAGCAAAAAACAGACTTGTGTAAATATGCTACAAAATAAGGCAACTTATCACAAATTTTTTCGCAAATCGATTTTTTTTATTATTGTTAACCCTATCACCCCCCCCCCATCCCTCCCCCAGCGAAGACACGTACATTTTTTTTCTCTGTACGCACTCAAAAAATAATGGATTTTAATTTAGAAAGTTTATTAAATTACATAACCAGATTTATGTACAGACAAACTTTGAATTCATAAATTGATATTTCTTCTAACCATAGATTTTTGACGAATTCAGAGCTTTTTTTTTGTATAATTGATTGAATTTTTATCAAATTAAAATAAAATCTATATTTGAATTTAATAAGAAAAATTATAGTAACAACAAAAAAATGATAGTAATTTGAAAAATACAATTTTCATAAAATAGAAATTCTATAACGTTCGTTTCATTATTTTTAAATAGATTCAATTTTTGAAAAAAAAAATTGTTTCCTTTTTAATCAATTTTTGAATTAATTGGAAAAATGTGTAAAAACAAAAATTAAATGCAAAGTCTGCCTGCATGCATCGAATCACAATCACTCGGGTGAATTTCAGACGCACCAGCAAATTAAATATATGTTTCTATTCGCGCAAAGGCGTTTTTTTTTATCGATTTCATTTTTTTACCACCTTCTTTCTCGTTTTCTCTTAAACGTGTATATTATAATCACAACACGTTTATTTACACCAATATAGTAATTCCCTTTCGAATCATGCTTAATCTTTCCATATATTTTTTTGCTCACTCGCAGTCAAAAGTTTCAACAATTACGTATGTATTTATTCTACATGGGAACACTAAACCTAAATCATATATAAATATATATTTTACTTATATGAAAAGCATCAGTCTCGATTCCTCAGTGTTATCTTGGAATATTCCGTTCCCATTATTTTTTTTTTCTTTGACATATTTTCTACAAATATGTAGAATTTTTTTTTTTACAATTTCTTTTTTCTTCCTCTTTTTTTTCTGGGTAATTCGGTTGCCAAGAAAACAAAAGCGAGCATTTCATATAATACCGAAAAATATATATTTTTCATTGTAAAAAAAATAATCACGCTCCTTAAGAAGTAAATACTTTTGTAGCAGTTGACACGACTTTCTCATTAATAAAAATTAGCGCATGCATACTAACCACGGTGGCATTTATTATTTTTTTTTTGCTTTTTTGGCAGTGAGGACAAGATTTTTTTTTTTATATAGATATTTTTTTTTAGCGCTTTTGTTAACATTTGGCCCCACCATAGCTGACAATGTTGTCACCACAAATATTTTTTTTTTTCCATTAAATTAATTATTTCATTAATTAATCTCACTTTCAAACAGATAACCAATTAAATCGAAAAATGACAATTTCAAAATTCTCGTCAAATTTCAAAAAAATGTGAAATTTCAGAAATTTTTTAAATTTCAAACAAGTCAAATTTTCAAGATGAGTCAAATTTTAAATTTCAAAGTCAAAATTTGTAACAAGTATGTAACAAATTACGAGTAAAAGAAAATGAAACAATAATTCACAAATGAATTATATAAATTGATATAGAAACTAACGCTAAATACTGAAACATTTGTGATGCAAAACTTCTCAATGAACACATAATAATAATTAGATTGGTTACAGTCTTGAGTCATATCCGGGATTTTTGTTTTTTTTCGTCAAAGATCATTGAGGTTTTTTTAAAAAAAAAAAAAATGAAAAAAAACCTGTTAGTTTTCAGCTTTCAGTGTAGCATCTCCCTGACCTTTTTCAATTCGACCATTTTCAACAGCATCATCGAATTGTCCGGGCACTGCGTGAATTTCTTTAGATAAGCACAAATTTGCTAGTGATTCACTAACATAATCACTATTGATACCTTCCACAGTAAGGCCACGACCAGTGCTTACTTTTTTCTCAAAATCTTTATTTTTCTTGATAACTGCCTTCTTTTTTGATGTGGCCTAATTAATTCATTCAGTATCAATATATTAATAATAAAATAGTAAATAATATTTAACAACTCTAAATAACATTAAAATCATTAAATTACCTTCATTTGAGTTTTTTTCCCTCTACCAGCGATTTGAACACGATTATTGTTTCCCCTTGTCTGGAATGCTGGACGTCCTACTTGATTAAATCCCCTAGGAAATCCAAGTTTCACACCACCAACAGACGTGACCTAAAACAAATAATTAGTTTACATAAACTGTTTTTCCTTTTTTTTTAAAAATAAGTTTTTTTTTCAAGAAACCAATAAAGAACCTTCATGAACTTATTTTTTTCGAAAGAAAAGTAAAAATAAAATGTTTTTTTTAATAATTTTCCACCAATAAGATAAAAGCGTATAAAAATATAAGTAACTTAGAAAAACATGCGCCAATTAAAAATAGAAATTAAATAATTTCTAAATGTTAATCATGCTTATGAGAATGTCACCACATGAAATATGAAATAAAATACTTCTCTGATTAAAACCCTTCACTGTAATCATTTTTTTTTTTTTATCTAAAATATGGTCACAAATTGAAATTGGTGTCTTTTCACGTTTTTCTTTTTTTTTTTTTTTTTTAACGACACGATAAGAAGTTAAAACGAAATGAAGAATAACACAGATTAGTGAAATGATAATTGCACAACACGTCAAGTACTTATTAATTCAAAAAAGCAAAACACGAAACACTATTTCAACTTGAGGAGCCATTTTAAATGGTGCAGACTCTTACAAACAAATGTTGCCCAAATAAAATGTTTAAAAAAAAAAGAATTTTCAACTTGAAAAGAAATTATGATTTTTAAATTAAATGAAAATTCCAACGCTATATGAATATTTAATGCAAATTAGGTACACAGTCGATTTTAAATAATAAAAAAAAAAACACCAGTTAAAGTATTTACAAAATTTATGTACCTTTATTCTGATAGCATTAAATGTATCATATAAAAAAACAATTGTAAATAGTGCAATTATTAAAAAATATATGTATATATATATATATTTATACAAATATAAATAAATAAATACATATTTATGTATTTATATTTATATAATTGGACACTTGGTGTACAATTTTTTAACGAAACTTTCATGAGGTTCTTTAGTAACAATTTACTTGACATTAAATGAACATGACATGACATCCAAACACAAATTGGATACTATTTAAAAAAAAAAAGTCATAACATAAAACAAAAATAAATTAATAAAATTATTAATTAAATTAGTAATTTAATTAATCTTTTCCAAAAAAAAGTGATTACACTTATTTTGAAAAAAAATTATCTGAATATTAATCAAAAAAAAAATAAAAAAAAAATAAAATTACTTAGAACCGCATTAAGAAAACTCGAATTGAATTCGGGTATTAAAAAATTAGAGTAATTAGAAAAAAAATTAGGGAGGACGAAAATTAATTTAAAATTAATTATAACATATTAAGTATATCAGATTCGTTAAAGTCGTCATAAAATCCTGCAGCAGGCAATCCTTGTTCCATGTAGATGCGTCGACGAACTGTGACGCTTCGATTGCGCATGCAGAAGCGATATCGTACCTGAGGCGGAAGTCGACCACGAGGCGGTCCCTGTAATGGTTGCGGTAAACGACCTGGTTGTCCATAATTTGCTCCCCATTGACCAACAACAACGCCAGCAATTTCCAATTGTCCACCTCTCGACGGCACTGGTGGACGTCTCATTAATCCACGTTGAGGTGTTACATTGGCTCCACGTCCACGAATTATTGGATCATTGAGCGTGCATCCAGCTGGTAAAATATTTTGCGTTACCGATACTCGAAGATCTGCAAAACAAAGAAGCCAAATTACTAACGTTTCTTTAAAAAAAAATTGAATTTATTTTTTGAAAATCAGTGTAAAATTTATATTAACATTTAAAAATTGAGAAAATAACGTACTTGGATTGAGAGGTAGTGGAGGTTTTGCAAAAATCACGTTAACACCTTCAAGAATTGCCTTTCGCATTCTCTCCACTTTAACGACACGCTCGATATGTCCATTACAAAGTTCTAAAAGATTTTTAGCAACCATTGCTTTTGCAAGTGTATGATGGAATAATTTTCCATCGAAATAAAGCCATGGACAACACATTAGCCATGGAATTGGTGCACCGCATGCATCATTTGCTAAAAGGGCAGTTTCAACACCAGCCATGAATAGAGTAGCGAGTTGAACGCCACGAGCAGTCACGAGCGGTAACTGAAAAAACATAAATTAAATAATAATCAATTAAATAAAATATTAAATTTAATATTTTTTCCAAAAATAAATTTTTAACACAATTACTTGTAAATCTTGTAGATATTGAGCATTCATTAATTCTGGAGAGAAGGCTTGCACAATAAACGCATCCAACTCCTGTCGTCTTAGAATTTTTGTTTTATCAGAAAAAGTCATAATATACCTGAAATATTATTTCAATAAAAGTTGTTTTTAAATTTGAAATAGAAAAATTATAAACGGCTTAATAAATAAAATAAAAATTACCTTAGTACACAAGCCATAACTAGTAACTGCTGAGGAACATATGAAGTATTTAGCATAAGTGGAGTATCTGACATCATGCATGTTACGAAAGCACGTAACCGTCGACGTTTATCATCAATTACAGTTCTAAAAAAAATAATAAGCGTATAATTAATTTAAAATTAATTAAATTATTAATTAAGAAAAATATCAAAAATGATTTTTACCCAAACCATAAACGCTGAATTGTTGGAACGCCCCAACCAATTTGTTCAGCTTTTACCAATTCTGGATATTGGTAAGTATTCGTTTTCGACCATATCCATTCTTTAATAGTCACGTCCGATAATTCAACTTTGTCAGTATCTAGAAAAAAAGAAAATTAATTTAATTTCATAATTAGACATTAATTTTTATATTTTTATTCTAACCTCCTTTTTCCTTGCTCTTGTTTGCCAAATAAATTCGATGATGAACATTAAATAAAATTGCATAAACCATTTGTCGTACTGGTCGATAAATTAAATGAATTGAAGGAAATTCACGATTATTTTCATCTTCCAAAAGAACTGGTAATTTTATTTCACCAGCTGTGAGAATTTGATAGATATAAGGTGACATCAAACCCTTTTGATGACGTTCAGATGCTGTGCGCATAACTTCTGGCACTGTACTTGGTACATTTGAATTTTTCTCATGCGACGGCGATGTTGCCGATGAACTGCTACTCGAACTTGATGTACTTATCATTAAATTATGAGTTCCATTAACAGCGTGTCCATTTCCCATTGTCGTTGGTACTGCAAAAAAATTGACAAATTAGAAAATAAAATTAAATAGTTTAAAAATTTTTAAATTTACTTTGTTCTTCTTCAACTCGCACAGTGTCAGCGTCCCCGTGTCCTTGAATTCCAGGTGGTTCTATCACAATTTCAGGTGTGGCAGCTTTAGCACTTGCTGTAGCTTCTTCATAGGCTTTTAAAGTTTCTCTTTGTCTTTCCGCCGTTTCAGATGCAAAACCTGTCATTTCCAAATTTGCATCATCTTCCAAACACGCAGCAGAATCGGAAGAATTTAATTGTCCCTGAGAATCTTGTTTCGAATCAATTTTAAATCCTTGAAAATGAAAAAATGTTATTTCAAAACAAAACAAAAATTTAAACTTTTTTTTTTTCAATTTACCTTTAGTTGGTTTAACTGGCTTGTACCTCAAGAATCCCTCTTTGGTACCATTGATGTAATATTGAACAGATTGCTTCCATTTTGAGCATCTTGGATCAGTGAGTGAGCCAAAGATTTTTTGCGCGACAACATCAAGTTCAGTAGATGGCAATTCTTTGACAAAATTTGCTATTGTTTTAATAGTTTGCTCGGTATTGATCTTTGTTAAGTTTATTGTAATATTTAATTTTTTGTAAAATTCAACTAGCTCGTGCTCCGGTAAGATAAAATTACCAAGTAAAGACGCGAGAATACACAATCGATCGGATGGTATATTCAATGCTTTTGTAACTTCAGAAATTATATATTCCTTCGTTTCAAGTGATCCCTGTAATATAAAAAAAAAAAATTTCACATATTCTTAAATATAATATAAACAAATTAAAATTTAAATAATTACTTTATAGGTCAATTTCAATTGTTCAGAGGAAAAATATCTTGGTGGATCAAATGTTGCGTATTCAGCGTCATTGGCAACAAGACCACTGAAATTATTTTCACGACAATAGGCAATGACTTCCTGATGATGATCATCCATACTGCATAACTGAAACGCAAATATTTTTTAATAAAACTTGGTAATTTTCAATATAATTAATAATTTTAGATACTAACAACAGTAACATTATGATGACGAAAAGCCATGCGCAAACTTGTGCGCAAACAAACTGGAGGTGTCCACCAAACTTTTGGTGGTGGTGTACCTTTTGTTGTAATGTGCTTTAAAACCTGTAATAAATAATTATTTGAAATTGAGAATTTAAAAAAAAAATTGATTTATTAAAAATCAAATTTAAATTCGACGTACGTTATTCACTTTCATTCGGACTTTTAATTGATTTTGAATCCATTCTTGTCGACGTGAAGACTCGAGGGATCCATTGAAAAATACAGCCAATTCGACACCTTGCATTTCTGTTGCTTGCAATAGAACCAAAATAAATTGATACATTCGATTCCATTGACCACCGCAAGCCCAATCTATACAAAAAGTATATAATTAACATACGTATAAAAAAAAGAAGAAAAAAAAAATTTTTACCTGAGAAATATCCTCCATAAAGTCTATCAAGGCAACATTCACCATCAACAACCAATCTTAATTTAGGCGTAGCAATTGGCTGTGGTTGTCCTTTGCCAACTCGGGTTCGTTGCCTTTGGGTGATACTCCTACCAATTTTTAATAAATCTACTGGTACAGCTGCTCCTGGCACGCTATTACCATCCAAAAATAGTTGCAAATCTTGAATACCCATTTTTATAAATTCTTGCTTTGTTTTCTTTTTCTTGTTTTTTTTTTTATATTTATTTAAAAATACAATCTAAGAATTTATTATTCTTTTTGAATTCAATACGTTGTTTTTCTTTTTTTTGTTTTTTCAAAATACGTTCAAATTCTTTTTGAAAAAAGATTATCGTTTCTTAATGCGACATTAACTTGATTTTTAGAAAGTGAAGTCCAGTTCAAATTTTTGTAGTTGAAATCTGTAATTAAAAATTATTTTTATTAAACATTGAATAAAAATTTAAAAAGAAAGAACAATACATAATGGTTTTATTCAAATGTATATCAACAAGTAACGTGAAACTCTTACGATTAATGATTAAAAAATATTCTCAAAGTTGACATTTCTATATTGACATTGAGTCATGAGAAAAAGAAATTAATAAAGTGAGCAAATTTATGAAAAAAAAAAATTGATACTAATTGGAGGATTCGTTTTCGACCAGGTTTATTATTGAAAATAAATCACTTTACTTTAAAGCACATTAAAAATTAAAATATAACCTAAAATTCATTCGTTACAAATGCCATTTACCTCAATGCAAAAGGTTTATAATTTATAATAAAGCAAATTGTCGACAATTTGCAAAGTCTTTTCAAAGTGATGCTAACTAAGTCAATAAAAAACATAAATTACACAAGAAGCGGGTGTTACAATTAACCAGGTCAATCACACTAATAATTAGTCTACGTGTGAGAAAGGCCGACAGACAATAATCGGTCAATTTCGTAATCTTGCAAAAACGAAAATTTATTAAAAAAACATTCAACAATTATATATTAATTTATTGTTTATTTAAAAAAAAGAAAAATATAAGTCATCTTACATAAATTGTGAATGGAAATTTTTTTTTGAGTAAATTTTTCTTTTATGAAACAACGGACTACATTTTTATACGTTTGCTCATTGAACTGTTTCGGCGTCACATATAGTTTGTTTATGCCGATAATAACGATGGATAATTTTCCACTAACAATAGTTATGAAATTAAATATTGACAATTATCATGATCGTTGAGAAATATCATTGTCATGAGAATTATTTATGAATAAGCAGTGGAGTTATCGGTTCATTTCTAATAATGTAAAGGAGGGTCCTGGAACCGGCATGGCGAAGTCGTGCGCCTCGTTGTCTACGGCTTACGCAAGGAATAGCATGGATTTGCGACCATTTTAATATACAAACAAATCGTGCATTTCCTTTGGAATTTTCATTATTTTAACTTGATTTATATTTAAATAATACTTACGTTAAATTAGCGAGAATCATTTTGACTCCAAATGAAACACAAAAACACGGACTTTTATAGATGACGTTGGATTCGAAACCGGAAGTGGAACAAGATTCGCACATAACTATTGACTTCAGTTGTATTATTGCACTGTTTGCTAAACAATTTTTGCCATTGGCCAAGCGAATAAAAACCCCACCGGATATCAAAATTGAGCGGCAAATTAGAATTTTAAAAACTTGATATCAAAATATTGTTTGAAAAATAATTTCCTTATTGTTTCAAGATTTTAATTTTCAAATTTTAAATAAATGTTAATTTTTTATTTTTTTTAAGGATTGAAAGAAAACAATTTTGCAATTAAGTTTCAATAATCTTTAATTCTCTGTATATAAACACATATGCTCACTTTGCAATCACACATCATTGGCGACGACGTTCGTTCTGTATTCACAAATATACGTTTACTAATATAATTAAATGGAAGAACAAACGAAGTGAATATATGTAATAAATAAATCTTCGTCTAACGGACTGTTGTGCAAAGCAAACGGAATACAAACAAATTCCATGCGATTTATTATCACGTAGAATTTTTCTACATCACTCATATTGTAGTCAAATAGTTTTTGATGGACTTTAAATTAAATCACCGAGTTGACTCGTATTAGAGATATATATATAAAAAAAGAGTATAAAGAATCGCTCGATTGAAAAAACTATATAAATGAGTGAATATTTTTGCAACAATTTGTCACAAAAAAAAAAATTAATAAAAAGCTATACATTGTATAGCCTGTGTTCCTAAGAGGAAAAAATAAGTCTTATTCCTCTTTAAAAGTCAACATTCAATTGAAATTGATTTTTTATTAAAAAAAAAAATTAGATTTCAATAATGTTGAAAATCAATTTTCCTGTATTTTAAAGCTCATCGTGATCTTCGGTTGATTCTTTTTCATCGTCAGCACCAATTTCAGGCTCTTCAGACTTATCGCCCTCTAATAAATCATCATCGTCCTCTTCCTCTTCTTCTGGAACTTCGTCAACTGGAATTCCCAATGTTTTTCGCATAAGTTGCTCGACACTGTCGGCAAAGTTTTGCGTGTCTCTCAACATATATCCAGATCGAAGTGTTGCTGTTCTGAACATCATTGTTGCCATGTCCTTCGCTGTTTGATCACTTTGATCTTGCTCGACTCGCCTCAATAATTCTCTGATCAATGGATGTCTTGGATTGATTTCCAATGTTTTCTTCTGATTAAGATAATACGATGTTTGTGGATCGTCAGCCTTTTTGTGTGCATTAGAAGTGGCCAATCGTTCCATATTTCCAGTCCATCCAAACATACTTGCAACCAATGCACACGGTGAATCGGTCAATCTTTCGGAAATTTGAGCTTTGTTGATTTGATCCTTGAGAACGTCATTGAGCCATTTGACAAGTGGTTCAAATGTCGTCTTCAAATGTTCCATTTTCTCCTTTGCCTTTGCGCCTTCATCAAGGACAAATCCTTCTTTTGCAACATTTTGGAATTTCTTTCCCTCGAATTCAGGAAGAGTGGAAATAGCATGCTCATCAACTGGCTCAATTAAATACAAAACCTCGTAACCTTTTTTCACTAGACGTTCGACAAATGGCGATGATTTTGTTTCCTCCTCATTGAGACCACCAATATAATAAATATGATTTTGATTGGGTTTCATTCGTCCCACATAATCCATTAGATTAGTTTTATTTTCACTGGCAGATGATTTAAAGAGCATAAGTTTCGATAATCTTGCTCTATTCGATGAATCCTCAATCACGCCCAATTTAATATTAGTACTGTATTCCTTCCAGAAATTCTCGTATTCCTCCTTTGAAATTTTCTTAATCATATCGAGGACCTTGCGAATTAATTTCTTTTTAATGATCTTAATTAATTTATGCTGTTGTAAATCCTCACGTGATACATTCAATGGTAAATCATCGCTGTCAACAATACCGCGAATAAAATTCAAATAATTTGGCATCATATCGTTAAATTTATCAGTTATAAACACGCGTCTCACGTATAATTTGATATTATCAGATTTTGTTCCATAACGATTGAAACTATCAGTTTGTTGAACTTTGGGAATATAGAGAAGTGATTTAAATGTCACTTCGCCTTCAGCGACAAAATGAATATGTGTCAATGGATCATCACTGTCTTTGGTTAAAACTTTATAAAAATCATTGTATTCCTTATCCTCAACATCAGAAGGTTTCAATGTCCAAATTGGTTTTGAGTCATTCAACACTTCCCAATCCCAGACGGTTTTGTCAATTTTCTTCTTTTCCTTTTCCTCCTTATCGTCCTCAACTTTAGCATCCTCTTCATCATCTTTTTTCTCATCCTCCGATTCATCTTCAGTTTGATCCTCGGATTTTTCGGCTTCGGGTTTTTCCTCCTCCTCCTCTTCTTCAACTTGAATTGTTTTACTGCACCAGAGAGAAATGTTGAAATTAATAAACTGCGAGTATTTCTTCACGAGATTTCTAATTGTATCCTGTTCGAGGAAATCCAGTGCCTCGTCCTTCAAGTGCAAACTGAAAAGAGAAATTTAAATAAGTATACATCTTTGATTTTTTTAAAATTAAAATTTTATAAATATTTACCTAATGGTTGTTCCACGTTTGAGAGTATCGCCTCTGGGATCTTCAATGATTGAAAAGCTGCTACTGTCCGATTCCCAAATATATTGTTTGTCATCATTATTTTTTGTGGTTACGACAATTCTGTTGGCAACCAAAAATGCCGAGTAAAAACCAACTCCAAATTGACCAATCATATCGTTCATTTGTCCAAGATCTTTGGCGTCTTGCATTTTACTCAAAAATTCAGCAGTTCCAGATTTTGCAATTGTTCCAAGATTATTTATCAAATCCTGTTTTGTCATTCCAATACCAGAATCAGTGATACTAAGTACTTTTCCCTCCTTGTCGGCTTTTATTCTTATTGCCAATTCTGGATTTGAATCAAGTACATTTTTATCCGTGAGAGACAGTAATCGTATTTTATCCAAAGCATCGGAGGCATTTGAAATTAATTCACGAAGGAAGATTTCCTTATTTCTGTACAATGAATTAATAATCAATTTCATCAATCGATTAACTTCCGTTTGGAATGTGAATTTTTCTGCTTTCTCACGTAATTCCTTTAATTGTGCCACATTTAATCCATCCAATTTAACTGCCTCCTCCTCACGCTGTACAACCTCATCATCTGAAAAATTATTTAATTTATAAAAAATTAATTCCTAAAAACAAATGAAAAATGTTTTATTATGAATTTTACTTTAAAAGCCGGTAAAATTTTAATGCATCAAATTTGAATCAAAATAATAATTCCACTGTTTATTATTCACGTGAATAGAGATAATTTAATCAATAAAGTTCGAAATATGATTTAATATTTATCAAGTAATACACCCACTTAAATAACAACAACAAGAATAAAAAAAATATACTACTAAATAAAATCAAAACTCACCAGTTCTGGATGCTTCTCTACTAGAACCTAAATCATTTTCCACGGTACCAACATTTTCTTCAATAGTTTCTTTATCAGCAAGGGCAAAACCTAAAAAAAAAGTAATTTTTTAAAATTATTTATCAAAATTCCAGTTACAAACACTATTTTTTCTTTCTAGCCAAATAACAAATAATTACAAAGAAAAATACTCACCGCTAAGTAATAATAGGCCCGCTAGGGCAAAAAACAATTTTTTCATTGCTTAATTTGCACGTGAAAAATTGTTGTTAAAAAAAAAACTAAATTAATCTACTTTTCAACATTCAACAACGTCTGTTATTTTCCGGCGACTGTCACAAAATTATGCACTGACGAAAAATTTAATAGAAAGTAAATCAGTTTTCAGCCAATCATAAGGAACCACGCAAATGTAGGTGGACCAATCTAACGTCAGTTTGTGGCACGGACAAATACATATGTCCTCTTCTGATTTGTTCAATACTTCACACAACACGTCAGCCAATGATTATTTCTATTATTCCCTTAGATAAATATAAAATAAAACAATTTTTTTATTTTAAATAATTATTTAAAATTTTTGCATTAATATAATAATATTAATTATAGAATAATAAGTAAATAAATTCTCTTTGTATTTCATATAGATTTGTGTGAAATAATTCGTATTTCTTTTACGTACAATGTTTCTTTTATTTATAAAATATATTAAAAAAAAAACAAAATATAAATTGAATTTAATAAATACTTAAAATTTGTTTATTTAACTTTCTTTTGTTTTTTTTAAATAAATGGAAAATTTATAAATAAGAGAGAAAATAAATAATAAACAACAAAAAAAGAATAAACTATTTTGAATTATTCAATAATTGGCGCGTAAAGTTCAACAGATGGCTTTAAAATGCGGGAAAATTTAAAATTTGGAAATTCAAATTCTGTGTATTAATTATTATTTCATGTTCTAAAATTTAAACAATGATAATAAATAATATTATTAATTATTATTATTATTATAAATTATTTAAATTAAGAGTAATTAAAAATGATATTATTTTATTATTAACGCTAATAATATTAAATAAATAATAATAAATAAATATTTTTAAAAAATGGAAAATAATTATTGAAGTTACGTAAAAAAATTTATAATTAAGATGAACTATATGGCGCCTATATACATAATTTTAATGTTTGAGCATTAATAGACATTAAGATTTCTTTTTAAGATGAAACAAAGACCGGAAATGAATTTGATATACCAATTTCACGCTCAGTTTAGCACCTATGACTTCATTCTATTTCTATTTAACTAAATCTATATTAAAAATAAAATATATTTAAAAAAATATATTACAAAATATATTTTAGAAAATATTATTAATTATTAAAAATTAATAAAAATATATTTTTTAAATTAATAAAAATTAATAAAAATATATTTTTTAAATTATTAAAAATTAATAAAAATATATTTAATATTTTTAAATATAAATACAATACGTATTTGAAAAATCTAATCATGTCACCTATTGTGTTCTATTGTATTTCAATAAAAGCGAAATGTATCATTAGTTTTTATTTATTGAAAAACAAGTGTTGTGACAGATCGTCGTTATGGACACAGCACTTATGTATATATGTATATGCATGCTAAAGGATGAACACACCTATTCTTTAATTGTATGAAAGTAAACACACTACCACTTTTTTATCTTTACATACATACATATATATAGAATATATCCTCGGATATAAGGAACACCCTTGTTGTCATTTACCTTCCGGTCTTCTCCCAGTGCATTCCATTTTACACTAAATATTTCCTTGTTGAATTTTTTTTTTAAATATTAAAAATTTATTAAAAGTTTTTGTAAAATTTAAAAATACTGTTGCGCAAGAAGTTAAGGTAAGATTAAAAAAAAAAACTTTTTAATTTATATCTTTTTTTTTAAATAATCTAATTTATAATAAACATTTTTTTTAATACTAATTTTAAATTAACGAATTTTTAATTTTTTAATTACAATTAAATATATTTAATTTTTATTTTATATTGAAGATGATTTAAAATAAATAAAAAGTTCACATTTATAAACTTTCGAATTTAATTTACACTTTAGTAAATTAATTGCAATTAATATTTTTAAATTTAGATCGGAGCTTTGTGAAACTAAATAATATTGAAATTATTAAAAATTATTTATTTATAATTTACTATTTATTTATAGGTATAGAATTCATTTTAAAATAATTGTTCTATAAGAACAGTTGAAAATGAATTGCAAAGGATTTTGGTGTTTTATTCGAGTTAATTATAATTTCTAATTTTTTTATATTTCTAATCTTCTCTTTTAATTGCATGATTTTCTGAAAAAAAAAATTAATATTGAAGCCCCTAAATGGTAGTCGTACTTGTTGAGTACGATTTGATTGAACTAGAAAAAATAATTATATATTCCTTTCAGCAATATGTATCAAATTCGTTCAGAATTTTGGAGAAATAAATTCGGGTATGTTTTATTTTTCAAATAAAAAAAATCCCTTCCTACCATTTGGTGGTTTACAATTTGAAATTTTGTTTCATATTGTTGTAAAAAGATTTTAATATGTTTCATGACTATTTTCTTATGCATGGCTTATCCTGTTCGATCGTCTAATTTCGAGGTTTGTATGTGTCCATGATCGCATTTAAACTACATTTACATTTTATAGTATTTTCAATAATTGTATATCATTTCTTTTCTATTTTTTTTTTTAAATTGTAATATTTTTTTTATCAATTCACTTTTTTTTAAAAAAATTATTATTGAATATTTTAATTATAATTTATTGTAATTTAATTATTAATTAAATTTTAAAAAATTAATTGTCGATAATAATTTCATTAGAATTGTAAAATTATTTTTAAATAATCTACTAATTACTTTCTACATATCTCAGTAGATATTTCTAAAAATAGATTTAAAGCTGCGGGTTAAAAAGTTTTTCTCATTGAATAGCAAATAAGACTATATAGAGAATAAAATTGTATGTATAAGTCAATGAAGACATTGGCTTTACAGGGTTGATTTTATTCGAGGTCGTTACCAGTGGTTTGTTATTATAATGTTTTGCATAATTAAAACGTTAATATACAGTCTTCTTTTCAAAGGCAATGACAAATTAATAACCTCGTGAAAAAAAAATTACTGTGCCCTAATTAAAATAATAAAAATATTAAAACAATTAAATAAAATAAATATATAAATTAAAATATCAAGAAGGAAATTATAATTTGAATTTAGAAACTAATTTAAAAATTAATTTAATGAAAAACATTGTCAAGTTGACACACCTAAAATAACACTCCTATTTTAATTAATACCATTTGCATATTATAAAATTGTAAAAAAAAAAAATTTTTTTTTATAAAAATAGCAGAATTTTTATGTACGTTCTGAGGATTTTATAATTAAATTAATCTTTTAACCCATAAAGAATAAAAATTAAATTTTATATAATTAAATGTTGCATGTCGAATAAATGATTATAATTATATTGAATTTTGATATAGGTCATTAATAACAAAATAAAACTGTTTCATATATGATAATTATCTTATTGCACTGTAAAGGTTGTCTCATAATCAATTTCCAACTTTTTTTTAATATCACCCTTTCTCATTAAGTATTAAAACTTTTCGCGACAATGTTAAGTTTTATTAAATAATTCTTTGAGTAAAATTTTCAATAAAATTTTATTTATTTAAAAAAGAAAATTCGATTTGTTTTCTAATTTGAACAAAAATTTATTTAAAATATTTGAATCGAATTTTCTTCGAAAAAATAAAATTTTATTTGTATTTTTATATTTTTTTTCTTTGTCCTTCACTTTCTATTATATATATATATATAAAACGAAACGAATGAGTTTCTCGTACCTGTTGATAATTACTTCTATCTCTGTTCTTTAGTATTGAAAAGTAGTTTTCTTACCTTATTTTGCACGATGTTGACGTTGTGACTAATATTACGTAAAAGTGAATCACGTTATGTACTTTTTTTAGATGTTCAATAGGCCGCAGAGTGCTACAACGAGACAGGAGACTGAGATGATAAATAAGGCCCATCGGGCCATACATTCAACCACGGACACCATCGAAAAATTACGTCTTCTCTGCCTGACTAGGGGTGCTAATGGCATCCTTGGTCTGGGGAGGTAAGAAAAATAATTAGTATTATAATTATTCAATTAATAATAAAAAAATATTGCCAAATAAAAATTCTCTATAACAATTATTTCGTTCATCTTTCTATTTAAAAAAAAAAAATTAAAATTAGTTAATATTTTGAATTTAAATAGAAAAAATAATATTTCAATTCTTTATTGTAAAGAGTATTTCGACGAATGGATGATGATGGGAATAAACAATTGAATTTGGAAGAATTCACAACTGGAATACAAGATACGGGACTCGAATTATCGGAGGATGAGATAAATGATCTTTTTCAAAAAATGGATGTTGATGAGAGTGGATCGATTAGTGTTGATGAATTTATCGTTGCTGTGAGAGTAAGTTTTTTTTTAAATTGATAATAAATTGATAAAATAATAAATTCTGTTTTTTTTTTACAGCCACCAATGAATGATAGTCGCAAAAAAATGGTAGATCAAGCATTTCAAAAAATGGATAAATCCGAAGACGGACAAATTACAATTGATGATTTACGGGGTATTTACAATGTTAAATGTCATCCACGATACATCAGCGGAGAGGAATCAGAAGAAAGTATTTTGAATAAATTTTTAGAAAACTTTGAAAATGGAGCCACCAAAGATGGAATTGTAAGTAAATTCTATAAATTTAAAGAATTAAGTTTATAATTCTATAAAAATAAATTTTAAAAAACAAATATGTTCAAATATCTTTTAATCAATAAATACCTTTTTTTTAGGTCACAGAAGAGGAATTCATGAATTATTATAGTGCTATTAGCGCAAGTATTGATAATGATGCTTATTTCGACTTAATGATACGTAATGCCTACAAATTGTAATTGAAAAAACAAAAACAAAAAATATTTCATAATATAAATTCTGATAAAAATTATATTCTATACTAAACCTCCATTAAATTACACCATTTGGAATATTGAATTTGTATATTAATATTTATGAATAATATTGCTATTTAACGATTTACGAATATTAATCAAACATAAGCGAATTATTTACAAAATATACAAAATAAATGTAAAGAAATAAACGTGATTGAAAATTAATATGTAACAATGATATAATCAATGATATTTGCTAAATATTATCACCTTTTTTGAAAAAAATGTTTTGAAGAACGAAAAATAGAAAAAAAATTTTAATTTTCAATTTTAAAGGCAAAAAATTGCATCGGCCGGGAATCGAACCCGGGCCGCCCGCGTGGCAGGCGAGCATTCTACCACTGAACCACCGATGCTGATGTTAATATTTCAATTATTTCTTGTAAAGGGTAGAATATTTGACCCTTTTTCATATTATCTACAATTATAATCGAAATTATCCTTAATTATGAATTAACAAATAATTACTAATTTTATTAATTTAAAATACGATAACATTTTGAAACATAGTATTTAATTGTTTAAAAATAATTTCAAATTTTGTTAATACAATATCAAATATGATAAGAAAAATTTCCGGTTATAATATTATAATACAATTAGAGCATGACTTACGATAATGATAAATTGACATATATGTAATTACTACCGATGAGTTTTAATCTTTCGACAATTCAAATTTTATACAGCTTCTTAAAAAATGTTTCATGTATTAAATATGTAATTCAAATTGAATCTTTTATTTCTAATTAAAAAATTAAAACAAAACCGAATATTTTTTTACAATAACAATAATAAAATGTCTGTCAATATTTTTATGTAAAAAAATAATTTACTGTTTTAAATATTAAGATTTAATTAAATTATTATATTTATTATTCAGAATTTTTTATATTAATTGATTAATTTTTGTATTCTAAACTGTAAAGGGAAATGAAAAATATAAAAATTTATTGAAAAGTTCTAATTTTTAAGGAAAAAATATTGAGAATCTTAGAAAATTTGTAAGAAATTAACCTAAAATCCTTCTTTTTATGAAAAAGAAAATAAAAGACAAACGCGCACATCATAATTTATTGGGAGAAGGGATGATCCCGGTTATATAAGAGTGTTTGGAAAAAAAGATTTATTCAGTCATTCAAGTATCGGACAGTATAGCGGGACTAGAACAAAAATACTCACAGCGTTTTCTTATCTTTGTACTTATATTGAAAAAACGTGTTGAATCATAGAAATTTATATCGAAATTATTCAAAGAATCTTTTGCCATTCCGTGTTAATTATATAATTATCATCATTTTTGTATGTTTTTCATTCAAATGATTTGAAATATTGTGAAAATAATTTACATCTCTGAGAAAATTTGTTGACATTTCTACATTTTGAGGTTAAGTTTCACCCGCAAGCCAAATCTGTAATAAATAACAAGTGTTTCGTGTATTAAACATTACAAAAATGAAGATTATCATTATATCTATCGTTATTATTGGTAAGTTTTTACGTTTCTAATTTATTTTTAATAGAAAAACATTGAATTTCACTTTAAAAAGTCGTTATTGAATTTTGTATTGAATTTGAGACACAAAGGAAATGATTCGTAGAAAAGGAGAATGGGGGAAGTTATAAAAGACTACGTGATTCAAATTCGAAAATCAAAATAATTTTTAATATTATAATCATGTATGTTTACTAAACAAAGAAATATAATCTTATTTTTTATTATTAGATGAATAATAATATGTCATTTTCGGATATTGTTTGCATTAACGATCTAAAAAATTAAGAACTCCAAAATCCAATTTTCAAAATTATGGTTGTTCACTTGACTTCGGTGTTATTTACAAAATTTGAATTACTGCATGTAGTTAACCTCAAATTTTTGTTTATAGTGTGTTTATGTTTGTATTTATATTTATAATTAAAATAACGATTTTTGCATTGTGTGGATAATCATTTTTATGTATACACTATACAAGGAATTCTTTTATATGTATTCAATTTATTATTTTAATACTAATTATTATTTATTATAATATAAATATTTCTACGTTCATTGTTTATGTGAGGTTATGTTTATTAAATTAAATATTGAATAATATTTTTAAAGTTAATTATTAAATTAGTATTTTAATTTGATAACAATAATTAATAATATCTTTTTTTCATCTGCATTATAAATTTTTCCAAAAAAAATTTTAATCTAAAAATATAATTTTTAATTTATTGTTTCTTTGCACTTTTTAAAGGAAATTTAGCACGAATATTGAATGAAATTGATTAAATTATTTTTAACATTGTTACAATCTTTCACATATAATACAATTATATCCACGTGAATTACATTCGTATCAATAATTATCTGATTTTTTTCTTGACTCATCGCTCGTACTTTGACCCTCGACCGTGTGTGTATGCAATGAAATCGTTTCATCACATAATTTTACATATTATTTCTTAATAGTACACGAAAAATTATAAAGAAAAAGAAAAATAACAAAATTGATATTTTATTTTTAAATTATTTTTCTTTAGAACAATAATAAAAAAATAATATATACAAGTCTAAAAAAATAATTCGGGAATTTTTTGTTTTAATCTAAATAAATAATTTTGTAAAACAAAAATATTCCTTTCCAAATTTAGAATCTCCATTAAAAAAAAAAAGTTTCCTATTTATCCGAATTTTTAATTCCCTTCACGATCATATATAACTGGTTCGATGTGCGTCATTCCCATTTCTTTTTTATCCTGCTAAGATTAAAAAGATTAAAAAAAAAGAAATTCAAGATTTTCCATTAGAGGAGGAATTTAAATTATTTTATTTTTTTCTAGGTCTTTTTGCCAACTGTTTTACACAGGACACGATTGAAAATGCCGATGATGCTTTAAATAAAATTAATTCAATAATCGATATACCAGAATTGAAAAATATTAATGCTTCTGCATTGCCGGTGTCGGAAGCTGAGAATGTAATGAAGAAGAAATGTGAAAAAAATGGTGGACCAACAGCTTATGAGACGGCAAAGAAAGGAGTTATTGATATGGGTACTTGTATAGCATCACTGGTTAATATGACAAAATTAAATCAAGAAATAGAAGAAGCCAAACCAACTGGCGATTTGGATGAAGTTTTTGCCAAATACTGTAAAAAATCCATTGTTCTTAAACATTGTGTACGTAATTTAACCGAAGCAGTGAATCCTTGTCTCGAATCTGTGGAACAGGCACTTGAACCAATTATTCTAAATATTACAAATAGCCTTTTGGATTTTATTTGCTTCAAGGAGGGCGACCGAATCGCTTGTAAGTTCTTTTAAATCTACAAAATTCTATCAAAAATATACTAAAAAATAGAGAAAAAAAGGGAGGAATGTAAGAAACTATAAATAAGTAATGAAAAAAATTTTATTTTCAGTATTTATCTCCACGGATGGACCGAAATGTTTCCAAGATAAAATGGCACCGATTCAACAATGTTTGAATTCCACATATGGAGAAAGTATTCAAAATATAAGTGCAAATGTAACTTCCGTTTCGGAAATGACTCTACCACTTTTTGTCTTGGACCACAAATCTTGCAGGTAATTATTAAAAAGCAATTTGTTATTTTGATATTTATTTTTAATTTTAACTGAGAGCAATTTGAAATTTCTATTTTTTTTCAGCGATATGGTTAAATTGCAAGGCTGTGTGGTAAAGGAGCTGGAAACATGTAACGATCAAACACCAGCTAATATTGCTGAAGCTCTCTTCAACTTTGTGATAAAAGTAACACCTTGCGAAAAATTGCTAGGTACATCATATCAAATTACTATTAATAAATTATTATCGAGAGAACCTCCTTCTTCATCGACAATGATCAAATCATCAATTCTCCTTCTATTAATAATTTCATCAGTTTTGAGAATTGTTTAAAGGAAAATTTAAACAAAAAAAAAAGAACTATTCTAAAGACGATATTTCACAAACAAAATCAATGATTCAAAACTAATTTCATAAATATAAAAATCTAGAATATTTTTTGTTCTAAAAATGAGTCTTTCTTGATTAGATAATTTTTATCTAGACGAAGAGTGACTAAGGTCAAAAAGATAAAATTGCTTTCGCTGTCTTAACATAAAGATCGTGAACTTTTAACCGATTTCTGATCAAGTATTTTATATATATTTTACTAATTATTTTTGAGATTAGATAAATTAAACGTTGTATTCGACATATTAACAAACAAACACCGTAAGATACATTTTTTTAAAAATAGTTTTAAGATTCTTCTAGTCTATATATTTTTATGTTTTTTGACCAGAGTATGTATTAAATTATATATTTATATATAATATATAATTTTTAACTTATAAGTTATAATTGTTCACAGGATTGTAAAGGACTACTTCACAAAAATCTTACAATTTATCATTTTCTATTTTTGTGGACTTGGCCCCTGTTTGGCATTAAGGTTAAAAAAAAAAATTGCAATAAAACATTGCAATTTACTTTGTAAGCATTTAGTAACATTCTACTGCATGTGCCTTGCAAAAAAAAAATATTTTTTTTTATGGCAATCGCATGCTACACTGTGATAAAAATATTTTCTTATCACGTGTTTTTTTTGCATTCGAATCAAAAAAGAGAAATATTTTATGATAAAAAATAGTTTGTAATTTTATTAAGATTTTTATACTAATTTACTCTCGCTTGTTTAGTCGTAATTAGAACAAAACAAAATTCTAAATTTTTAATGCTGTCCATTTTTTTTTTTTTGTAAAATTTCCTTTTTGAAAAAATAAAAAAAAGGAAATAGAAATAATTTGCAAAAAAAGACTATTTCTGCATGTCAAAGGGATAAACAAGTTCTTTAACCAAAATGTGCCTTTATGTAATAATTAATCTTTAGACATTTTACAGCATGCCATAATTTTGTAATGCCAAAGGATACAATTAAGATTATTCTTATACGAATGTAAAAATTATAAAAAAAAAATGATGCATCACACCTGTTACATAATTTTGTTATTTTTAATAATAATTATCATTGTTACACTACCTATGTTGTTTTTTATAATTCTCATTTATTTTTAAATTCAATATTCTAAATTTTATTCACTTAAACAAATTTTTTTTAAATTTAAGTTAATTTAAAACAAATTAAATTAAAAAGAAAAAATAAAACACGTTCACTGTAAAATAATATTCAATAAAATGAAAATATTACATTCATTTAATTTTTATTATTTAATTCCTTACATAATATTTAATTATAAAAATAATATTACATTTTAATTTAAATCAATATGATTAGTCAACAAAATTTTTTGAATTAAATATTCCCGCCTACATTTAAAAAATTGCGCAATTAACAATACGCGTGCGCATAACTTAAGTTCGACGCATTGTTGTTTTTGATTGGTGGAAAAATAGCCGCCCATAGAAAGTTTGGCGCAAAAGCAAAGGTTGTCTCGGGTATTTTCGAGAATATTCGTTAAATTTCGTGAGTGCCAGTGTACTAGAGAGAAGGCCTGGCTCTGGCTTACTCGACGTGTATGCTTTGAAATTCCGCAACATGTTAATGAGTTTTTATCAAATTTTTATTAAAAATTCATGCAGTGTATTCAGTATACGAAAGAAAATTTATAGTGCAAGACATTTACCTTCTTGATCGAATATTTTTTTTAGTGTAAATTGTGCAATAAAGGAGTGGTTTAAAAATGCCTGGGAAAGGGAGTAGAAAAGGAAAATTTGGTAAGAAATCACATGATATTTACAATATTTATCTCTTTGTTTTCTTTACGTAAAAAACTATTTTTCAGTTCATTTAACTAAATTTCTAAAATTTTGAAAATATTTGTGTAGCTTTGAATGAATTTTTAAAGAGTTGTGTAACGTGAGAACACACATATCATTGCTGCATTTGGCAAGACAAATCATCGTTTCATTCGGCCTCGTTTATTCTTACGTCACGGATTTATATTATTTTTATTGTACTACAAAAGTCAAATCATTTATTGATTATTATTTCAAGATATTATTGCATGGCAATTTGATATTTTCTTTATGATTAAGGTGACTGGAATTTATGTTGCATGAAAATGGCATTCGATTCTATTTCTTATGTGTCCTTTATAAGCTCCATGTGACTTCCATGCTTTCACACATGGAAGGACGTCATACATTGCGTAGGCTATAAATTTCTACGTCAATGGTTTTTCCATAAAAAAAAATTATTTTTTTAGTGTTATAAACAAACAAAAAAGTGATAGGTTATGTTTTTTCACTTTTAAATGTCAAAAAACGATTTTCTTTTTTTGTAGAAAAAAAAATTAAAGAAAATTCATTAACATGTGAAATTATTTAAACTTTGATTCTTGATCTTTAAGATTATATTGCGCAGCATATTTTTATATTGAAAAATTATAAAAATTTCATGAGCATTAAAATTAAACTTTTTTTTGACATTAAACATATGTCACTGCAATCTGTTATAAAAATCATACTTTCAAATAACGAATTCGAACATATGTATTTCTTTTTATAATAAAAATAAATATTTGTCAATGATTAAAAATTGGATTTTTCATGAATTAATTTTTTATAAACAGGAAAGATATAGAATATGGATAATATAAATTTGACAATTAAATCACACATTTTATCTTAAACTATTAATGATTTTTTTAAAACAATTCTCTACTTTTATAGTGTATTATTTTTTCTAATCTAAGATTTTATAAGTTTTCCACGTGCGACCTTAGAAATCCAGTTATTGATTTGCAATTACAAGGATGCATTTCACGCAGTTTTCCTATTTATTTATAAAATTAATTTACCAACAGATTTCATTTCACGCACATATGTGATAATTAATTGTTATAATAAATTATTATTATTATTGAATATAAAATTAGAAATGTATTTTAATTCAGTTTAAAAAAAAGAAAATCTATTTAATCTAAAATTATAACTGAAATATTCTGTTTGAAAATTGTCTGAAAGTCAGAAATAGCTATATGCTTAAAATATATGCTAAGCCAAAAAAAAAAAAAAAAAAAAAACTTGTTCTGTTCTTAAAGATCAAGAACTCCATTGCACACTATTGGGAAATACCCAGAATCTTAAAAACGAAAACAAAGAAATCAAAATGACTAATGGAATTTCTTTGTAAATTTAAAAACTTTAAATCTTCTTTGTATCTCTTACTGTGAGATTAAAATATCACATATTATTAAATTACATTTTTCATGATAACCTTGACTTTTTTTTTAGTAATTTAATATTTTCTCTTGCTCCATATTGTTTTATACGTATAAATCTGAAAACGATACAATTACGTAATGATTTAATTACATATGTACGTAATTTTTTTTTTTTACTATTAATTTTCTATTTAATATTAAATCCAGTTTAGGTGAATTTATGCAATACACGTGAAGTAACAGCTGGTTTGATTTAATCTTATGTAATAACATTTGTAACATTCACTTTTCGCGTCTATTTCCTTTCAGAAATATTAATTCAATATTGAATTCAGGTCACTTAAGATAAATTTCAAAAATTTAAATATTTATAAAGAATCGAATTTAAAAAAAAACTTTTCAAAATCGAAAAAAAATATAGAAAAAAATTGTGAATTTGTAGGAAAATTAAATGTTAATGAAAATGTTAATTAGTGAAAAATAATTACAGGTCACAGCGGGAAGCGAACGGAAGGAACTTCTGATGAGGATTCTGTGAATGATGCTTGTAGTGTGACGAGTGGGCTGTCGGACGCAAATGTCCTGGAAGAAGTTAATGATAATGAGGTGGACGAACCTTCTCAGCAACAAGAGGCATTTGAGGAAAATTTAAGAGACGCTATCGATGGATTAACGCAAAAAAGTGCCAAGGGACGAACCAATTGTTTCCAGGGGATTGAAAAAATTTTCGCCACTAAATATGTTCCTGATTTTGTTGAGGATAGAAAAATGACCATCACAGATGCAATTGAAAGGGGATTAAAGAAAGGTCGCGGTGAAGAACAATCAATTGCCGCAAGATTAAGTACATTACTTTGCGTTCAATTGGGTGCATTTGAAAGTGCCGAACATGTTTGTAAAGAAATTAAATCGACATTAATTTGCATTGCCAATGACAATTCGGCATCGACCAATGCCAGATCAGAGGTGAGTTTTAAAAAATAAAATTACACGATAAAAAAAAAAGTAATTTGATTTCAATTTATTTATTTTACAGTGCTGCTGGGCTTTGGGTTTAAATCAATTTTTTTCCGGTAATGATTATGGTGACACCATTGAAATAATTCAATTGCTTTCGACAATTTTTGCTGGTTCATTTTTAAAAGGCAACGGGGCATTGCCGACAATTTCGGCTGATATGGCGGCTTTACATGCGGCAGCGATTTCCTCGTGGACTTTGCTTTTGACTGTTATGTCTCCATTTGATATTTACAATCTACTTGGAAGTAATCGGTCAAGTACTTGTATGCCGTAAGTGATTTGATTTAAAAAAAAAAATTTATTTCGACTAAAATTATTTATTATTTAAAAATTATAGATTTTGATTTTTTTTTCAGATCTCTCAGTCAGTTGCGAGAATTGCTTGAATCACCTCATCTTGATGTGCGTTTATCTGCCGGCGAGGCATTGGCAGTGATTTTCGAGCTTGGTCGTGATTTTTGCGATGACTACGAACAAGAATGGGCACTTGATTTAGTTGAGATACTCAGAGATCTTGCAACTGATTCCAACAAGTTCAGAGCTAAGAAGGATCGAAAACAACAGCGTGCAAGTTTCAGGGATATTTTACGCTATATTGAGGTATTTTTTTTCTTAGAAAAAAAGTCCAATTTGAAATTTAAGAATTATATATTTAATTATTATTAAATTCACAGGATGACATTACACCGGAAATGCACATTAAATTTGGTAAAGAAGTCTTGTATCTTGAGGGTTGGTGTGCCCGAACTCAATATAATGCGTGCTGTCGACTTCTCGGTCCTGGAATAAATATTCATTTATCCGAAAATCAACTCTTGCGGGAAATCTTTCATCTTGGAAATCGTGTCTTGCCTTTACCAACAACACAAAAAACAACTAAACTCGAAAAGGTGGGTTTCGAAAAACTAAAAATCTTATATTTAATTAATAAAATTAAATTTCTCTTTCAGACATTGATGAACGCAGCTGCATTTAAGGCAAGGACCATTCTTCGAAGTAAAAATCGCGACAAGCGTTCCGCAGCATTGGCATTATAAACTTCTCACAAATTGCTTTCTTTTTAGATAATTTACTGCGTGAGAGAATGAATGTTAGTTTTATAATTTTTAATTTATTGAAATCAATTAAAGAAAAATGAGAGAGAATATGATTTCCCTTGAAAATCATGCAACTGTATATATATATAAAAAGAAAGACAATTTTTTTCAAAATGCTTCATGAAACTTGTAGATTTTAATATTTTGCTAATTGAAATGTGTAAGTATGGAAATTTTTGATTTGTTTTAAATTTTTGACAGATGAATTTAGTTTTTCTTTTTTTATTAATTAAAAAAAAACATTAAATGTTATTTGTTCTTTTTTTTAAATTTAGTTTTTATATTTTAGAAAAATTATTGGTATCAAATTTGTTTTTCTTAATTGTACATTAAGTTTAATAAAAAAATACTATATTATAAATTAGAAAACAATGTTTATTATTTTTCTAAAAAAAAAAGCTATAACAATCCAATTGATGACTAGAATAGTTCCTTGTAATAATAAATGATATTGATATATGATTTTTTTGATTAGGGTAAAAAAAATGATTTAACTTAAATATGCAAACGAATTTCTTGATTTTTAAATTCTTTTTCTGAAAGCATCTTCCACCTGTAGCCTAACACTTTTGAAACTTCTTCTTCAGTTCTTTCATAACAGTTTGAATTAGATTTTATCCATTGGTAATGTTCATTTGACCAATCAGTGATATTTGACCAATCGCGGTCAAATCTTTTTAAAATTACATTTCTCCTCACGTATAAACATTGCAAATGTTTTGCTGTCGATATTATTTCAAGAATCGTGGAAGTTGAAATTTTATCATGAATCATCTGCAAATAAACATTAATACATAAAATTAAACTTATTAATTAATAAATTAAATCTAAATTGAATTAAACTCAAAATCAAAGCAAAGCATGCTTTTTGATTCTCAAACTACTGATTAGTAAAAAATTTTCAGTTAGTCATTATTTTTGTACAATAAAAAATTTCTCTATGAAAAATCAATAAAATTAAAAAATAATTGAAAATTAGAAGATTAAGGAAAAATACAAACTCATTAGTCTAAAAGAGAGTTTTAAGCAGCCACGGAAAAATGCAGCACACTAAAGTTTTTCAAACTTATTAAAATACCAGCGTAGTAAGATTTGGACATAATCGACAAAATCTAACGATGTCTCGATCAATGCGTTTTGAAAAATTTTTCGGTAAATAATATCTTGATAATCCTTTAATTGCATAAACTTTCAAAGACATTTGAAAACATAATCCATGTTCGATCATCGCAGACATAGGAACCTATTTTTAACAGTTTAATTAAATATAATTAAAATTATTAAATTATTCATTTAAAAAAATAAAATTTAAATACCTGATATTTCGCACTTTCCAAAATTATACTGTGAACGGGAATTGATTTGTAACTAAGTAAATCGGCAATTAATGCCAAATCACTTGATTTTTGACATTCTATCTCAAAATGAACTTTCAAATTTGGATTATTTAATCTCATTCTCGCCCAAGAACAATTTTTCGGCTGAAAATAATTATAAATAATTAGTATTATTATTAATTATAATTTATAATAAAAATTATTTTACATTACCAAACGTATTGTCGAGTCCTTTGGACTGTAACGATTTTGTACAATGTGAAGATGATTTAATTTTGTGTGTCCAATAAGTTCAACAACGTCTTCATGTAAATTCTGAGGACTAATAATCAATGTCTAAAACAAAAAAAAAAAAGTATTAATTACCTTATATAATTTCATTTGGAAAAATAAAATACTTACATGTAAATTGAGAAATACGCCAACATGTAGTAGAGGACAAAATTCTCTTGTAGTATTAATGAGTATAAGTTTTGTTAAACTTTCTGTACAATTGGCGCAAATATCATCCATAAGAAAAAGAGCTTCTTTACTATCAAGCATTAAGTCAATCAATTCAAGAGATTTAATATTTTTTAAATTAATCATTAATCTTTTTAAGGCCTCAAGTAATTTGCCACCGGTTCCAAATACTCTAATACGATCAGGATTATCTCTGTTCGCCATATTACAATAAAATGTAAATTTCAATCGACGAATATGATTTCCCACACCAGCAACTGAAGTATTGTCCGAGCCCTGTTTTTCAGCGTACCAGCTCACCATATTCATAAATTCATATAAATTGTAAAAATTTAACATTGGCTCAAATATAAGGCAACGAAAGTGTCTTCCAACTTTATTCAAACATGCTGATATTCTCATATGATCAAGAACATATTGCCATCCGCTGTAGTAATTAAATTTTCCCCTCGTGAGTGTTGTGTCCTCAAGTGTAAAAATTGACCATACACTTTGTAATTTAAAGGCACGATACCAATTTCGACAGACCAACGATGCATAATATCGTTCGCGAATCGTCAAATAGGAAAATATTTGCTCGAGCAAAATATCTGGTAACTGATCCCAATTACTGTACATATTTTTCAATTTCTGCTCCTCGGATTCATCTTCCCTGTCAATATACACTGCTGAAAAAAAAAATTCAATTTAATCACCAAAACTGCGTTTCAATTATAAAAAAACAAAACAAAATTGTTTTAAATTTACATTTTATAAAATACGTATTTAAGCGCGAAATATTTGAATAAACAAATCTATTGATGACGAAACATCACGATATTCGCACAATGTATTGTGACGAAAGCTCTCTCATGTGCAAAGCTGTCCTCATTATTTCAAGGTGGAAAATGCAACCACAAAAAAATTCCATGGTTGAATTTCCTTATAGGCTATAAATAAAGGAATAAAATAAAAAAGAAATAATATTCCTTTAATTAAAACAAAAAAAATAATAAACTTACCCCTATTTTCCTCGTTAAATTTCCAACATCCGGCATTCATTTTCTCTTCCAGCAGACTATTTACAAATAAATAAGAAAATTTAGTCTCTGATATTTTTACACAAGATTGTGAAATTTTCGAGAAATATATATAAAACAAAATGTTAAAATAACAAAAATTCACGTGTATATGTGGTATATATACATAATATTAAAAAAAAAATGTAAATACAAATGTTTATTTCCAAAATGGGTTCTTATTAAATAACAATTAATATTTAATATAATTTATAAATAGTAATTTTAAAATTATTCTATTTTTATTCTATTAATTTGGGGAATGCTTTTTTTAATTCCAGGAACCCACTTTAGAAATTGCATAATTTACGTTTTATAATACAATGGTTTTTTTTACAAAAACTGTATAAACTTATTTCATGCACAGTATAAATATAAACTTAAAACTACTTGTTAACTAATTTTAATTACCTTTAAACCTATAAATATCCAATCAACAAGTCCTTAGAATTATCATTTACATTTTGTAACAACAATAAAAATATTAACAACTGACACTAGGGAAGTAGAGAACCCTAGGGACTTTTAATTTTGTAGTATGCACTACTTGACGTTTAACGAACATAACCTATAATTTTAAATTTTGCGGTGTTGATAGTTGAGACTGAGACATTAGGATATTTTGGTCTTAATTTGATAATTATAAATAATATTGGTGAGAATTATTTTTATTAAAAAAAAAGAATATATGCAATTCAATTTTAGTTAAATATTTGAAAATTCTTTGAATGGGAGATATATCTGAAATTTGGTGACTGTAGCGGGTAATGTTAACAACGTGGTCAAATTTTGTTAAATTAATAAAATATAATTCTTTTATTTCTGTCAGACTAAACGTTATTAATAATTTGAATATAAGAAGTTTATCAAAAATGCCGACAGAAATTAAAATTGGTACTCATAATGGAATATTTCATTGTGATGAAGTTTTGGCCTGCTACATGTTAAAAACGTTACCGGAATATAAAAATGCATCAATTATCAGGTAAAGAAAGTATAATTTTTATATTCTTAATATATTAAATTTGTATATGAGTAATTTTTTTTTTATATCATTGTTGAAATTTTTATTAAATTTTTAGTTTTTCAATTCTAACCTAAAAATATAATATTTTGTAAGATTCTATATTTTCTGCTATTATGAAAAATTTTATTTTCTATATATTTATGATTAATTAAAATTTTTTTGTTTATTTAAAATTTTAATTTAGTTTTATTTTAAATATTTTAAATAAACTAGTAGGAATTTGAGCATCTTTTACATATGATTAATGATTAATTTAATCCTGTCATTAATTGTGAATGAAACAGACTGAAAATAATTATAATTATAGATCACGAGATCCGGAAATTTTGAAAACATGCGATATTGTTGTCGATGTAGGTGGAGAATACGATCATTCTAGACATCGATATGATCACCATATGAGGTATTTGATTTCATTTTACTATAACAATATTAATTTATTTTTATTAATTGTAATTTTATTCTTTTAATAATTCAATTTCTTTGTTTAAATGTTAATTTTTATTTTCAGAGAATTTAAAGAAACAGCGTCGTCAGTGATTAATAAGGAGGGTTATAATTGGAATATAAAATTAAGTAGCGCTGGTTTAATATACTGTCATTTTGGTCGTAAAATAATAAAGCAAATTATTCCCGAAGTTACAGATGAAAATGATATTGAGGAAATTTTTAAAAAAGTTTACGACACTTTAATTCAAGAAATTGACGGTATAGACAATGGAGTTCCTATGTTTGAGGCAGAGCCTAGGTAATTTATTCATAAAATTCAGATATAATCTCGTTGAATTTCTAATTATTTTATATTTAAATATTTTTCTAAATTATTTGAGAATAAAAAAATCTTTAATATTTGATAGTTATCGAATTCATACGAATTTGAGCGCTAGAGTAAGGGGTTTAAATGCTCCTTGGAATAAAAAGGATATGGATGTTGAGGAACAATTTCAAAAAGCAATGGCTTTAGTAGGAGAGGAATTTAACGAATTTATTACTTATGCTGCTCAAGTTTGGCTACCGGCGAAGAATCTTGTCAAAAATGCTCTTTTAAATCGATTTGAGGTATTTTTTCTGTTTATTTTATTATTTTCCAATTGTTTCACAATATTCCAATTTTTTCTATATTTATTAATATTTGAATTTTATTATTTTTGTTTTTATTTGGAGAAAGAAAATTCAAAAAAAAGTAATTATCAATTATCTAAATCATTTTATTTGACATTTATTTCGTGTGAAATAAAGCAGGGAATGTAAAGCCACCATTCTTCTATTGTCAGATGTGAAAAAAAAAAAAATTCATCTTGGGCGTCGTTCAGATTCAATTATTACTTTGTACCTACTTATTGAGGTCGTACATTTGCATTACACCATGTCATTGTTTATCATATTTACAAATGTAATTATATCTATATTTACACGTTTATTGAATATTGACCTTTGTTTATTTTACAAATTTTTAATTATTAGAATTTTCATCAATGCAATTTTTAAAGTGAATTAAAAATTTCGTAATTGTAAATAAATTTTATTAATTTAATTTTTATTTTTCTTTGTTATTTTTAGGTTGATTCTAGTGGAGAAATCATGGAATTAAAACAACCTTGTCCTTGGACCGAGCATATGTTTGCTTTAGAACAAGAATTAAATATCGATCCAATTATTAAATATGTGATTTTCCAGGATAATTCGTATAGAGTACAAGCGGTGCCTGTTCAATTGGGAAGTTTCGTGTGCAGGTAAATTGAAAATTTTTTTAAATGTTAAAACATTTTTAGAAAACAGAATAGAATTAATTATTTAAATTATTAGAATTTTCTTGCCCGAGGAATGGGCAGGTTTACGTGACGAGGAACTATCAACAATTTCCGGAATTGAAGATTGTATTTTCGTTCATGCAGCGCGATTTATTGGTGGTAATAAAACAAGAGATGGTGCTTTAAAAATGGCAAGGAAAGCTTTGAAAATCGGTAAAATCGAAGGGAAATGAAACTTAAAAAAAAGGGGAATTATAAATAAAACAAAATATTATATGTAATTAATCATTTATTTATCATTTACTGTAAAAAAAAGAGCACACACACAAGGAATTATATAATTATTATGGCATTGTAATCGCCGTAATTTGTATTACGACAAATTGTTTTTTTTTTAAATGGTACTAAATGTTTCTTTATACTTTTCATAAAATGAGTTATTTGAATTGTACAAAGACCTAGTTTCTTCGTCGCAGAAAAAGGAAATATTTCTAACATTTTTTTTTTATAGGAGTTTAATGAATTTTTATATTTTTAAAAATCGAGAGAGTTATAAAAAAAAGAAAAAAATCACGAAGAAACTTTTAGTTGATTTTTAGAGCTAGATTTTTCGAATATTTCTTCATTGACTCTTGGTGGCTTCGGCGTGGGCGGCGTAATGTGCAGCTTTGGCGATGGCAACCTCGGGGGTGTCCACAACATTTCCATCAAGACCAATTGGTGCTGTGTGAGGATATCCGTAAGCATAAGTCAAGGCAAGTGCTCCATAGGGGCGTCCAGTTGTTTTTGCTGCTTCCTGTTTTCGAGGTATTTTAATTAGTGATTTTTTTTGTATCATCAAATGTATTTGTATTATTTTTAGTATTATTTTGATTAAATTTTATTATTTTTGAAAGAAAATTTGTTTAATATAGAAAATTAATTCTTTTGCAGACAAATACAAGAAGAAAATTAGCGTACCTTGGCGTGTTCGGCGAAATGAGCAGCTTTAGCTTGTGCCACCTCGGGAGTATCAACGACACGTCCATCGGGTCCAAGAGGAGCTCCAAGAGCATAGCTGTGATAAGCATAGAGTGGAGCTGCGTAGGCAATTGGATGATATTGATAAGGATAAGCATATCCCAAAGTATTTCTCGCGGCTTCATAGGCATGAGTCGCCAAATGTGCTGCTTTTGCATTCGCTACTTCCGGTGTGTCAAGAGGTCCTCCATAATATCCACCATATGCATAATATGGTTGTACGAGAGCTTGCGAGAGGGCAAATATCGCCGAAAGAATAATCTGTAATTGGAAAATTATCAAATTTAAAAGGTAATTCAATTATTTTCTTACAAAAAGATTAATTAATAGATGGGAATAAGAGAGAAAAAGAGGAAGCGAGAGCACTGGGAAAATTGCAGGAGATGGATGATGATTGACATTGAATACTTACGAAGGTCTTCATGATTGAATTTTTTTTTTTTTTTTTCTTGAATTGAGCGCTGCTGGATTTCCAGTACTCGCTAAAGGTGTGGACTGTTATGCTGTGACGAAGAGACTCTCGATCCCCCTTTATATGTATGAGAATCTGGTAGGGAGTCGTCGACCTGGAGGGGAACACGCCCTGAAGCAAGTGCTACATTTAAAGAAGCCTGACATTGACATTACGTTGACGACAAGAACAAGAAGAAGGCCCCCCTCTATTGGGTTGGGTTTGGCCCTTATGCCGCTTCTGGAACTCCGTCTAGCCACAATACACCTCCTTGATAATCAAGTGTCGAGGTCAGGAGCATTTGCCTGAGGCGAAAGGCGATCACTCCATCCCTGTGTATATACATCATGGTCGTTTTCATCGAAGGGGGCAATATAACTATATACGTGGGCCTCCACTATCGCATAACTTGGAAATACCAAAGCAAAAGTCTATTGCGTCTATGGATTGCTTCTTCTTCTTCTTCTTTGCTTCCTAGCAATTCCGAGTTCAAAAGTCTCTACCGAAGATGTAGAGATGTCTTCTCCTTCTTCTTCACTTCCGCAATCTTAATACCAAGGTGCCGATAGGATAAAGCTAGGAATTATACTTTCAGGAATTCATCCTCGTGTGGGCAGCATTTATTTTCAAAGGTGGCAATTCTTTTTTTTATCACTATCATAAATTTTATTTAAATAAATTTTATCTATACATTAAAATTGTTATTTTTATAATTTTTTTTTATTTATTATTTTTCAATATGAAATTATTTTTTAAACATTGCAATTAATGAAAATACATTATCACTTATAATAAAAGTAATACTACTAATAAATTCATAATAAACAATTAATAATAATAATAATAATAATAAAATTATTAATAATAAATTATATTATCTAATTGCAAAACGATTACACAATTGAAAGATTTAAATATTTGGCAAGAATAAATGTTTTGTTGAGATTAGAAATAATTTTACATAATAAATTATGTTTCAGGAACTATTTAATAAAAAAAAAAAAAAAACCTTTCAAAATGCAGTTTTTTTCGTGTCTATGAAATTCTTACACGATTGATGATGTAAAATGACGTCTATAAAATCTAGGCCATAAGAGTAGTTGCTCTACAATTTTAATTAGATTATTGCAACATTCTCAAATCAAGGACTGATTTTTTAATATATAATATTGATGGTCATGCATATAAAATCTAATAATTAATAGTTTTATAAATATCAATTTTATATACTCAATGAGTAATTTTTTCGAAAAAAGGCATAATTTTTTGTTTTTCATTTTGAAATTGAAAAATTGCTGTCAAAATAAATGAATAAAAATTGCAATACTAATGAAGACATTTTTTTAAATTCTACATTCTTGTTCTATTAAAATAATAATTTATGCGGAATAATAAATATAAATTTTTGAAATTGGATCGACAACACTTGATCGAGGTCATTGAATGTAAATTTTGTTGATCCATAAAAATATTCGTCAATTATGACATGTTTTTCCAAATGAATTTCCATAAAAGGATTTTAAGGTCGTCACTTTCAATTAAATGGTATTTGACAGTTTGACGGATTAAAAAATTGGAAAAAATCCCCCCCATTGATTTTCTAATTTAAATTCAAAGCTTGATCAAAATGAAAATTAATATAAATTAATTTTTAATTTTCAGAAAATCATTGTGGTAAAAAAATCAAAATGCCTCGAAGAGATTGAAAATTAAAGCACAAAGGATTGAATGAAATAAAAATCGAAAGAACTTGTTTCTAAAAGAAAAGAAATAGTTTCTACAGAGAGAAAGAAGGGGTAAAAAATTGAAGTACAGGATAAAAAAGACAAATCGAAAAATTAAGGAAAGAAAATTTTTATTATATTTGGAGGTAAAAATTATCAATTTTGAAATTCAAAATTTTTAACAAGAAATCATTTTATTTATAAGTTCCGATCAGACCCCACATTATGAAAAGCTAAATGAGTATCTTGTTAGTTTGATTAATAAAAAGCAATCTCGATCCTTTTGAGGAAAGAGGATTTTATATTCTTAATCTCAAACATCAAGTTCTTCTCTTAAAAGTAAACTTTATTACATTTAAAATACTCGTAATAATTTTATATTCCTGGAGCGTTGAAACATTTTAATATGTACAGTAGCAGATTAATTAATTTTTAATTTATCTGCTAATGAGAAATTTGTTTCGTCTTATCTTTTTCATGTTTTCTCATTTATCAATTATTTTTTTTTAAATTCGAAAATTTGAAAAAAAAGAAAGTCTAGAAAAACTTGTAAAAATCAAATTAAAAACAGAAGTAAAATTTAAACAATCATAAGGGATCGCGAAGGTATTTTATTGATTTATAAAAAAAAGAAAGATTACTATAAGAAATGAAAATAATTAAGAGATTGATGTTTTTGATAAAGAAGAAAGTAATTATATTATTGAATATAAGTCTTGAATAAGTGAAGGTCGGAGCAATGAACGAATGTCCTCCGAAGTTGCTCGATTTTTCCTGAAACAGGGAACATGAAGGTACGAATCAGATATTCTTGATTCGATAAAATGAACACATTGAACAGTTTTCGAGAGCCCCTTAAGTCTCAAAGGTTTTGCAGTTCTCTCATTCTCTCTATATGAAAATACCATTTCAAGTTCTCACGATCAAGCAGGTTTTTCTGACGAGAAAAAATCCGGAACTCAAGACATTATACCACTCTTGTCTCCGGTTTCATGGTAAATTTTATCTTGACGTTTCCCTGATAAAATTGAAGAGTCACATGTGCTTTTTTTCCATCCGTTCAGTTCTAATTTTAGTTTTTCATTTAAAAAAAAATTCTTTCGCGTAAATAGCGGATTTTGATGTCAATATTAATTAAATCACAATCTTAATTACATAGTAGATCAGGAAAAATGTCAAGAAATATTAAAATTTTCTTTCTTATTTAAATTTTTCTTTAATTCATAATAATTTAATTTAAAAAAAAAATTTCCAGTCAGTTAAAATAGAAATGAATAAAGAAAAATTGCTATTAGAATACAATTAAAATTAATTAAAAATTAAAAATTATTTTTCAAAAAATATTTTTTAATAAAAATTTGAAGACAAATCGATTTTAATAATCGATATAAAAATCGAACTTTTGATTTAAAAATTCTTAAATAAATGAAAATAAAAAAAAATAATTTTTTGCAAAATTAATTTATAAAAAATTAATTTTTTAAACAAATATGATAAACAATTGAGACAACAGTCGATAAACCAGACAAGTTATATTATTCGCTGTTGATTTTCATATTCGCGAGCATAGAGTTACCGACTGCAAAACATTTGCACAAAGGTGGGAAAAATTGTTTGAAAATGAAAAGAAAAAATAATTAAAATTACTGCGTAGATTTTTGTATTAATTATATATGGAGTATTGCAAATTAACTTTTACTTGAATTTATTCAATCAAATATATCAAGAAATCGTTACTGATCCCAGTGACCGTATAAAACATTGCGTGAATTCGTGACCGAACTTTTATTGAAATTAAATTATATAATTTTACGAGTTCATGTTTGCATGTATATAACTTTGTTCTACATAATGCAATCTTGTGTTACTTTTCACTTCGATAATTCGTCTTATATCGTTTAGAATAGAAAAAAAAAAAAAATAATAGAAAATTTTTCATTTGAATTTTACGCGCTGCGTTTGCAATTAAAATTACAAAAGTATTTTAATTTAGATTTATTTAATTTTAACTGCAATTTTTTTTTCGTGGAAAAATAGAAACTATCTATAGTTGAATTTATTATTTAGTTAATGAGAAATTAATAATTAGTAATAATAAATTCTAATTTAATTATAAATATTTATAAAATTATAATCGAAAATAAAGAAAGAAGAAAAATTAAATTGAGAAAAAAACGAAAGAATTAAATAAAAGATAAAAAGTGAGTAAAAATTGTTTTATATAAAAAAAAAAGATTTTTACAAAACGATAATTTAAAGTAGAAGGGTGAAAAAGCGATATCGCTTAGACAATCGATCTTCAATGAGAATTTTTCGAAGCGTACATGTGCCTTGTGATCATGATAAGACCCACGCGATTTTTCCAAGTCGTTTACTACAACAAACTAAATAGAGAAAAAGTTCAATTATATTCACATAGACCACCTCGTTTTTTTTCTATATAGGGAAAAAAAAGTTTTTATTATAAATTATAATTTTTTTTTATTATTTCTTTTTTTAATAAAAAATACAGTTTAATTAATTCAAAAATATTTATTTCAAATGAATATTTATTTGATGTTGAAATGGTTTATTTAAATCAAATAAATTTTTTTCAGTACTTTTAATTTAATTTTTTAATTAATTTTGTAAATATAAAATCTGTTTTTAAATATTTTTGGTTTAATTAATATTTAAATGAAATTTTTGTTTCAGCAAATTTGCAAAAAAGTAAATAAATTCGTTTTTTTTGGGAAAAAAAGCGATAATTTTAATTATTTATTAACAAGATTCATTCATGAATGCAAAAAGACGATGAGGAAAGGTGTGTCTACTAATGTTATGTAGAGGCCAAAGGCGGATATTATACGTCTATTGTAATGTTGTTCGTTCATGGACCAGATAAGAGGACAAATTCCAGTTTTCTCTCCTTTCTTGTGACTGAATTCTTTCACTTTTATATATTTTAAAAATTTTTGATAAAAAAAAAATTTCCCCTATATTATTTTTAAAAGTAGTTTTTAAAAATTGAATTAAAAAAAAATAGATTTTCCTGTTTTAATTCAATTTATCTTAATTAACATTTTTAAATTGAGGTATAATTACTTGCATTTAAATGTAAATAATATTTTTTTTCTCTATGCAAAAGATAATCTTTTTCAAAGAATACATGCGAATTTTGCACAATAAATGTAAATTTTTAATAATTTAAAGGATATGATATAACATTTTTAGTAAAACGATAAACACATGTCTGAAATCTATATTCAATCACACTCGAAAAGCGAAAGTTCGATTGGAAGATAGAAAAAAAAAAATTACATAAAATCTATTATTTACACGAACCTTTAATTGCACATGAAATAATATATAAAAATTTTGTTGAGAAAAACTGGAAAAATTTCATTTTTTTCTTTTCCACTTGTGAATTCCACATTGCAAAAAAAAAAAATTATATCTTACCAGAATATCTTTGAAAAAAGTTTTTGTTCTTTAAAAGAATTTTTACTGCTGTACATAATGTCAGATCAAAACAGTCTTATCTACTTAAATAAAAAATCGTTAAATTTAATTAATTAATGTAATTCAATCATACGGCTGATTAGCATTTGATTGAAATATATAAAAGAAAGAATAAAAGAAATTATTTACAAATAAATTGAACTCATTGATATCGTTGGCGTTACTCGCAATCTTGGATTTCAAAATAAAAATAAGTATCTCTTTCTCTACCCACAATCGATGATTATGATCATTGCGGAATGTACAGCAACTTTGGTCTATTATAAATAAATCACAAAATGAGTAAAAAAAAATTGAATTGTCAATTTATATATAGCAATCGTAATTTATCGTTTTAACACTTTTTTTATTTATTCCGTTTTTTTGTTGTGTAAATTTACATATCATAAAGAGTTTCTACAATTGAAAACGGTGATAATTAAATAACAATAATTAATAAAAAAAAAATTCCTATAAATATTGTGATTTATATAAAAATTGCAGTGTCAAAAATGATCATTCTTTTTATTACACAAAAAAAAAGTTTTTCAGTTAGCAAAAAAAAATTATAAGCGAATAATTTCTTTCTTAAATATGACAAATAAATTATTCGTTTGTAATAGAAAAAAAAGAAACATCTGTAAATGATAAAAGTAAACAGAATTTGAATTAATTTAAATAAATATAAAACCCCTCACAATTATTTACATATTCATTGCTTTTTTGATTACATAAGAAAATAGTCTAGACATAAAGAACCTTCAGATTTATGATAATAAAATTACTGTTCCAAATATTTGTGTTTTGATTAAAAAAATTTACTACAATGAAAAAACGAATTTTTCTAGATATAAAATTAAATTTTTATTTCTATAAATTAAAAATTATTTTATTATCAATTATTTATTAATAATATTCCTTTGGGAAAATTATTTTTCTATTTTAAAAAAATTTTTTTTTGGTTTTATTTTTGAAATTTTGCAACTGAAAAAATGTTTTGAGTATTTTTTTTTTCGAATTATAATTAAAAATATTGTATTAATAAATGCCATAATGTCCATAGGGTCCATGATGAGTGGCTTTGGAAATTGCAGCAAAATGTGCAGCTTTGGCTTGATTTACTTCCGGTGTATCAATGACTCTTCCATCGTGAGCCAAAGGAGCCGATGGTCCATGATAGTTTCCGTGTCCATAGACTGGAGTCGCATAATTATTATTATGATGATGATGAGGAGCAGGAATCACTCCGTAAGCAAATTTTGCTGGTGAATCATGATACGCACCCGAATTTCCCGCATGATGTAATGCCGCGTAATGTGCCGCTTTAGCTTGTGCCACTTCCGGTGTATCAATCACTCTCCCCTAAAAAATTGTTTTTTTTCAAATTATTTTTTTTCTACTATTAGCATTAATATATATATTATATATTAGCATTTTATAATTAATAAATATGTACTAACTTTAAAATAAATATATTTAATTTAATTTTTATTTTAATAGGAATAGGAAAAGGAAATTAAAGAAGAAAACAAAAAATGTTTGAACCTCGTGATTTAATGGAGCAGGTGGTCCTTGATATCCTTGTGGAATATGATAAATTCTACTGCTAAATTGTGTGGGTGAAGAATAACCATAAGATCCAAGAGGATGATGTGAATAGATATTAGCTTGACCATAATCATTTCCCTCGTAATCGTCCGAAGATCCTGAATAAGGTATTCTTGCAGCAATATCGGCAAAGGCTTGTAAATGAGCTGCCTTTGCGTATGCCACTTCAGGTGTGTCAATTACCCTACCATCATGCCCAATTGGCGCCGATGGTCCTTGATATGGATATTGTCCTCCAGCGTAATATTCAGGTCTCGCGAATATCACTGATACCATCGATGCAACCACGACCTTGAAAAAAAAACCACAGGTTTCAATTTTTTTTATATATAATTTTTTACCTTCTTTTTGTTTGTATCTTTTTATTTTTTTATTTTCACTTTTTTTCCCTTAAATTCCTCTTTACTAAAAATAATAATAGTTTTTATATTATAATTATTTTTCATTATAAAATTGCAAAAATTGAATAATAATATCCTCGCTATTAATAATGTTATTTACTTTTTTAATTTTAAAATGAAGTTTTAAATGGTAATATTTAATTCAGATTGGAATAAAAAAATTTTCTCTTCATAATTAGATAATTTATTTACTATTTAATGTATTATAATTTTCCTAACTAATTGTTATAAATTGTTCTTTATTAATTAAATAATTATTTTAATTTCCTATTTATTTAAAATAAAAAGTAACAATTTTTTTTCCCTTCACACTCACTAAAAACTTCATAGTTATAATTGTTTTGTATCTCTTCGTTTGGGATTAAATTCCTTTCTGTTGTCAAATCGTGGTCACACCATCGTTTTATATAGACAGGTGGTTTAATATAATTATTTCCCAATGTTTTGCCTCGTCGATTCGAAAATAAACCGCGAGGCCTTTTAGAGGACAATAATTGATAATTTCACGGGTCAAAGTGAAATTCACTTATATATCAGTTAAGAAATTTTTTTTCTATATACATTGCATAGTTTCTTTACAATAAATAAAAATTCATAATAGCGAGGGAAAAATTTTCTATTATTCAATTTGCAAATTTATAGAAAAAAATTAAATTAAATTCGGAGTTATAAAATTTTGTCTATAGGGAGAAATTAATTGAAATTTAATTTTTATTATTTATATTAATTAATGTCAATTTATTGTTTGATTTGAAATCAAATTTGATTTATATCTTGTTTGTCGTGTGTCTAATAAGTTAATAACTTAATAATAATATATATATACATGTGTAAGAGTAGTCGTTGAGTGTGCCCTTAATGAGCGACTTCACTTAATTAAACTTGAATCTTTTTAGCATTAACAACATATATGTATATTACATACAAGTTGAAGTTAGGTGCAGCGGGTCCCGCCTTATTACGATGCAACATCATAAATTGTGCCACACTGCATTTTTATAGCCAATCACATTATGCGTTCAGCAAATTCCTTTGACCGTCGTAATAATTGTTCTTCTTACATCCATTACTCATTCACGTGGGTGAAACTGCATTTTTTTTTTCATTAATTTCTTTGATTTTTTTTTTCAAAAATTATCTTGAGGAATTTTTAAAATTTTTTTAAAATAAAGTCAAATATTTAAAACAAAAATGATATCTGAAAATACAATTTTTTCAGAATATTCAAATTTTTGGTTTGTGTAGAAAAAAAAAAAATTAGAAAATGCAAATAAGTTATATATACAACTTTGTCAGTTTATAGTTGCAATAGAAAAAAAAAGTTGTACCTATTAAATAATATACAGTGTCTGTCACGATCCACTGCACTTTTCATGCCCTGATCTTCATAACAAGTTGTAATTACTACATGTCTAATTACCCCAAGTGTAGTATAGAAGAGTTTAACTGTAACTTTCATTTTTCGAGAATATAATATAGTCATAATTTATACACAAGTTACAACTTCAAAAAAAAAAATTATTTTGTTAAAAATTACAAATTTTTGTTATTAACAAATTAAAATTTTGATCTCATCAAAGGGTAAAATCAATAACTCGATTGACCTTGATTTTTATGAAATTATCAATTCATGTGAAATTCGAATTGAATTCATGGAATCACGTACGATTAATCAAAATGCTCCTTGAAGCGAAAGGAGCGATTTTCTGTTTTTGTTAAAGAATTATTATATAATAATACCTGGTCATGTCGCACGATAATACTCACGTTCCACTATTGGCGTAATACTATTCAGAATCCAATTCTTTTATTATCATGATCAGAAATTTTTTTTCCAATTTTTCTTTTTCTATAAAAATAAAAAATTTACACTATCAGTTTCTTTAGTTCTGTCTCGTTAATTCTAATATATTTTAATCTCAATTTTTTTTTTTTTAGTAAAAAAACTAAAACATGCTTAAATAATATTTATTGTAGGTGAAATATAATTTGAATAATTTTTATTTAATTTTTTTAAATTGAAAAAAAAATTCTAATAAAACGTGATTAAAGATAATTACTTTTTAAAAAAAAATTCCGAAAATATTGAATAATTTAGAACTAAATGAAGCATATATATAAGATGTAAAGGTAAAAACAAATTGGAACGAAAAGTTAATAAATGTGAGAAAAAAAATAGACCCTTTCAAATACCAACTTGGGATTTTTAATATTTTTAATGCGTTTTTTCAATGGTGGCTTTTATGAGGACACATAAAATTTAATGAAATGTATACGTTACGTTTCATATACTGTGGTTAACATTAAATTTAATGTGCTTGTGCGAAAAAAGCTTTCAATATCTATATAATAATAATGCCTTAAAGTTAAACACTTTTTTGTTTTAAAACTAAAAAAATAAATGAAAGGCGCATAGAAAGTAAAATTTTGAATGTCAAAATACCAATCGTTTTGAATTAAATAAAAAGAAGACGAATAATATTGAAATTAATTCAGGAATAATTTATTAAACCTTTTTTTAAATTTTCAAGTGAAATATTTCGAATATTCCACAGAAATACTTTATATATTTCTGTGGAATATTTGGAATATTTGGAATCCAGTGGAATATTCCCAATGTTTTAATGGAATATTCCGAATAATTCAGCCTAGGAAATTTTTTTTTTTTTTTTAAATTAAATTATTTTCGGTATTCAAAAAAATATGAAATATTGAATTAAAATTTCTTTTTATTCTTCTTTTGCAATATTTAACAAAGAAAAATTCTATTCATAATTTCGAATATTTATATATATAATAAAATTTTTTTTTTCTGTCTCTTAAAGTCTTGAGACAGTAAATCGCAAAGGAGAGTGACCTATAGAGTGAGAAAAATTTTTGCGCTCATTATTACGGGAAAATCAGAGGGTTACATATATAAAAATATATATATATATATAATATTTAATGTACATATGGTGGTGGGGTATTTGCAATATTTTACAACTTATGCCAATATAATGAAGTTGAGTGGAGGAATGCCGCAAAAGTTGGTATTGTTCATGAGCTATATAAGGTCTTTCTAGACACCGGAAAGTTGTAGAACGCGTTTCAATCCTTAGCCAGTAAACATGTGGTTCCTTGTGAGTAATATTTTGCCAAATTTTTTGAATTTTTATTTAATTTCATTTTTTCGCGTTGATTTTTTTTATATAAAAATATAATAATTTTGAAATTCGTATGACAAACAAAGAAAAACAAAAAAAAAATTATAATATCTGTGGTTTGTGAAATAAGTCCACTTTGATTCGCCGCAAAAGATGGAACGTTTTCTTACATAGTCGGGGCACAAAAAAAAATTTCATTTCGTAATTATGCAACAAGTGTTTAGTTCAATTATTTCAAAATTTTATTCATTTTATTATATTGAAATTTTTATATTGTTTTGTTTTATATTATATTATTTTTTATTATTTTATATTATTTTATTTTTTATTATTTTTTATTTCATATTATATTATTCTATATTTTATTTTATAAATTTAGTTTAAATTTATTTATTTAATTTATTTAAATTTAATTTTATAAATTTAAATTTATTTATTTATAAATTTTTATAATCTATTATTTTTTATTATTTTTATTTCATATTATATTATTTTAGATTTTATTTTATAAATTTTCATTTTTATTACTGATTTTATTATTTATTTCCTTATTCTATATTTTTTTTACAATTAAATACTTTTATTCTATTCTTTTTTATTTTCTTCAAATATCTGTTTTGCAATATTTTGCATTAAATATATTTTTTCATATTTCTCTGATAAATATTGGAAATTGGAAACTATTGGATCATATTTCTTTGATATAATTTACTGATTTTCTAATTTAATTTATTTATTTACACAATTTTTTAAATTGTTTTTTATTCGCAAATTTATTTGCCAATTTTTAATTTCTATTTTATTTGCAAGAAAAAATAAACAAACAGTCAATTAATTGAAATTTTATTTTCAGATTCTCGGATTTTGCCTGGCAGTGGCTCTTGCCGAACCAGTTCATATTCATTATGACACGACGCACTATCATGGACCACCTGCACCTCTCGATAAAATTGGAAGAGTTATTGACACACCGGAAGTGGCGCATGCGAAAGCAAAACATTTAGCGGCTTATGAAGCTGAAGCAGCTAAAGGTTCCTATTCATCGGGCAGTGAAGGTGGAAGTTCCGGTGGTGGTGGTGGTGGTGGTTCCGAGGGACATGAACATCATCATCATGTTGTACATCATTATCATGGACCACCAGCTCCATTGGATCATCATGGAAAAGTCATTGACACAAAAGAAGTTGAACACGCAAAAGCCCATCATTTCCATGCTTATCAAGAGGAATTAGCCAAGGTCAAACACTCCGAGCCTCATAGCTATATCTAAAAAAAAAAAAAAGAAATATTGCGGATTTAATTAATTTTTTTGCCTGTTTGATATGATACTCAAAACCATTAGAATTATTCATTAATTTTAATGGAACCCTGGTTATTGGAATTGGGAATAAATAGAAACACTCGATTTTTTTTTCTCATCCAAAGAAATCGTTAGTTGCTCCTTAGAAAAAAAAAGGAATCGAAAAGGTCAATTAAAATTTATTTTTTGAAAATTTTTTTTAGAAAAACTAGAAACCTGGTTATCGTAATTTCAACCATGATTTCTATTTTCTAAAATGTATTTTAGAGCTTTGATATTCTCTTTCTATTTTTTTTTTTGAAACAAAAAAAGTGATTCAAGCTCGATTCTATATATATAGTGGAGCATGAGATTCTTTTGCAATATATAGAAATGGTAAAGGGTGTTATAATTATAGTTCTGAGACTAGAGCTCAATTTTTTTTATTACGAATTTTGTATTTTTGAATAAAAAAAAAGTTATATTTTCTTATACACGATTGCTTTCTTTCTAACTTTTCCAAGTGGAGTGAAAATGTTCTCTTTTTCCCAAATTGTAAAAACGAAATTGTTTTTTTTTTTCAAATTTTATCTACAAGAAAAAATATTGTTTCATAAAAATCAACGATTATTTACAAAAGAAGTTAAAAATAAATTTCGAATATGAAAAAAATAGTTCTACATCCTGTGAAAGAGAAAAGAAAATTTTTTTTTTTTTTACTGTTAATGATTGATAAAATCAAATTGTTACAAAATTGTAACTTTCTTGAAGTAGACAAATGTTTATGGTGGTGTTGCTTAAACTTGTAATTTATGTAAACTTTATCTTTTACTCTAAACATTGTCAAGCTCTGTTTGTTTGTCGTCATCGAATAGAGAGAAAAAAAAAGAGTGAGTGAGAGAGAGAGAATGAAAAAATATTGGCGTTGTTATATTGTCATTGGAAAAATTCTTATCGCTTGAGACAACGTTTAAGATCATTTGTGCACCCGTTGAAAGCACAATTACGCTCACATTGTGTGCAGGACACCATTCGACCTGATCGACGAACCAGGACACAGGTTTCATGTTTATAAAGATATTTCATCATCGCACCCATTGCACTCTCATTTCACACTGAATTCCTCACACGCAAACAAAAAAGAAAAAAAAATTTACGAAACAATTAAAACCCTTCATAGATTAATATCGCGAGGCAAAGAATCATTATCAGTTTAATTATATGTATAGATAAAAGGATAGATAAAATTTAAAAAAAATATTATTTATCTACGATCCAAGAAAAATGTATTTTTATAATTTTTGTCAACTATTTTTTTGGACAGTTAAACATTTTTTTTTGTTAATTAGATCCGTTTGAGAAATTCTGAACAAGAATAAAAAAAAAAATGAAAAAAAGCGATGGAAATAATTTGGAAAATTTTTTAAAAAAATAATTATATTTATTTATTCATCTTTAGAAAAATATTAATTATAGAAAGTAAAATCCTTGTGTCTGACTATAGTATTTTCCTCATCTACTTGCGGAATAATTTACATTCTTTTTTTTATCACTTTCGTCCCAGATTATGAGCCGCACGACTTTGATCCCGTTATTTACACGTGGAAATGGTCTATTACGATTACATATGTGTTAAACGAGTTCGTTATACTACCTGATATTCAATTCGTCTAGAATAACAGTCTCCATGAGACTGTATTCAACAATTTTCTCAAGGTCGTTGTCATGAATTGCACAGTATTTACGAGCGCCATTGACATCAGTGAACTTACATAACAAATAAACATTTGTATCTTTATGGAATTTCCAATTATAATTATAATTCTCTCTATTTCCCTATTGAGAAAATTTTATATCTGGTACAGCGAAAGTTTTCGCGATTTTAATTAAAGATTTCAAACAATTAGAATTTTGTTTTTTTTTTGCTATTTTAATGAATTCTTTCGCTGGTCCAGGTAAATATTTTTTTTTAGAGCCGTTGGTATCAAAATTGAAGCTGTATAATTAGTTGAAAAATATTAAATAAATGAAACTCGTCAATATTTGAAAATTCGATTTTTTTTTAATTGAAGCTAGTGAAAAAAAATTTATTTGATTCAAATAAATAAGTAAATAAATAAGAAAATAAATAAATGTATAAATAAATTAGTAAGTAAATAAATAAATAAATAAGTAAACGAATAAATAAATAAGAAAATAAATAATAAAATAAATAATAAAATAAATAATAAAATAAATAAATAATAACAAATAAATTAATTAACTTGACTATTATCAAACAAATATTTACTAGTATTAAATAATATTATTCGAGTAAATTAAAATACAAAAATTATTGGTTCATATACAGAAATTATTTCAAATAAAGTTTAATTAATTCAGATAAAAATTTATTTGGTTCTAATAAATATTCATTTGCTACCGCGGTCAAGTAACCGATTAAATTTGAATAAAATAAAATTTTATATCTGGTACAGCGAAAGTTTTCGCGATTCTAATTAAAGATTTCAAATAATTAGAATTTTTTTTTGCTATTTTAATGAATTCTTTCGCTGGTCCAGGTAAATATTTTTTTTAGAGCCGTTGGTATCAAAATTAAAGCTGTATAATTAGTTGGAAAATATTAAATAAATGAAACTCGTCAATATTTGAAAATTTGATTTTTTTTTAATTGAAGCTAGTGAAAAAAAATTTATTTGATTCAAATAAATAAATAAATAAGAAAATAAATAAATAAATAAATTAGTAAGTAAATAAATAAATAAATAAGTAAAGAAGTAAACGAATAAATAAATAAGTAAATAAATAATAAAATAAATAAATAATAAAAAAAATTAATTAACTTGACTATTATCAAATAAATATTTACTAGTATTAAATAATATTATTCGAGTCAATTAAAATACAAAAATTATTGGTTCATATACAGAAATTATTTCAAATAAATTTTAATTAATTCAGATAAAAATTTATTTGGTTCTAATAAATATTCATTTGCTACTGCGGTCAAGTAACCGATTAAATTTGAATAAAATAAAATTTTTTTCACTGCTTTATTCATCAAATAAAATAATAACTAAAATTAAAAATCCTCTTTAAGAACACCTTTAATGTAAAAAAAAAATTTTACTAAAATGTCAAAAAAATTACAAAATCATTTTTGAAAATTCACTCTTCAAAAAAATATTTATTAACTTACTAGCAAAATCATAAATAAATTCTAAATATTACATAAACATTATTTAAAAAAAAATTGAAATTTTACAAGCTAAAAATTATATTTTGCAAAAAGAAGAAGAAAAAAAAATTTTTTTCTCCATAAAATATCAAGCACGTGAAATAAACTTCAAAGTCATTGCAGAAGATATAGGTAAGTTTAATGGTGTAATAAATATAAATATTTTGTAAAGCCTAAAAATAGAAAACTAGATTGAAAAATAACTTTCGATTTGAAATCGATTAAATTCTAAAAATCGCACAATATATGGGGAAGAGAGAGAGAGACAAAAAGAGAGAGAGAGAGAAAGAATTAAAGAAGTGGGTTTTCAAAAGCGAAAGGTCGATAATGATGCTTGCATTAGATTATTATGCAAGGAATTTTATATTGCGTCACAATAGACAATATTCGAGTGTTATCAAACTTTTCGCATTTTTACAAACCACAAGAATTTATTGCAATGCACAACTGCCAATTATTTGTAAATATGGATGAATGAACAATCTCATGTAACTCCCTATCTTAAATAGAATTTTTTTTTTTGGTTTTTTTTTATTTACAATTATTACATATAGGTAAAAATGCAAAAATTTACAAAATATATTACAATAGTAATAAATTTGAAAAAATTGAAGCTATATATATTTATTTGAATTGACTATTTGGTAGCTTCAATTTTTTGTTGACCAATCAATGGTACAATCAATAGTAGTTAATTAAAAATTATTTTTCATTTCAAACTAAATAAAAAAGAAATTTATTTGTTTCTAATAATCGTTTACTTGACTATTATCAAATAAATATTTTTTTGAACCAAATAATTTCCGAGACCAAATATAATTGAATCAAATAATCTTTATTTATAATAATTATTTTTTATTTTTAATTTCAAACTAATCAATAAAAAAAAATCTATTTGATTCTAATAATCGTTTACTTGACTATTATCAAATAAATATTTTTTTGAATCAAATAATTTCCGAGATCAAATATAATTGAATCAAATAATTGTATTTGAACTAATAATTGCTGTATTTAAAACAAATATAATTAAATTGTCTCAAATAATAATTAGTAATTAAAAAAAAAAATTTATTCGCTACAAATAAATATTTAGTTGATAAGAATAAATATTTCCATGATACAAATAAATATTTAATTGATAACACTAAAGCAACCGATTATTTGCATCAATAATAATTAAAAATTATTCTCCTTGAATTGCTTTAAAAGATTATCTATATAGGTGATTTTGCAAATGCAATCTGCAGCTTATATATTCGATCCTAATCTAATCGCAAAGATCAAAAATTTTATGTATGCAATTTAATATTATACGATGCTTTATAGTTATTATAAACACGTGTATTACATTAGTTGAACATGACTCGTATAACCATAAAAAGAAGCAGAATTCATAAATAACCAAAGTTAAATATTTCAGGTTTGAGTATATTACTTTTAAATTTATAGAGTAATAAATATATCGTTATGGTGTAATTCGAGCAGACAATAGAACACATGAATATACACGGTTACTGATATATAGGAAAAGTGTTTATATTCGCAAGATACAAATTTTCAACAATACCATTTGATAATAGTTACTGTATAATTTATAAGACAATTATTTGTATAAGCCAATTTTTATTGTAACTATATTAGAAATTGAAGATTTAGCTACCATAATAGTTGAAACGATTTATTAGTTAGTTATACGTTGGTACCAGTTAGTTTGGTATCAGTAAAATTGGTACCAGTTACTTTGGTACCAATTAGTTTGGTTCCAGTTATTTTAGTACTAGTTATTTGGTACCACTAACTTTGGTACGACAAACTTTGATACTAATTACTTTGGTACCACTAACTTTGATACTAATAACTTTGGTACCACAAACTTTGATACTTATTACTTTGGTACCATTAACTTTGGTATCACTAAGTTTGGTACCAATTACTTTGGTACCACTAACTTTGGTACCAATTACTTTGGTACCACTAACTTTGGTACCAATTAATTTGGTACCACTAACTTTGGTACCAATTACTTTGGTACCCCTAACTTTGATACTAATTACTTTGGTACCACTAACTTTGATACTAATTACTTTGGTACCATTAACTTTGGTACCACTAACTTTGGTACCAATTACTTTGGAACCCCTAACTTTGATACTAATTACTTTGGTACCACTAACTTTGATACTAATTACTTTGGTACCATTAACTTTGGTACCACTAACTTTGGTACCAATTACTTTGGTACCCCTAACTTTGATACTAATTACTTTGGTACCACTAACTTTGATACTAATTACTTTGGTACCATTAACTTTGGTACCACTAACTTTGGTACCAATTACTTTGGTACCCCTAACTTTGATACTAATTACTTTGGTACCACTAACTTTGATACTAATTACTTTGGTACCATTAACTTTGGTACCACTAACTTTGGTACCAATTACTTTGGTACCACTAACTTTGATACTAATTACTTTGGTACCACTAACTTTGATACTAATTACTTTAGTACCTTTAACTTTGGTACCACTAACTTTGGTACCAATTACTTTGGTATCACTAACTTTGGTACCAATTACTTTGGTACCACTAACTTTAGTACCAATTACTTTGGTACCAGTCAATTGGTACCAGTTAATTATTACGGTACCAGTTACTTTGGTACCATTAAGTTACTATGGTACCAGTTACTTTGGTACTAGTTATGTTGGTACAAGTTACTTCAGTACTAGTTATTTTAGTACCAAATAGTTATAATGGTACCCGTTACGGTGGTACCAGTTAGTTATAATGATAGCAGTTACTTTGGTACCCGTAAGGTTGGTACCAGTTATGATTGTACCAGTTACTTTGGTAACAATTAGTTTGGTACTAGTTACTTTGGAACCAGATATTTAGTACCACTAACTTTGGTACCAGTTAATTACTATGGTACCAGTTAATTTGGTACCACTTTGTTATTATGGTACCAGTTACTTTGGTACCAGTAACTTTGGTGCTAGTTATTTTGTTACCAGTTGCTTCAGTACTAGTTACATGGTACCAGTTAGTTTCTGTGGTACCAGTTACTTTGGTACCAGTTACTGTGGTACCAGTTACTATGGTACCAGTTACTTTGGTACCAATTAGTTTGGTACTAGTTACTTTGGAACCAGATATTTAGTACCTCTAACTTTGGTACCACTAACTTTGGTACCACTAACTTTGGTACCACTAACTTTGGTACCACTAACTTTGGTACCACTAACTTTGGGACCACTAACTTTGGAACCATTTTTTTGGTACCACTAAATTTGGTACCAGTTAATTACTATGGTACCAGTTACATTGGTACTAGTTACTTTGGTACCAATTACTTTGGGACCAGTTAGAATAGTTGCAACAAAATTTGAACATTAATTAATAATAAAATAAAAGAAGTATAATAATAATAAAATAATAATAATAAAATAATAATAATAAAATAATAATAATAAAATAATAATAATAAAATAATAATAATAAATAAATAAATAATAAATTAAATACTACCTAATGAAATAAAATAATTAAAATTAAAATTTTTAAATTGTCACGAAAAAATTTTCGAATTTGTCAAAATTATTGCTTAAGAGGAATTTTTTGAGAAAGAAAAAAAATTTCTATTAATATACATATATACATATTAAATGTCCGATATCAATAAGTGATTATTACACGTTATATTAGAAGGGGTGGGGGTGGAAGAAAAAGGAGAGCACATTTTCTTGGGTGTGGTGTCGATGAGAAATGCGGTGGGGTGATGGCAGGCGATTGTCGAGAACCTCTATAAATTGACGGATCCTTGAATGCAACAGTCATGTGAACTTTGTATCTTCGTTACAAGCTATCAACTGATTAATCAGTGTTGAGAGAGATACGAAAAAAAGAAGAAGAAAAAAAATAATTCCAGATTCACTGAATTCAACATGTTTCTATTAGTGAGTATTATAAAAGTGACTCATATATTTCTTCCGCATGATAATGAAGAAATTAGTGAAGTGTAACAGTGTCCATTGAACTTGATTATTTAATTAAAGGATTATACAATAATTTACGGTAGATTTTTTTTTCTTTTATTTTTCACAATTCTTCATTTCCATGGAATCAACTAATGAAAATTTTTTAAAATGATTAAAATAGTAAAAAAAAATGAATAAATAATCAATCATTTTTTTAAAATTATTAGTAACAATTAATTAATCAGTAAATAAATATTAATTTATTGTTAATTAATTATTGATACTATTGATTAATTTTTTATGCAAATAAATAATAATATAAATTAATTATATGTATTATTTATTTATTATTAATTAGTACTAATTACTAATTAATGGCTAATAAATTATTATTAATTGTTTAATTAATTATTATGAATTTATAACGAATTATTAATTAATTAATTATTAATTACTTATTATTAATTAATTTTTTATGCAAATAAATAATAGTGTAAAATAATTATTTATATGTATTATTTATTATTAATTAATTATTATTATTAATTTTTCTTAATTAATAATTTATTATTAATTTTAAAATATTCGTTCAGGTTCTTTTGGCCTCAGTCTCGATGGTATTTGGAGCACCACAATGGTATGGGGGTGCACCTATTGGATACGGTCACAATCCAGCACCATTGGGACCGGATGGTAGAGTTGTTGATACACCGGAAGTGGCACAATTAAAATCAGCTCATTTGTCAGCTTTAGCTGAAGCTGCTGCTCGAGCTCCCTCAGGTCCTGCGGGGCCCTACGATGGACATTCTTCTTATCCTGCGGGAAATTACGTTTCCCATTACAGGTAAAAATTTGGAAATTTTTGAAAAATTAATTCTCCCTTCAAAAAAAAAAAAATAAATAAATTTAATTGTCATCAATTAATTATAGCTTCAATTAATTGTAGCTTAATTTTTTTTGTAGTTACAATAAAAGAAACGAAGAAATAATTATTGCATCGAATAATAGTAGCTGTAATTAATTGTAGCTTCAATTTTTTTTGTAGTTACAATAAAAAGAAGCTACAAATAAATTGATACTTCAAATAATAATAGCTTAATTGTAGCTTCAATTTTTTGTGGTTGCAATAAAAAAGAAACAAGAAATAATGATAGCTTCAAATAATAATAGTTTAAAATAATTTATAGCTTCAATTATTTGTAAGTACAATGAAATGAAGCTAAAAATAAAATCAGTAACTTTTAATTTATTCCAGTTACAATAAAAAATAACTTCATTTTATTGTACTTGCAATCAAAAATAGCTTCAATTTATTTAACTGGTAATTAAAAATAGCTTTAATTATTGATAGTTTTAATTAACAGTAATCGTGATTATTAATAGCTTCAATTTTTTATAGTTACAATAAAAATAATCTACAAATAATGGATCCTTCAAATAAATAATTGCTTTAATTAATCGTAGCTTCAATTATTAATAATTACAACGAAAATGAAGCTAAAAATCAATTTTCAAAAATATCTTCAATATTCTGGTAGTTCTTTAAAAATAAAAATTTCGCAAAATGATAATTTTATTATTTCTTATCATCACTAATTGAAAAAAAATATTTATTAAAATTTTTTTTAGTCAATAATTAATTAATTACAATAAATTAATTAATTAAAAATTATTTTTGTATTAATTATAGTGGACCTCCAGCACCTTTGGGACATGATGGAAGAGTAGTTGACACACCGGAAGTGCAAGCAGCGAAAGCACATCATTTTGCACTTTACAATGCTGAAGCACAAAAAGCAGCAGTCGCTGCACCCGCTGGACCAGGAGGCTGGAATCCAGCATGGAATGGTGACTGGAATGGACACTATGGACAATATTAGGAAATGAAAAATAATAATTAAAAAAAAAAAAAAACTAATTTCGACCTGGAATAAACATTTGAAACAATATATATTGAAAGAAGATAAAAATTCTTTCATTATAATAATTTATCGTATATAAAACTACCTCTCGATGGAAAGACTCAAAGCTCGACAATATAAAATCGTCTAAGATCCATTTTTTTTTAATCGATCTTTTTTTTATACTTGAAAAATATTAGAGTTTTCTATTATTTAAAGGCTGATGATTAGACGATTTGCTTATGAATAAAAAACGAAAAAAAAAATTGAAACTTTCCTTTAGATCTCTATATATGCTTGTTTTTTGTTCCTCTCCAAACATTTGAAATGCTAGTAATATTGCTGTTTCTTCCATTTTTAAATTATTTTTAAAAAATATTTTTTTTCATCAAAAATGACAAATAATATTTTTAAAAAGTAAATTATTATATTCATTATTGTCTTTAATAGTATAATAAATAATAATAACTAATTACAATAATTACAAATTATTAAAAAAAAGTGGAAAATTCGGAAAGTTTTATTTTTGCGTTACATTTAAAAAAAGATTTATTTAAAAATAAAATTAGAAAAGGAAGAAATGCTTCGATGTATATGTAATATTAATTTGCTTTCGGTGATTGGATTTAAAAATTTCTTTTCTATAAATAAATGTTGTAAATAATGATATTACTTGCTTTCAGCGATATTTTTTTTTTGATAAAGAATTATAAACAAATTAAAATATTAGAAAAAATTGTAAAAAAAAAAAAATTTTCTTGTTAATTTTACAAAATTGTTTAATTTAAGATATTGTTCATTATTTCATGGTTACGGTGTTTGGTGCTCATTTTAGTTGTAAATATTATGTAATTATTGTATTTTAACACATGTTACAGTAATTTTATACTCCAATAAAAATTACGAACCTTAACATTTTTTCTTTATGTATTTAAAATTCTGTTTCCTTTGTTCCATTATCTAATATTCATTCTATATTTAATTGCAGCATTTTTTTAAAATAAATTAAATTATTTTATTTTAATATTAAAATTTTTTTTGTTTATTTTACTTGTGAAATAAATTGTTTTTTATTATGTAAAACAATTTAAAGTTACTTTGGTAACAGTTACTATGGGACCAGTTGCTTTGGTACCAATTAGTTCGGTACCAGTTACGTTGGTACCAGTTACTTTGGTACCACTAACTTTGGTATCAGTTACGTTGGTACCAGTTAGTTTGGTACCGGTTACGTTGGTACCAGTTACTTTGGTACCAGTCAGTTACTATGGTACTAGTTACTTTGGTACCACTAACTTTGGTACCAGTTAGTTTGGTGCCGGTTACGTTGGTACCAGTTACTTTGGTACCAGTCAGTTACTATGGTACTTGTTACTTTGGTACCACTAACTTTGGTACCACTAACTTTGGTACCAGTTAGTTTGGTACCAGTTACGTTGGTACCAGTTACTTTGGTACCAGTCAGTTACTATGGTACTAGTTACTTTGGTACCACTAACTTTGGTACCAGTTAGTTTGGTACCGGTTACGTTGGTACCAGTTACTTTGGTACCAGTCATTTACTATGTACTAGTTATTTTGGTACCACTAACTTTGGTACCAGTTACGTTGGTACCAGTTACTTTGGTACAAGTTACTTTGGTACAAGTTACTTTGGTACCACTAACTTTGGTACCACTAACTTTGGTACCACTAACTTTGGTACCAGTTAGTTTGGTGCCGGTTACGTTGGTACCAGTTACTTTGGTACCAGTCAGTTACTATGGTACTTGTTACTTTGGTACCACTAACTTTGGTACCACTAACTTTGGTACCAGTTAGTTTGGTACCAGTTACGTTGGTACCAGTTACTTTGGTACCAGTCAGTTACTATGGTACTAGTTACTTTGGTACCACTAACTTTGGTACCAGTTAGTTTGGTACCGGTTACGTTGGTACCAGTTACTTTGGTACCAGTCATTTACTATGTACTAGTTATTTTGGTACCACTAACTTTGGTACCAGTTACGTTGGTACCAGTTACTTTGGTACAAGTTACTTTGGTACAAGTTACTTTGGTACCACTAACTTTGGTACCACTAACTTTGGTACCACTAACTTTGGTACCAGTTACGTTGGTACCACTAACTTTGGTACCAGTTAGTTTGGTACCAGTTACGTTGGTACCAGTTACGTTGGTACCAGTTACTTTGGTACCAGTCAGTTACTATGGTACTAGTTACTTTGGTACCACTAACTTTGGTACCAGTTAGTTTGGTACCAGTTACGTTGGTACCAGTTACTTTGGTACCAGTCAGTTACTATGGTACTAGTTACTTTGGTACCACTAACTTTGGTACCAGTTAGTTTGGTACCGGTTACGTTGGTACCAGTTACTTTGGTACCAGTCATTTACTATGTACTAGTTATTTTGGTACCACTAACTTTGGTACCAGTTACGTTGGTACCAGTTACTTTGGTACAAGTTACTTTGGTACAAGTTACTTTGGCACAAGTTACTTTGGTACAAGTTACTTTGGTACAAGTTACTTTGGTACTAGTTACTTTGGTACCACAAACTTTGGTACCAGTTACGTTGGTACCAGTTAGTTTGGTACCGTTTACGTTGGTACCAATTAGTTATTATGGTACCAGTTACTTTGGTACCAGTTAGTTTGGTACCATTTTTTAATTTAACGAATTTTTTTTGTTAATAAAATAAAAAATAATCGTTACAGTAAAAAGGAAAATTGATGCCGTCTTCTTTTTTTTATCAAAAAAGAATTCTAATGGTGAGGTCAAAAAGTTTATGCGTCTCATTGGTTACTTGAATGTTGTTAGATATATATTTTCTATTTTGTTCTTTTTGGTTTTTTTTTCTATCGATAAACAAAAGTACGAAACCGGTTTTGTTTTCTTATCTTGAACGATTGTTTTCTTAGACAGTAGCGCATGAACAACAAAAGCAAGCAAGGACATGATTGTTCATGCCTGACGAGGAATGCATCTCTCTAGTAGACCACTTTTCGCTATCATTAACAATCTCAATTTCGATTCATGTCACGGGCGTGTTAATGCACGTGAATACCTATGTTAATCGGAAAATTTCAATTATTTACTCTTGTATATATTTATATTAATATTACCATCGCAAATTATTATTTACCTTTCAAAATATATAATTTCAACAGGAAATCTATTAACATTATATTATTTGCACGTACATCGTTAAATTATACTTTCACGTGTATAATATATATATAATATTAAAACAATTGAATTATTTCAAAAAAATATATTAAAAAATAGTTTAGAAAGAAATTTTTAAATATTTTAAAAATAGTTAAAGTTTAGAATATCTTAAATTTCTTTTTTGTATTATTCAATTATTAGTAGTTTTAATTTATACTAATCGTGATTATGAATAGCTTCAATTATTATTGGTAGTTTAATTTTTTACTTAAAGTGTTTATTAATAGTTTCAATTTTTTTCTATTTCTAATTAAAAATAGCTTCAATTATTCATAGTTAAAATTTGTTATCCTAATCGTGATTATTAATAGCTTAAATTATTGATCGTTTTAATCGATTCTCGTTCAGAGTAAATAGTAGTTTTGCAAAAGAAAAAAAAAATTCATAAAATATAATTAAATTTTCCCGGAAAGAATTTAATAACTATATATATATATATATGATACGTGAATTGTGGCAAATGCCGACGAATATTGTTATCGCGAGTTTGTGTCGATATTGCGTAAGGGAGTTCAAACTGGGAGTGCTCTTCCTTTCGATTTCTCATTGGCTGACGCCCACCTACTCACCTACTTTGTTACCAACCTACCTACTTAGTTTACCTACCCACCTACCTACATACTTAGTGTAGGATAGAGCTTTTCAATCTAACTCCATCTCTCTCTTTTACTCTTTCTCTTTCTTCGTCTTTCACTCTCAGGAAAACCGAAAGTGAACTCTCAATGACCTACGAGTGCGACAACGATGATTTATCTAGATTCAACTGACACATACACACATATAAGTAATTTTTTTTAAAAATATTTTATTACATTAACTCATATTGTGCAACTCTCGCCTCGACGAGAGTGTAAAAAAAAATTTCCCGTTTTAAAATTAAATTTATCGTTTTGGTATAAGATAATTTGCTAAGAGTTACTTTGGTACCAGTTACGTTGGTACTAGTTACTTTGGTACCTGTTACTTTGGTACCACTAACTTTGGTACCACTTAATTTACACCAGTTACTTTGGTACCAATTAGTTTGGTACCAGTTACTATGGTACCACTAACTCTAATACGAGTAACATTGGTACTAGTAACATTGGTACCAATTACTTCGGTTCCAACTACTTTGGTACCAGTTACTTTGGTACCAGTTACGTTGGTACCAGTTACTATGGTACCAGTTACATTGGTACCAGTTACTTCGGTTCCAACTACTTTGGTACCAGTTACTTTGGTACCAGTTACTGTGGTACCAGTTACATTGGTACCAGTTACTTCCGTTCCAACTACTTTGGTACCAGTTATGTTGGTACCAGTTAATTATTATGATACCAGTTACGTTGGTACCACTTACTTCGGTTCCAACTACTTTGGTACCATTTACTTTGGTACCAGTTACGTTGGTACCAGTTAGTTATTATGGTACTAATTACTTTGGTTCCAACTACGTTGGTACCAGTTTCTTTGGTTCCAACTACGTTGTGCCAGTTAGTTATTATGGTACCAGTTACATTGGTACCAGTTACTTTGGTTCTAACTACGTTGGTACCAGTTAGTTATTATGGTACTAGTTACGTTGGTACCAGTTACATTGGTACCAGTTACTTCCGTTTTAACTACTTTGGTACCAGTTATGTTGGTACCAGTTAATTATTATGATACCAGTTACGTTGGTACCAGTTAGTTCATGTGGTACCAGTTACGATGGTACCAATTATTTTGGTAATATTTAGTTACTACGGTACCAATCTATTTGGTATCCGTTGCTACAGTACGCAATGTCATGCTAATGGTAAAAGAAGAAAAAATTGACTTTACAATGTATCTTGAAATAATAGACAAAATGATCTTTTATTTTATTATTTTTTTTATTTTTATAATTTATTTTATTTGTAAAAAAATACTATAAAAAATTAAGAGTACAATTTTTTAATTTTAGTAAATGGAATTATAGGCAGCTGGTTGTCCAACAAGTGATGCAGCATAAGCGTGAGCTTTCATGTGTGCTGCTTTGGCCTCTGCAACTTCCGGTGTATCGATAACTCTACCATCGGGACCCAATGGTGCCAATGGTCCATTATAGGTTGCAGGCACATTATGTGTGTAGGACAAATGAATCGGCGAAGAATAAACGAAATTCCTTCTTGTTGCATCGTAATTCATTTGTGGTCGATAATTATTGTAACTGTTACTTATCGCTTGATTGTAGGATGATAATTTTCCCTGTGCGATCTGCGAAACAAAAAAAAATCAATTGTTTTTCATTTTTTTTAAATATTTTTTTCATTTATTTTTTTTGTAATATTTCTTATAATATTTTTTCTTAAGAATAGTAATTTATTTTTTTATATTTCAATAAAAAAATTGAAGCTATTAATAATAAAAAAGGAAAATATTTAATAATAATTTGATTCAATTTTTTTTGTATATTATTGTAGCTTCAATAAATGTTAAAGGTTCTTTTCTATTTTATCCGATTTCTTCATTTCTTCTCTATTAGTCTTCAACGGTAAATCGTCAGACATAAAATAAAGTTATATATTACACCTAATGACTGTGGCTATTAACTTGCCCTGCTCTATTATTACAGTCTTCAATATCACCTGCGCAAAATAAATAGTGCAACAACAAAGTTGATGATTCTTGCATCATTTGATTCTTCTTATATTTTTCCTTTTTTTTTTTGCAAGAAGAGAACAACTTTTTTTTAGTTATTAACTAATAATTATATCTTATTAGAGAAGCAAGTAATTTAATATTGATTATTTATTATATAATACTTGGAATTTTTTAAGTTCCTCAAATTTTTCATTGACAATAATATGTTGAATTGAAGAATATTTGAGGAAATTTGAGAAAATAAAAGAAGAAACAAAAAAGAATAAAAAAGATAAAAAAAACAAAATAAAAAATTAAAAAGAAATAAAAGAAGAAGTATAGACAAAATTGAAGAATATAAACAATTTTATATTCTTATTTTATATTTTTATATATATAAAAAAATATATTTTTTTACCTCCTGCGTGTTTACGAATCGTCCATCATAGGCGAGTGGCGTGAGATAATTTCTGGAAGCAATTGAAGATACATAGGATGTATCTTGATTGTCCTCGTAAGCATCCGGAGGTGTGGGTACTTGTGCCAATCTTCGAAGGGCCTCAGCATGAGCTGCTAAATGCATGGCACGAGCATGAGCCACTTCAGGTGTGTCAATTACTCTTCCATCGTCAGCCAATGGCGCTGGTGGTCCCTCATATCGAAATCCATTTTCATCGTATTTTCCCTCACAAGCTGTCAATATGACACACACGATCAAAAATATCTGCAATATAACAAAAAAGAAAAGAAAATTTCATGAACATCGAATATCTTCAATTGTCGCAATAATCGGTAGTCAAAAAAAATTGAAGCTATCATTGATTTTAACTGTATCATAATAATTGAAGCTATATCATCTTCATTATTCCATAGAGTGATAAAATAAAGAAAAGTAAAATTTAAAAAAAGGTTTTCAAATTATATGGTACCAGTTAGTCACTATGGTACCAAGTATTTTAGTACCAGTTAGTTTCTATAGTACTAGTTACTATGGTACCTTTTACGTTGGTACCATTAAGTTACCTTGGTACCAGTTACTTTGGTACCTGTTACTTTGGTATCACTTAATTTACACCAGTTAATTTGGTACCAATTGGTTTGGTACCAGTTACTGAGGTACCACTAACTATAGTACCAGTAATTTTGGTACTAGTTACGTTGGTACCAGTTACTGTGGTACCAGTTAGTTTGGTACCAGTTACTATGGTACCAATAACTATGGTACCAGTTACGATGGTACCAGTTACTTTGCTACCAGTCAGTTTGATACCAGTTACAGTGGTACCAGTTGCTATGGGTCCAGTAAATTTGGTACCAGTTACTTTGGTACCAGTTAGTTTGGTACCAGTTAGTTTGGTACCAGTTACTATGGTACCAATAACTATGGTACCAGTTACGATGGTACCAGTTACTTTGCTACCAGTCAGTTTGGTACTAGTTACGTTGGTACCAGATACTCTGGTACCAGTAAGTTACTCTGGTACCAGTTACTATGGTACCAATAACTATGGTACCAGTTACTTTGGTACCAGTTAGTTTGGTACCAGTTACTATGGTACCACTAACTCTAGTACCAGTAACTTTGGTACTAGTTACGTTGGTACCAGATACTCTGGTACCAGTAAGTTACTCTGGTATCAATTACTTTGGTACCAGTTAGTTACTGTGGTACCAGTTACTATGATACCATTTAGTTTGGTACCATTAACTATGGTACTAATAACTATGGTACCAGTTACTTTGGTACCAGTTAGTTTGGTACCAGTTACTATGCTGCCACTAACTCTAGTACCAGTAACTTTAGTACTAGTTATGTTGGTACCATTTACTTTGGTACCACTAACTATTGTACCATTTAGTTACGTTGGTACCAGTTACTATGATACCACTAACTATGGTATTAATAACTATGGTACCAGTCACGATGGTACCAATAACTATGGTACCAGTCACGATGGTACCAGTTACTTTGGTACCAGTTAGTTTGGTACCAGTTACTATGGTACCACTAACTATGGTACCAGTTACGTTGGTACCATTTAGTTTGATACCAATTATTGTAAGTTTTAACTGCCATATAATAATTGAAGCTATATTAATTATTCCAAGGTGTAATAAAAAAGAAAAGTAATTAAAATGTAAAAAAAATGGTTTTCAATTTATTCATAAAAGAATAAAATTTTCATTTTTAGAAAATGGAAAAATTATGATAGATTATGTAGGAGTTGTTTATTAAATTCTATGTGATGATTCAGTGACGCCTCTTTTGTAAATGGGTGTAATCATATCGTGCAAATTTCAGTTGAAATTGTATATATTTAATATTTATACTATTTAACGATATCTCCTTACGTGATAACTAGTGGGTTGTCAATTGTTTGGATATTAGATAAAAGTTAATTATTATTCTAATCATAACGTATAATTTACGTGGCGTTTGTAATTTAAAAAATAAAAATGATAATTTTTATTTGTATTACTAAAGCTTTTTTCAATTTACTTATTTTTATTACTAATTAATTCAAAATGTAGGTTCAATTTTTTTTTTTATAAAATTTATTATGCAAGAAATTTCGATGAATAAAGAAGAAATAAGTAAAAAAAAAAATTCACTTTTGCTCTATATCAAAAAAAGGAGAAAAAATTTTTTAGTATTAAATCGTCTGAATAAATGAAGTAAAATGAAAAGTTTATGAAGACAAGTTTCTTTTTCACTGAGAATATGATTATCTTTGTTTTATAATGATAAATACAATTTACGACATAGACATTTTCCTATGGATATATTATTGTATAAAATGTATAAAGTCATTGAACGAATGCTTGAAGATTATGACCGTGAACTTGTTCGAGGAGTCTAGGATAAAAGCAGAGGCGTCATGTCATCTCTCCCCACGTATTTTATTTACCTGTTGTATATATAATAAAACAACGTATTAATATTTTCACTGCACGGATTTTTTTTTATTGCGAATAAAAAAATAAATTTTAAATTAGTGAGAATTTGTTTAGTAAAAATTCAAATTCAAATTAGTATAAATTTTTGACTAATATTTTTTTTAGTAAAAAATTTGCTATTTAATTTAGTATAATATTACTATTCGGTTTAGTAAAATATTACTATTAGGTTTAGTAAAATATTACTATTAGGTTTAGTAAAATATTATTACTTGATTTAGTAATATTTTTATTCTTACTAAAGTTTTAGTAAAAAAAAAAAAATGTGTTGTAATTTTATTTTTAAATTTAAGTTGAAATATTATTAAAAAATTATTATTATATTTATTTCTGATTGTAAAAAGTGTGCAATAAAATAAAAAAGTGATAATGAATGGACAAGAGGGTGTAAGTGATATTAATAATTAACTAATTGTAAATCAACTATTAAGTCACATTTATTAACATATTAATGAAGTACAATATGATAGGCGATGATTTTATTTCCTAAATTTAGTTACAATAATAATTAATCTATTTCTAAGGTTAATTGTTAATTATTTTCCAATTGTTACGCATGATATGTTAGTTAATTAATATTTACATAAATATACTTTTATTGTTGATTCATGAAAACGTTCAGGAAAATAATTAAAAAAAAAAATTATTTTCATTGCGTAATAAATAGAACCCAAATTATTTACAATATATAATTATAATTCGACAATAAAATAAGAAAAAAAAGTGATACAAATTATGTCTGACCAAATATGAATTTTTCTACTTGCTCATGTATAAAAATGCAAGAAGTCATTCAATTTTTTCGCTACATTAATTTTGATAAATAAATTCACTGAAGCTATATTTAGCTTCTTCTTAAAAAAAATCCGTAATTTCACAAATTTCACATATTTTAACACTTGTGTATTGTGTTTTACTATATTTTTTTTTATATTTATAAAATCACTTATCACAAACACAAAAATCGTTATTTATTTTCGAAAAAATTATTTATTATTCATAAATGTCTGCTTGAAAGGAAAATTATTATCCATAATTTAATAAAAATTCACACATTATAGAAGTTTCACTGGAATAAATTTTTCAGTAAGATATTTTTCAGTGAAAATTAATTTTAAAAATGATTTTAAATAATTGCATTGCAAAAATAATTAATGGAATATAATTTTTGGGCAAATATTTATTTCTTTATTTTTTTTTGAAGATACACTTATTTAGGGCATTGAACTCTCCTTTCTCGAGGTCATTGAACGGATAGTGGAACTTTTTTTTTTTTTTGGATTTTTTTGTTTTTATTTTTGCTCGTAAAGAGAGGCTCACTTACGATGAGTCCCATGGCCGTAATCCGAAGATACCGAACCGTTTTCGTTATGTGAGTGCGCTTCAACAATCAGTGAGACTTGCTTTTATAGCATCTTCGTTGCGCGCTCGAGTCGACGATCATCAAAAGCCACGCCTAAAGAAAAATTTTCCAATTATTATTGTCCACCCACTTTTGCAATAATCCAAGGTTAAGCCCTTCATGAAGCATCAACTTACTATTAAAAAAAAAAGAAAACAAAATAATACCTAATAATAATAATTTTAAAAAATAGTAATAATAATAATAAAAAAAAAAATAAAAAAATAATAATGACAATTAAAATAATAATAATATAATAATAATAAAAAAATAATATAAGAATATAAAAAGTTGATGACACTTTTCACCAGAGGTCTATTGTACTCTCCCGCACCTCCTACATTCGTGTGCGATATATCAATCATTGACTTCCTCACACTTTCATTATATTTACATCTTTCATAATTTATATTATTATCATCATCGTTTTCCATCATCATTTTTTATATTAACGATTATTTTTTTTTATCGCGTCATCAACTTTTGATGATATTCTTTTATTTTTTTATTATTCTTTCATCACTATTCAGACAAAAATTTAAACTGAATCAACTAAAATTTGGTATTATGGTAACAGTTACTATGAAACTAGTTACTTTGGTACCAGTTACTTTGGTACCAGTTACATTGGTACCAGTTACATTGGTACCAAATAGTTACTATGGTACCAGTTACTTTGGTACTAGTTACTAAGGTACCATTAACTATGGTACCAGTTACATTGATACCAGTTAGTCTGGTATTAGTTACTATGGTATCAGTTACTTTGGTACCAGTTATTATAATACCAGTTACTTTGGTACCAGTTAGTTACTATGGTACTAGTTATTATAGTACCAGTTAATATGGTACCAGTTACTTTGGTACCAGTTATTATGGTACCAGTTACTTTGGTACCAGTTATTATGGTACCAGTTACTTTGGAACCAATTAAGCTGGTACCAGTTACTTTGGTACCAGTTAGTTACTATGGTACTAGTTATTATAGTACCAGTTAATATGGTACCAGTTACTTTGATAGCAGTTATTATAGTACCAGTTACTTTGATACTAGTTATTATAGTACCAGTTACTTTGGTACTAGTTACTATAGTACCACTAACTAAGGTACCAAGAACTATTGTACCAGTTACTTTGGTACCAGTTACTATGGTACCAGTTATTATGGTACCAGTTACTTTGGTACCAATTAAACTGGTACCAGTTATTATGGTACCAGTTACTTTGGTACCAATTAAGCTGGTACCAGTTACTATGGTACCAGTTAATATAGTACCAGTTACTTTGATACCAGTTACTTTGGTACTAGTTTCTATATTACCAGTTACTATATTACCAGTTACTTTGGTACCAGTTACTATGGTACCAGTTACTATGGTACCAGTTACTTTGGTACCAATTATTTTGGTACCAGTTACTTTGGTAACAGTTATTATAGTACCAGTTACTTTGGTACCAGTTACTTTGGTACCAGTTACTTTGGTACCAGTTACTTGGATACCAGTTACTATGGTACCAGTTACTTGGATACTAGTTACTATGGTACCAGTTAGTTTGGTACCAGTTACTATGATACCAGTTACATTGGTACCAGTTACTGTGGTATAAATTACTTTTGTACCAGTAACTTTTGTTTTATTTTCATTTTTTTTAAATTTACTAACAAAAAAGTTTATAAAAATAAATTGTAATTAAAATTTTTTCTTCTAATCACTCGCAGCAATTAGTAATTATTATTGATAAAAAATTATTATAATAAAATCATTTGTTCGTCTTTGTTGTAAAATCAATATCGACATTGTGAAAAATATTCATTTTTTTTTGTAGTTGTAAGGTGCAGCAAATATCCTGAGGTTAAATGTATATAGTATATAAGTGTGGTGCAAAATTTATTCTTCTTCTATGCATTCGACCTTTCGATCCGAGGCCATACAATTGCGCTCGATTTTTTTTTATCGTTTTCTCTCTTATTGAAATGAAGAGAGCAATTTCTGATATTCATAGTTCAAATGGATCAAAAAAAAAAAATACATTTACTTTTTCAAAAAAAAAAAAATTTTTTTTATTTAAATATTATTATTAATTACCTAATATCGTATTGATTCCTGTAGGATGAAAAATGACGATGATCAACGATAGTTCAAATATTAATTTACATAAAATCCGAAGGAGTTATTTTATTTTAATCTGTCATAAAATCACTAATATTAATTAACAATTATAATTATAATAAGAATATTATTTATTTATTTATTTATTTATTTATACACTTGTTTACATTTATATATATGTTTATAATATGAATATTATATTATTTATATTATAATTGTATTATAAATATATTATTTTATAAAAATTTTATAAAATATTATACTATTTATAATATTTTTTATTAAATTATCACAAATAAAAAAAAGGATTACTAATTAAAGAAAAAAAAAATTGTGTAATTACGCGAATAAATATGGAAAATGTGAATATAATTAACTTAAACCATTCAACGCCAAGATCATTGAAGATCCTTTATCTTTCTTTGATAGTTATATTTATGAAGAAGAAAAAAAAATTCCAAAGTTCATGATTAATTAAAAAATAAAAATATATATTAATGAGGACGCCTTGAAGTCAAGTTCTCACAGTGCTAAATATAATAAAAACATGTCGTGATCTACTGATCTACATCTCTCGAATTACATTTAATCTGTAATAATAATATAAATTTCGTTGTCTTTTGTAATCCTTTCAGCTTATAACAAGCACGAGAGAAAAGATTATCATTTCTTTGATTGTCCTCGCGCATCAATTACATCCCTCCTTATAGTTTTTTTTTCAATATTTGTAATTTTTAATAAAATAATAATAATAAAAAAAAATAATAACAATAATAATAATTTTCAACCAATAATAATAATTATTATTTTTTTATTTTTATTATTATTGTTATTATTGTTACGTTAGTAATAAATTTTATTTCAATTAACATTTTTTAATTTATCAATAATTATTTATAATAATTCACAATTTATTCGTGAAAATAAATTTTCTTAAGTGAAAGGTTATATGGAATAAATATAAATTTTAAAGATTTAAAAATAATATTTAACTATTAACAGTCAATAATAGTGTTGACCCATTTTTTTTGTAATTTACCGGAAGAAAAAGACTTTCTCCTTTTTTTGGCGATAATGAGAATATTTTTTTCAAAACATGGTAAATGTAGAAACTTTTGTAATAAAATATATATTTACTTTTTATCATATTTTCTTTCTTTAAATCGGTTATCAATTTTTTTTTCAAATAAAAACATATATAAAGTAAAAAAGAATTAATGACGTCTTCATTTTTAGTGTTTCTTATCAATTTTCTGGACAGTTAAACAATCAATTATAAATGTCTACGTTAAAGATTAAATTTTGGCATTCCTAAATATTTACAAAAGTCGTTGTTCAATTAATTAATTATACATTGTAATGTAATCATTAATTCATAATTATTTTATAATTAATTAATAATAAATTCCGTATAATTATTATATTATTAATTATTATTATTATTAATTAATAATTAAAAATAATAATTATTTGTAACTAATAATTGTTATTAATAATAATTTTTATTACTGTTAATAATTATTACTATTAATAAAAATAATAATTCCGTGAATTTTGTAAATAATAAATAAAGAAATTTATAATTAATTAATAATTATCATTTTTTAATAATTGGCAAAATGTGTAGGAGAAAATTTTTTTTTATGTTATAAAATTTTCAAAAAGATATATTCTTAATCCTTTTCAAAGTGACATTTTTCTTTTTATCTTTTTTTTTCTTCGATTAGCATATATAAAGGTTTTGAATTTATTGACCTCTCTCGATAATGAAATTGCATTTCAAATCAATCAATGCAAGTATGTGAAAGTTAATACTCTTTCAATCACTATATATTGTCATAAATAACGATAACAATCGACTTTGTTAAATTAATGATGACAAAAAACTCGTCAGTCTTGTATTGAAATTAGTTAAACATTGTTTGAAAATTAATTATTATTCCTCTTTCCTTGTTGATGTAAAAAAAAAAATTTATTTATTTACAAAATGAAATTCGAATCTCAAAAAATTAAATAGTGAACAACTTTTTTTTTTTAAAAAACAGAGAAATAATGTAAGTATATTTTTTTTAACAGTACACATTTTTTTATTACTGTTATTTTTTAATTCTTTAATTTTTATATTTCCAAATAAATTCTAAATAAATTTTTATTTGTTTATTTTTATTTAATTATTTTTTATTTTTTTATTTTTATTTGTTAATTTTTATTGAAGAATTTATTAGTTTTCTTACTGTTTATTTTTTTCTGTTTCTTTTATTAATAAAATATTTATTAATTTTTATATACAATTTTTTATTTAGATCGTTGTGTTACTTAATTGGATATAAAACGAAAAATTACAAAATGACTATTAGTGGACTGTGTTTTAAAAAAATTGTTGGTACTAAAGAAACTGAAAATGAAAAAACAAAAAATGAAGTCGTGAAACTTCCTTTTTGGAAACAATTTATGAGCATACTAAGTGGTAAGTTTCACTTTTTTTATTATAATGACAATTTAATCAATATAATTAAATACTAAATAATAATTAAAATTTTTATTACCATAGTACCACAGTAACTGGTACTAAAAGTATCTGGTACCAAAGTATCTGGTACCAAAGTTACTGGTACCAAAGTAACTGGTACCATAGTAAATAAATGGTACTAAATTAAATGGTACTAAAGTAACTGGTACTAAAGTAACTGGTACCAAAGTAACTGGTACCATAGTAAATAAATGGTACTAAAGTAACTGGTACTAAAGTAACTGGTACTAAAGTAACTGGTACTAAAGTAACTGGTACCAAAGTAACTGGTACCATAGTAAATAAATGGTACTAAAGTAACTGGTACTAAAGTAACTGGTACCAAAGTAACTGGTACCATAGTAACAGGTACAAAAGTAACCGGTACCAAAGTAACTGGTACCAAAGTATCTGGTATTAAAGTAACTAGTACCAAAGTAACTGGTACAATAGTAAGTAACTAGTACCAAAGTAACTGGTACTAACATAACTATTATCAAAGTAACTGGTACCATAGTAACTAACTGGTACCAAAGTTAGTGGTACCAAAATAACTGGTACCAGTTAGTCACTATGGTACCAGTAACTTTAGTAATAGTTATGTTGGTACCAGTTATTTTAGTACCAGTTAGTTACTATGGTACCAGTTACTTTGGTACCACTAACTTTGGTACTAATTAGTTACTATGGTACCAGTTACTATGGTACCAGTTACTATGGTACCAGTTACTTTGGTACCACTAAATTTCGTACTATCATAAGTAGTACTAAAGTAACTGGTATCATAGTAACTAACTGGTACCAAAGTAACTGTTACCACTTAGTCACTATGGTACCAGAAACTTTGGTAATAGTTGTGTCGGCACCAGTTACTTTGGTACAACTAATTTTGGTACCAGTTAGTTACTATGGTACCAGTTACTTTGGTCCCACTAAATTTGGAACCAGTTAGTTACTATGGTACCACTAACATTGGTACCAGTTACTTTGGTACCAACATAACTAGTACCAAAGTTACTGGTACCAAAGTAACTGGTACCATAGTAAATAAATGGTACCAAAGTTAGTGGAACCAGTTAGTTACTATGGAACCAGTAACTTTGGTACTAGTCATGTTGGTACCAGTTATTTTGGTACCAGTTACTTTGGTACCAGTTACTTTGGAACCAGTCACTATGGTACCAGCAACTTTGGTACCATTTAGTTACTATGTTAATTTTTATTATAAAAATTAAAGAAAAATTAAAAAAAAAAACTCATAGAAATTTTTTTTCCTCAGGATATTTTTTAATGGCAGCAGTTGGCACAGGTACAACATGGGCATCGCCATCGTTACCATATTTAACGAGTAAAAATTCCGAATTTCAATTAACAATAACACAAGGTGCATGGCTCGTGTCAATTGGCAGTCCAATTGGAATAATTGGCTACATATTATGTGGTACAATGGCTAATTCAATTGGTCGTAAATTTACAATTCTCACATTTGGATTAATAACATTACTCGCAATGATTTTCATTCAATCGGCAAATGATTATACAACATTATTAATTGGACGAATGATAATGGGTATTGGAAATTGTGGTTGTTACAGTATACTAACACTTTATATTGGTGAAATTGCACACGAATCATTGCGTGGTAGATTTTTAACATTTGACAAAATGTCAGTGAATATAGGTGCATTTCTCATGACAACAGCTGGTGCACTATTGTCATATGAGAATATGAATTTGGTTATGATTTTCATACCATTATTGGGTATTGCAATATTTCCTGTAACATCTGAAACGCCATATTATTATTTATTGAAGGAGAAAAATCAGGAGGCAATTGATACGCGGATGAAATTAATGGAAACTGATGATGTTGAGATGGTGATGAGGGATATTGGAAGGATGAAAAAGGGAATTGATGATGGTAAAGAGTCGGAGGAGAGTAGTATTCGAGAATTATTTATTGATCCAGGATGTCGAAGAGCATTGATTTTGAAATTAATAACATCGGCGACTTATTCATTCTCGGGTTATTTGGCAATTCAAGCCTATGCTCAGGATATTTTTAGTCATTCAAATTTTGAAATACCACCACAATTTGCCGTGATGATTATGACTGGTGCACAAATACTCGCCGCATTGCCATCGTCACAAATTGTTGATTTTTGGGGTAGAAGACCAACATTTTTACTCTCTGGAATTTTATCCTCATTGTCCTTAAGTTGTGTTGGTTTATATTTTTATTTAAAATCATTTCATGATGTTTCCACTGTCACTTGGTTGCCACTCATTGGTTTACTTTCATTTACATTTTCCTGTAATATTGGTCTAACGACAATTCCCTATTTATACATGGGTGAGCTATTTTCCGTTAAAGTCAAAAGTGTTGCATCAATGATAACATTAATAATTGAGGCAATATTTTCCTTCACTGCAAAAATGATTTTCCCTTTAGTGAGCCATTGGTTTGGTATTTATGTAAGTTTCTGGATTTTTGCCCTCAGTTCTCTATTCGGTGCAATTTGTGTCTTTTGTCTAGCACCGGAAACAAAAGGTAAGAATTTAGAAGAGGTTCTTGAATTATTGAGACTAAAGGCGCAAAAGAATGAAAAATGTTAAACAAAACCCTACAGTGGAGTATTAGGTTCAAAATTTTTCAAAAGTATCCTTCTCCTTCGTTTTTCTTTGAGAATACTTTGTACTTCCTCGAGATTTTTACCCGACGTTTCAGGTGCTATTAAAAATACAAAGACTGTACAGAAAAAACAACAAGTTGCAAAAATCCAAAAAGGCATATACATACCAAAATTTGTTTTCAATTTTTGAAACCAAAAATTGGTGATAAATGTAAAAGATGCTGCGGAAATAATAGCGAACACAACTGCTTTGCCTTTTGCACTAATTGTAAATAATTCACCCATAAAAATTGCTGGAATCGATACTAAACCGAGATTAGAAAAAATTAAATACAAAATCAATCCAACTAATGGTATCCAAGTGAAGGACGATGTATCAAAATTTGTTTTTGAATCTACAAAATAGAAAAATCCAACTGAAACGAGTGCAAATGATGACAATGTACCGGATATTAATAGCATTAATTTTCGTCCACGATCAATAAATAATGTCGAAGTGAGTCCAGCGATTATTCTCACTAAACCCAAAATCATTGTTGAATATTTTGGATTTAGAGTGAAATTACTATAGGCGAAAATTTCCTCCGCATAGGCTTCAAAAGCAGCAACACCTGATAAATACATTGCTGCCATTGCGAAAAATAAAATCAACAATCCTTTACGATTACCAGAATCAAAAAGTTCACGAAATGATGATGATGATGACGATTGACTTTCATTAACAGACAATTTAATTCTATCCAATTCCAATTGAATTTCATCATCGCTATCGCGTAATTTTCTCAATATCATCAAAGCCTTCTTCTCTTTTTGCATCATTAATAAAAAATACGGCGTCTCCATCATTAGTGGTTGTGTTATTATAGCAAAAAATGGCAAAAAAATCATGACAATATTCATAATATTATAATTGCAAAAGGCACCAATTGTCACTACAAATAATGTTCCAAAATTACTACAAACATTAATTGTCGTTATCAGCATTCCACGGATATTTTTCTCGGCAATTTCTGCAAAGTAAATTGTTGCTGTTGCATATGTGATTCCTGAACCAATTCCACTGATGAATCTTGCAATGTAAAGGGCAATATAATTTTTTGTTACAATGATGATGATCCATGACAATAGAGTTGGAATCGATGAGATGAATATTGTGTATTTTCGACCCACTCGATCTAAAAATAATGGGCATACTAGGGTACCAAACATTATGCCAAAATGTGGAAATGATGCTATCCATGCTCCCTGCTCATTGGTTAATTTTATTTCTGTTGTGTTTGATGATAAATAAGGAAGTGCTGGTGATGTCCAAGCAGCACAATTACCATGATCGATACTTAGTAGATAGACTGAAAAAAATTACCGAATTGTTAAAAATTTCTTTAAAAATTTTTTTAGTTGAAAAAAATAAATGCTAAAAAAAATTAAGAAAGTTAAATTAAAATTCTTGTATTACATTCTTCCTAAGAAATATTCCATTAAAATTCTTGCATTATTCTTAAAAAAATATTTCATTAACTTTTGTGGATTAAAAAATAAAATAATAAAATAAAATTAAATTAAAACAATTCTATAGAATAAAAATATTCTATAGGATTATTTTAATATCTAATTTTCAATTTGGTTGAATATTTTATAAATTTTATTAATATGCACGTCATTTTGTGATCGTTATCGTTTATTAAATTTATCATTATCTCAAAGAATAAACGTATAATTATACATGTGTTACATGAAGTGTTATTATTTTTATTTATTTTTTATACACGTGTATTCTTTTTATGCAAATCTATTTATACTTTGTAAAAAAAAACTCGAATTGTTTCAGATAACATGGAAAATTTTTTTTATTCTTTCATAGCTGAAAGAAATATAAATATTTCTTCTTTATTCTGAAGATATTTTAAATGATAAATTTTAAATTTAATAAATAAATATATTCAAATGAAAAAAATTTCTATATGATTCCAAAGATTTTTCTACTTAAATTAAATTTAAATATTTCAAAAAGAAGAATTATTTTAAGTTAAATTTTATATTGTGGAATTAATAAATAATTAAACAATACTCACTGCTTATTCCGGAAATTAATTGTGTCCAATAACAATTTTTTGAAGAATTTTGATTATGTTTATTACAATTATTAATTTTATCATTTTCTGTATCATCAGTTTCACATGAAGTGTAATTTATAATTCTCATTATTTGCCTTGTGAATTAAAAAGTTTATTTTTTTATTTTAACTTTTTTTATATTTAATTGTTTAATTAATAACGAATTATTTATTAAACAATTTTTTAATAATTAATTAATAACGAATTATTTATTAAACAATTTTTTAATAATTAATTAATAATTAATTGCTAACTGAATAACAAAAATTAATTTTATGATTTGTTTTTAGAAATTTTATAACAAATTTAATTAAATAATTTATTCAATGTTTTTGAAATTTTTCATTATTTTATAAAATTGTAATGAACTAACCGATAACTGGTAACAAACTAAATTTTCTGGATATATTTTTTGTTGAAAAAATATATTTTTTTAAAATATTGTGACAGCTTTTAAAAAAAAGAAGGATGCTTTAAATGATATTAAAACAGGTATTTTAAAATAAAATTGATAAAGCACAACTACAATGTAAATGAACGTACTACATTATTAGTAAAATATGGAAATAGCAACTCAGAATAAACCAGAAAAATAATAATAATAATTTATTAATATTACAAAGATTTTATTATTTAGATTTTTTTACTTTATTATTTATATTCTTTGTAAATAATAATAATATTATTAATTAATAAATCTAATAATAATTATTATTATTTATATTATTTTTATTAATATATACTTATTAGAAATCAATAAGTAAATATAATTTTGAATCGTCAGTTAATTTTTATTTTTAAATATTCAATTATCAATTAACAGAGATAAGCAATTTAATAATCGCAATTATACAACAGATAAAGAAATTGTTCAATTATGCTAATATTGACTCACTAATTACTAGTTTTTTTATAATTACATTTTTTTTATTCTTATTTTTTTTATTATTAACATTATAATTATCATCAAAGGAACTAGTGACAAATTTCGATAATTTAAATATTTTTATTTTATTTCTTAATTTTCAAATCCAAATGAAAAAAAAAAAATTTACATTGAAGTACCAGCAAGTTCAAAATTTTCCGAAATTATTTTCTTTTTTCTTCGTTTTTGCTTCAAAATTCGTTGCACATCCTCAAGATTTTTACCCGACGTTTCAGGTGTTATCCAAAATACAAAAAATGTACACAAAAGACAGCATATAGCAAAAATCCAAAATGGCATTTGCATACCAAAATCAACTTTTAATTCCTGAAACCAAAATTTCGAGACAAATATAAAAAATGCAGCTGAAATAATACCAATTGCCACTGCTTTGCCTTTTACATTAATTGTAAATAATTCACCCATAAAAATTGCTGGTATCGATACTAAACCAAGATTACAAAAAATTAAATACAACATCAATCCAACTAATGGTATCCAAGTAATTGACGATGTATCAAAATCTGTTTTTGAATCAATAAAATAGAAAAATCCCACTGAAATAAGTGCAAATGATGACAATGTACCGGATATTAATAGCATTAATTTTCGTCCACGATCAATAAATAATGTCGATAATAGTCCAGCGATTATTCTCACTAAACCCAAAATCATTGTTGAATATTTTGGATTTAGAGTGAAATTACTATAGGCAAAAATTTCCTCCGCATATGCTTCAAAAACAGCAACACCTGATAAATACATTGCTGCCATTGCAAAAAATAAAATCAATAATCCTTTACGATTACCAGAATCAAAAAGTTCACGAAATGATGATGATGAAGATGATCGACTCTCATTAACAGATAATTTAATTCTATCCAATTCCAATTGAATTTCATCATCATTATCGCGTAATTTTCTCAATGTCATCAATGTTTTCTTCTCTTTTTGCATCATTAATAAAAAATACGGCGTCTCCATCATCAATGGAAACGTCACTATAGCAAAAATTGGCAAAAAAATCATGACAATATTCATTGTATTGTAATTGCAAAAGGCACCAATTGTCACAACAAATAATGTTCCAAAATTACCACAAACATTAATTGTCGTCATCAGCATTCCACGGATATTTTTCTCGGCAATTTCTGCAAAATAAATTGTTGCTGCTGCATATGTGATTCCTGATCCAATTCCACTGATGAATCTTGCTGTATTGAGAGCAATGTAATTTTTTGTTACAATAATAATGATCCATGACAATAGAGCGGGAATTATTGAGATGAATGTGGATTTTTTTCGACCCACACGATCCAAAAAAAGGGGACATATTAGGGTACCAAACATTACGCCAATTGCTGATATTGATGCTATCCATGCTCCTTGTTCATTGGTTAATTGTGTTTCTGTTGTTGTATTTGATGTGAGATAAGGGAGAGCTGGTGATGTCCATGCAGCGTGAACACCATGATTCATGCTGAGGAAGTAGACTGTGAAAAAAATTGGTACCAATTTTTTGGAATTATTTTTTAAAACTTGGTTTTTAATTAGAAAATTCATTTTTAATTTTATTTGATCAAAATAATATTTCTGGAATATCAAATTGGAATTGGGATTTTAATATTCCAGCAGAATTATTTAATAACAGCTCAAAAATATTCCGGAAAAATATATTCAAATATTCCAAAGAATTATATTTAAATATTCCAAAGGAATATATATATATATGCAAATATTCCAGGGAAATGTACTCGAATATTCCGAATAAAAATATTATAATATTCCAAAGGAATATATTCTAATATTCTAGGGAAATATATTGAAAAATTCCAATGGAATATATTCAATGATTCCAAAGAAATATATTCCAATGTTCCAAAGGAATATATCCAACTATTCCAAAGGACAACAATTAAATATTCCTGTCTCACTCGAAAAAAATATTTCCTAATATATTCGAAAATTTTTAAAGGAATATCTTCTTTTAATTTGAAGTTATTAAAATATATTCAAATATTCCAAAGGAATATATTCGAATATTCTAAAGAAATATATTGGAAAATTCCAAAGAAATATTATCAAATATTCCAAAAAATATTCTTTCCTCATTCAAAAAAAAAAAATTTCCAAATATATTCGATAAAAATTTTTAAAGGAATTTCTTTTTTTTTTAATTTGAAGTTATTAAAATATATTCCAATATTCCAAAAAAATATATATGGGAAAAATTCCAAAGGAATATACCGAGTACTCAAAAATAATTCTTTTTGAATGATGCTGGAATATTTTGGAATATTTAATTAAATTCTTTTAAAATATTTAAATATATTCCAAAGAATTATATTTAAATATTTCAAAGGAATAATATATATTCAAATATTTCAGGGAAATGTACTTGAATATTCCGAAGAAAAATATTAAAATATTCCAAAGGAATATATTCAAATATTCTAGGGAAATATATTTGAAAATTCCAAAGGGAATATTATCAAATATTCGAAAAAATATTCTTTCCTCATTCAAAAAAAAAAAATTTCCAAATATATTCGATAAAAATTTTTAAAGGAATTTCTTTTTTTTTTTTTAATTTGAAGTTATTAAAATATATTCCAATATTCCAAAAAAATATAGAGGGGAAAAATTCCAAAGTAATATACTCAAAAAAGAATTCTTTTTGAGTGATGCTGGAATATTTTGGAATATTTAATTAAATTCTTTTAAAATATTTAAATATATTGGGAATATTTCCACAATATTTTTTTGGAATATTCAGTTTATTGTTATAATTTAGAGATATTCAACTATTTTTAAATGGAATATTTTGAAAAAATATTTTTATGAAAGTTCCCTATCAAAAAAAATAAAATTACTCACTGCTCATTCCGGAAATAAATTGTGTCCAATAACAATTTTTAGAAGTATTTTGATTGTTTTTATTACAATTATCATTTTTATTATCATTTTCATCATCAGTTTCACATGAACAATAATTTATAATTCCCATATTTTTGTCCCCTTTTATTTGTCTCGTTCTCTACAAAAAAAAAAAATTTTAATCACACCATTTTGTCTATTTAATTATTTCTATGAATTTTAATTATATTATGAATTATTTTTTTTTTAATTAAAAATTAAAATATTTTTTTAATTGAAAAAAATTAAAATTACTTATAAAAAAAAATAAATATGTGAATATAATTGAAAGACCTTTTGAAGAATATTGCACCGGTTAACTGAAATTACATTGTTTGTTTAGTTCGGGGTTAAAGTTGAAAAGACAATAATTCGCGATTTGATAAATGTTTATTTTAATCATTGTCACTCGTCGTGACAAATTTATTTATTTATTTCTCTCTATTATTTATTGCTATTAATTATTTATTAATTATTTATTAAATATTTATTAAATATTTATTAAATATTTATTAATTATTTATTGTACTATTAAATAAATTAACTAAATAATAAATATTTTTATCATTTAAGTGATAATTAATATTAATACTAAACTTATTTAATTCAATGGAATTAATAATTTCTTGAATATTATTGTAAATTATAAAATTATAATGAACTTACCTTGATGGATGAAAGAAAATATTTTATGAAACAATTTTTTATATACAAAAAAAACTACATTTTTTGCAAAAAAAAAAATTTGATTGTACCCGAGAAAAAATTCTTGTATTTCGGACAATATAACTTAAAATATTATAATCGGAGTATAATGAAAGAATTAAAAAATATACTCCAAAAAAATCAGTAAAAAAAAATAAATCATCTTATCATTAAAAAAAAAAGCATGATAAATATTTTCTCTTCTCATCTAATCTTTAGACATTACAAAAGAAAGGCAATTTAATTTTTAAAAAGTATACATTATTGACGAAAACAATTAAAAAAATCGCGATATCCAAATTATCAAATTAATTAAGATAAGTAATTAATTAATTAATAAGATAATAAATAATAAAATTATACACTGAGTAAAAAAAAAATCGTACTTTTTTTTTTATATGTATAGTGGAAGAAGATAATATATTGATTTGTAAAAAAAGAATTTATTGGCCTAAATTATGTACAGGGTATTCACGGAGATTTTTTTTTTTTTTTTTTTTTTTTTATTTATTTTTTAACGAGAGATTAAACTCCTAATAAGCGTGTTGTTGTTGAGATTGAAAACTTTGAGGTTGAAAGGCTGATGGTTGGAAGGATTTTCCATAAGGTGCAGCTGCGAAACCCTGATAAGCTGTTGGTCCCGGATAAACACGGGGAACTGGACCGGAAGCACCAAAATGACCTGGAGCGGATGCTGCGTACGGTGAAGCTGCTCCATAATTCAACGGACTTGAAATACCTTTCTGTCCATTGTAAGCTGGAAAATAAGCAATTCATTAACTGTAAATAAAAAATAATTTTCTTCTTTTAAAAAATAAAAAAAAAATTTTTGTTTATCAATTCAAAAATAATAAATATAACAAATAAATTATAAAATGAAAATTTTATGCTTAAAAATGAAAATATAAAAAAAATATAAAACAAATAAAATAATAATAAATACTAGTAAATAATAATAAATAATAATAATAAATAAAAATATTAATAATAAATAATAATAATAAATAAAAATATTAATAATAAATAATAAAAATAAATAAATAATAATAATAATAATAAATAATAATAATAAAATATATAAAAATATAGGTAATAATAAAATAAATGAAAAATAATTCAAAATATTATTTTCCATTGTGTAAAATTAATGATTAATTAATTATTATTGATTATTAATTAGGCGTGAAAATAACTAATAAATAATTAATTAATTGAATAAAAAGCTATAACATAAAATAATTATTTGACCATATTGATAAAGACCCTGAGAAAAAACTAATAATAATATCAAGAATATTAATTTTACTCTTCAATAAATCTTTCTCTATGCGAATATATAATTACATAAAAAATAGATTTTTTTTTATTACCATTTATGGCCAGTGAATGAAATAACGATAGGTCTATAAATAAAAGTTATATATATATATATATATACACCGGTATTATAAACATTACATTGATCATTGGCCTGATTGCATATGTAATTACGAGAGATTTCTATTGTTATTGTTTCTCACTTCTGGAAAAAAAAGAAGGTAAGGTCAAGAACCACGGATGAAAGAAAAAAAAATTTTTTTTTCTTTTTCTTCCTCTTTTTTTTTTATCTCATAATTGAACGTGATTTTAATATGTATAATATATTTATATATAAGAAAGAAACCGGTTCTCCTCACGTGCTTATGATCATTTATAACACTCGTGTGAACTTGAAATTATATTTATAATATGATTTATCTGATGATTTCATTGACATTGCCATACCACGACCTACAATAATATTTTTTTTTTTATTTTCTAATTTTTAATGATTTTTTTTTTGGTAGAAAAAAAATTACTTCGAATTTTTGGAATATCGAAGATATTTTTTTTTGAAATATTGGAAATATTCCTTTGCAATATTGTGGTAATTTTAAAAATTTCGAAATATTTCCAGTAATATTATTGTAATATTCCTTGAAATATTATTGGAATATTACGGTGTAATATTATTGTAGTATTTCCAGAAATATTACTGAAATATTATTGTAATATTCCCTGTTATATTTATTTTTATTTATTTATTTTAATATTATTGCAATATTTGTAGTAATATTACTGTAATATTCCCATGAAAATTTGGAAATATTCCAAGTAATATTATTTCAATATTATTGCATTATTCCCAGTAATATTAATGTAATATTCCCGTAAAAATTTGGAAATAATCCCAGTAATATTATTGTAATATTCCCTTAAATATTACTGGAATATTATGGTATATTATTATTATTATTATTGTAATATTTCCAGAAATATTACTGAAATATTACGGTATAATATTATTGTAATATTCCAGTAAAAATTTGGAAATATTCCCATTAATATTATTGCACTATTCTAAGTAATATTACTTTAATATTCCAGTAAAAATTTGGAAATAATCCCAGTAATGTTATTGTAATATTCCCTGAAATATTACTGGAATATTATGGTATATTATTATTATTATTATTGTAATATTCCCTGAAATATTACTGGAATATTATGGTATATTATTATTATTATTATTGTAATATTCCCAGAAATATTACTGAAATATTACGGTATAATATTATTGTAATATTACTGTAATATTCCGGTAAAAATTTTGAAATATTCCCATTAATATTATTGTACTATTCCAAGTAATATTACTTTAATATTCCAGTAAAAATTTTGGTAATTTTCCCAGTAACATTATTGTAATTTTCAAGTAATATTAGGTGTTATATTACAAGTAATATTGAGGTAATATTACATAGAATATAGAGATAATACTACACGTAATACTGTTGTAACATTACTGTACAATATTAATGTAATGTTTCAATTATTACATGATAATATTCCAAATGTTCTATGTAATATTAAAATAATATTACTTTTGTCTTGAGTAATTTTTTTTTTGTTTAAAACAAAATAACGCCAAATTCTTGGAATATAGAAAATATTATTTTGTAATATGGAAAATATTCTTTTTGTAATATTTTAATATTATCGACACTCCCTTAAAATTTTGAATATCCCTTAAAAATCAAAAGATTCCTTAAAATATTCCTTTGATATTTAAAAAAAAAATAATAATTTTATTACATTCCAAATATTGGTTCTATATTCTAAAGATATTCCAAAACAAAAATAAATACCCTTTTGGAATATAAAAAAAAATACTTTTCGCAGTAATATCAAGGGAATATTCCTCAATAGTATGTATTCTGAAAAAAAACATTCCCAGCCATATAAAAAAATTCTAATTATAAAAATAAAAAAAGACCTAAATAAATTACAATAAATAAATAAATAGAAATAAATAAATAAAAAATATAAAATAAAAACAAATAAATAAAAAATATGAAATAAAAATAAATAAAATAATCTTACCTTGTCCATCGTCGGAGTACTCATCCGGTCCATTGTACTTGTAAGCGCGTGCCTCAGCTTCAGCGAGTTCCTGAAGTCTCGCTGCCTTCAAAGCGGCAACTTCCGGTGTATCAATGACAGTACCATCCTCGGCGAGTGGCGCTGGTGCAAATTGAATTTTTGACGATGCTGGCGCATAATTTCTTGGCGCCGATGCAACATAATTGGCGCGCGAGTCATATTGTTGAGGATAGGCGGCAGCTGATGGTGCCGCTACGGGATTGGCTCCAGCATGATAGAGGGGTTGAGTGGGATATGATTGACGCGCATACACTGGCTGTGCTGATTGGTGCGCGTATTGTGAATATTGAGGAGCACGATGTGCCTCTGGTGAATAACCAATTTGCTCTTGTTGCTGTTGTTGTTGTTTGTCATCAACTGCTCGCGCTGCGGCACGTGCAAATTCGGCAAAATGCGCTGCCTTCGCTTGTTGCACTTCCGGTGTATCGATGACATTACCGTCGTGACCCACAGGTGCTGGTGGCGCGAATTGCTGCTGAACGGGACCTTGATTTCCATAGCCGAGATATTCCGCCTGACTGGCCGCGATTATCGCGCACGATAATATCTGGAATTATTGGAAAAAATGTTCGTTAATGAAACGGTGAAATGAAGAGAAAAATTGATGATTCATCATTTTCCTCCAATAACATTAATTTCCATCAGTTTTCATCATTTTTCTCCAATATCATCAATTTCCATCAGTTTTCATCAATTCCTCCTCAACGTTGAGGAGAAATTGATGATATTGGAGAAAAATGATGAAAACTGATGATTATTGAAGACATTGTAGAAAAATGATGAAAGTTAGAAAGAATATTTCATAATAATTTTTCTCCTCAACGTTGAGGAGGAATTGATGAAAACTGATGGAAACCATCATCAGTTTTCATCATTTTTCTCCAATATCATCAATTCCTCCTCAACGTTGAGGAGAAATTGATGATATTGGAGAAAAATGATGAAAACTGATGATTATTGAAGACATTGTAGAAAAATGATGAAAGTTAGAAAGAATATTTCATAATAATATTTCTCCTCAACGTTGAGGAGGAATTGATGAAAACTGATGGAAATTGATGATATTGGAGAAAAATGATGAAAACTGATGATTATTGAAGACATTGTAGAAAAATGATGAAAGTTAAAAAGAATATTTCATAATAATATTTATAATAATAAATTGAACAAAAATGATGAAAATTGATGAAAGTTAAAAAGAATTTGTAATGAAGAAACTATTTAATAAATAAAAAAAGTTATATATACAAAAGAATTAAATGAAAGGACGTTATATATAATAGATAATAATATTTATAATAATAAATTTGAAGACATTGAATAAAATTGATGAAAATTGAAGACATTGAACAAAAAATGATGAAAGTTGATGAAAATTGGAAAGAATTCGAAACGAAGAAGTTATTTATAAAATGAAAAAATAATATTTAACAAAACAATTAAAAGAAAAGATAATACATCATAATATTTTTAATATTTATAATAATAAATTGTAGACATTGATGAAAATTGAAGACATTGAGAAAAAATTGATGGAAATTTTATTTCATATTTCATTAAGGAAAATGAGGAAAATTGTTAGGAATTGAAGATATTGAAGAAAAATTATAAGAGTTGATAATAACTGAAGACATTGCAGAAAAATAATAAAAGTTGATGATAGTTAGAAAGAATTGGAAAAGAAGAAGTTATTTAAGAAACGAAAAAAATGATATAGACAAAAGAATTGAAAGAAAACACGATATATACAATTATATAATAATAAAATGCTTGTTTATAATAATATTTATAATAATAATAATAATTTGAAGACATTGAATAAAAATGATGAAAATTGATGAAAATTAAAGACGTTGAAAGAAAATGATGAAAATTGAAGACATTAAAAGAAACTGATGAAAATTGAAGATATTGAAAGAAACTGATGAAAATTGAAGATATTGAAAGAAACTGATGAAAATTGAAGACATCGAAAGAAAATGATGAAAATTGATGAAAGTTAAATAATATAAAAAAAGTATCAAACGAAAATAAAGAAAAAAGTAATTTTGTATTCACAGAAAATAAAACGTAGTTTCTAAACAATTTGTGGAAAGTAAACATTCGAAATTTGTTATGTAAAAAATAAAAAAAACTTGAGTGTTACACCCATTTCATTCTATTGCAAAAAAAAAAGAAGAAAATTCTAGGTAATAATAAAAGCTCGATATTCGTATGATATTCAAATTTTTTTGGAAAAAAAAAATTCATGATTACAGATTATGACCTTTTATTGCATATAGAAATTAATTGGTTACAACATAAGTTTAGAGTCATTGATTTTAGAGGGGGGGACTTTCATATTTAAGGACTGTAAGACCATGACGATATTGCGTGACTTCTTTAGCTATGGTAATTGTCTATAGTTTCGAATTCAAATATATACACACACAATCGTATATATAGGTATATATTTTGATGATGATGCAAAAAAAAAGTTTTTATGAAATTATCCGTTATGTACACAAATCTTTTTTTTTATCTAATGTCTATAACAATACTTACTTCATCAATATATAATTATTATTGGTTGACTTTTTTTCAAGAAAAAAAAAAATAATTTCGTAATTTTGTTGATAAATTGTTTAATTTTTTTGTTTTGGTAGGAAAATTAATTGTTTGAAACAAATTAATAATTAATAGTTATTAATTAATTACTAATTGTTATTTTTATTATTATTAATTGTTATTTTAATTATTATTCTATAATTAAAAATTTGTAACTCAATATAATAATAATTAGTTATAAAATTAAATATAATTATAATTAATTATTAAAATAATAAGTGACAATTTTTTAATTATAGAATAATAATAATACAGTAAATAAAATAAATTAATGTAACGTCGCTTTGAGGAAGTAAAAAATAATTAGCAAACAAACTAACATGTTATGTAAGAATTCATTAGTGGATATACTTTCGTTTTTTATGTTCAACTTTTCGTATAAAACGAAAAAAAAATTTATTCAAAGAAATTAACGCTGGTATAAAAGAATTAAAGACAATTTTCTATTTTTTTTATTACAGTGAGAAAAAATTCAAATTAGATTTTATCGTCTTACATCCATAAATTAGAATTATTATAATTCGAAAATTTTCTGTAATTAATTTTTTTTTTTTTGATGCTCCAAATAGAAAAAAACAATAAAATTGATGATTGATAATTATTGATAAATCAAAATAATGCAATAAATTAAAATAAACAATGAAACTGTTATTTTTAAAATAAAAAATAAAATAAATAAAAATAAAATAATAATTAAATAAAAGAAATAATAAACATGAAAAATGAAAATAAAATTAATAAATAAAAGAACAAATATTTAAAAAATTAAATAATAATTAAATAAAAGAAAAAATATTAAAAAAATTAATAAAATAATTAATAAAATAATAAAATGATTAATAAAATAATTAATAAAAAAAACATTAATAAAAAAATTAGTAAAAAATATTTTAAAAAAATAAAAAAAAGATCTTTTACGATAAAATGAAGAATGCATAATAGCATTTATTTGTATCATTCTGAGGGGGTCAACCACGTGACCCATTGCACCTATAACCTCTCACTTTCCTTTGTTCTCCAAAGATCGCGACTATGAGAAATAATACGGTACTTCAATTTTTTTTTCATCCTCCACAATATATATATATAGTTATGTATATAAGTACATTCGAGAAGAATGTAAAACTTACCAAAGCAAACATGGCGAATAAGAAATTATTTCCTCCTTTTAATTAACTTTTGTTATTTGTTTACCGGTCCCTTCCACTCTCCTCAACAAAAAAAAAAAATTTTTTTTATTTATTTATTTTTTTAATTTAAATATCCCGTTCCGCTCCGGCCGACCGGTGGTTCCGTTTGAGTTTCTGGAGAACGGAGACAGTACCATTTATAAGGTAACCCCCGCCACACCCTCCACCATCAGGTGAAACACTATATGGAGGGAGCCCAGATTGTCGATTGGGGCAAACCTCACAATTGTATATAGTGCTCCAGTGTTTTCCTCTCCCCCTCTTTTTTTTTTTTATTGAAATAAATAAAGTGTATTTTACCACACCCGCGTCTGTATAACTCTTGTCTCGATGGCCTCGTGACCTTGACATTTCGTCGAGCATCTCCTGTATATAATAAACTGTATACAGGATCCATTGACCCTCGAGAATTTCCATTGCAGATCGCGAGATTTTCGCCCAAAAAATTGCAATTGTAGTTTCTGTGTTTTTTTATCTTCTTCTTATTTTTATTCTTGATGTTATTTCTTCTTTTTGTTCTTTTATGCTATTGTTCTTATGTTTTTTTTTCATTTTTTCATTTAATAGTTGTTGTTCCTCTTCTTCTTTTTGTTTTTCTTCTTTTTCTTCATTTTGCTATTGTTCCTCTTCTTCGCTTTTGTCCTTGATTTCTTCTTTTATTTCAAGCCGTTGTTATTTTTATTATTTATTTGGTTTTTTCTTCATATTTGTGTTGTTCCTCTTCTTCTTTTTGTTCTAGATTTGTTGTTTTTCTTCTATTTCTTCATTTTGCTGTTGTTTCTCTTCTTCGTTTTGTCCTTGGTTTCTTCTTTTTCTTCAAACCGTTTTTAATTTTTGTTCTTTATTTGGTTTTTTCCTCATTTTGTTGTTGTTCCTCTTCTTTTTGTTCTTTATTTGTTTTTTTCTTCATATTCTTCATTTTGCTATTGCTATTGTTATTTTTATGCTTTATTTGTTTTTTCTTCATTTTGTTGTTCCTCTTCTTCTTTTTGTCCTTGATTTCTTCTTTTATTTCAAGCCACTGTTATTTTTATTATTTATTTGGTTTTTTCTTCATTTTGTTGTTGTTCCTCTTCTTCTTTTTGTTCTAGATTTGTTGTTTTTCTTCTTTTTCTTCATTTTGCTATTGTTCCTCTTCTTCGTTTTGTCTTTGGTTTCTTCTTTTTCTTCAAACCGTTTTTAATTTTTGTTCTTTATTTGGTTTTTTCCTCATTTTGTTGTTGTTTCTCTTCTTCTTTTTGTTCTAGATTTGTTGTTTTTCTTCATATTCTTCATTTTGCTATTGCTATTGTTATTTTTATGCTTTATTTGTTTTTTCTTCATTTTATTGTTCCTCTTCTTCTTTTTGTTCTTAATTTTTTTCTTCATTTTGTTGTTGTTTCTCTTTTTTGTTTTATTCTTGATTTGTTTTTCTTTTTTCTTCATTTTTCTATTTTTTCTCTTCTTCGTTTTGTCCTTTATTTCGTCTTTTTCTTCAAGCCGTTGTTATTTTTATTCTTTATTTGTTTTTTCTTCTTCAATTCTTTGTTCCTCTTCTTCTTTTTGTTCTTGATTTGTTGTTTTTCTTCATTTTCTTGTTGCTTCTCTTCTTGATTTTATCCTTGATTTATTTTTCTTTTTTTCTTCTTCTTGTTTTTGTCCTTGATTTGTTATTTTTCTTTAATTTGTTGTAGTTGTTCTTCTTTTTGTTCTTGATTTGTTGTTTTTCTTCTTTTTCTTTTTGTCCTTGATTTGTTACTTTTCTTCAATTTTTTGTTCCTCTTCTTCTTTTTGTTCGTGATTTGTTATTTTATTCTGATCATTCAAGTTGTTGTTATTGTTCTTGTACTTTTTATTCTTTGTTTTTGTCATTGTTCTTAATAGTTTTGTTGTTCCTCTTCTTGTTTTTGTTCTTAATTTTTTGCTTTTCTTCTTTTGCTTCATGTCATTATTATTATTATTATTTCTTTTCTTCTTTTGTTCTTGATTTATTGTTATTGTTCTTCCTGTACTTTTTACTTTTATTTTGTCATTGATCTTATTGTTTTTGTTGTTCCCCTTCTTATTTTTGTTCTTCGTTTGTTGCTTTTCTTCTTTTTCTTCATGTTGTTATTGTTCTTGATTTCTTGTTATTGTCCATTTTGTGCTTATTTTTTTTCTTGTTCTTCTCGTTTTTGTTGTTCCTCTGCTTTGATTCTTGATTTTGTTGTTCCTCTTCATTTTCACAAAAATAGATTTTTTTGTTTTGAAAATAGAAATATTTTTATTAAAAAAAAAAAAAAACAATTTTTCGTATTTCTTGGTAAATTAAATTCACATTATAAGCGATGACATAAAAAGATGAGAATTAGAATTTTTTCGCATAAATCTGCGCTTCTCACCTTCACATTTTTCTTTATATTCAACCAATAATTTAATCGAAGCAAATTTACATAATTACATTTATCGCGAGCTCTATAACAAAATTTATTTATGTTTGTTTTACTTATTTTATTGAATAAAAATATACATATATTCATTTGATGATTTTACTATTTCATCATTGTATTAATTTCCAGTATAATTGTTTTCATCAATTTTCTTCAATTTTCCTCAATTTTCTTCAATTTTTCTCAATTCTCCTCAATTTTCTTCAATTTTCCTCAAATTTCTTCATTTTTCATCAATTCTTGTAATTTTGCTTATATTTTTATATTTGCATTGTGTTTTTTGTGAAATTTGACAAATAAATTGTTTAAAAAAATCGTTTAATAAACAAATGCAACATAAGTAAAGAATATAAAGAAAAGAAATTTAAAAATGCAATTATAAATAAAATGTACCAGGAACCAGATTAAATTAAAATGCAATTTTCCAAGGCTATTGCAATTTGAAAAATTTTGAAATCAGATTACCGAATGAGAACCTAATAATCACGGATATATATGGCAATGAAATTCCTGCAAATCAATTGTCAGTAATTAAAAATAGACGCGCGTAAAGGATTAATGACACATGAACCTTTTCACCTTTTAAGTGATTCATTATGTCAGCTGTTGTATAAAAATGCATATATATAATAATTATTATTATTATTCATTATCATATCACTGGGTATGATAATGTTAATAATAATAAAAAAAATAATAATAATTAATTATAATAATAAAATATAAAAAAAATAAAATAAATATTAAATAATTAAATAAATAATAATAAAATAGAAGTAATTTATTATTATTATTATTTTTATTATTATTATATAAAAAAAAGTAAAGAGGAATAGTGCAAAAACAGGATTCTGTTTAGTTTGCCCCGAATTTATACCTTATAATTTTTTTCTTCTTTTTTTTTTTTTTAATTATTAATTATCATTTTGCAAAGTATACATGGTTTTTCTAGCCGATTATAAAGGGGCATTATCACGTGGGCGGGATTTGAGAGAGAATCGCAGCTCACCAGCCCTGAACTGTCGACGAGGAATCGCGCTATATGAACGAAGGACAGCGTGCCAACGAGAAAGTATCTTTGCGCCCATTGCTCAGTCTCACGTGTGTCTTGCAATGCGCACAGAATGCACAAGGACATGGTCAGGACCATTGAAGATTTGGAAAAATTATTATTATTATTATTATTATTATTATTATAAATACCAACTCATTGTTCTCATCAATTTTTCATTTTCCAACATTTTTATAAATAATTTTTAATTTAAAAAATTTTAATTAATAAAAATTATTATTATTATTATTATTTTATAAAATTATTAAAAAAAAGAGGAGAATTAAATATCATAATATAGTGTAAATGAAAATAAAAATGTTAAAAAAAGAAAAATGTCATAAAAAAAACATTTTCGCGTGTCAATGATAAAAATTTAATACTAAATAAAAAAAAATGATAATAATGAAGTAAGAGTTGTTATTTATTTTTTTAGTAAAAAAAAAAACATTCAAATGCCAAGCAGTAGTCACTGTATGTCCATTACCAGTGCATTGAATACCATTCGTGCATCAAGATTATATTTGCTTTCGATTATTTGCCCCAACACGAAAAACTAGTTTTCTTTCTCGAAGAGATTGATTACGCAGATGATTGGTTAAATCTATTTCATCTGAGTATATATATATAAATATATAGTTATCGTATGAATTTACAGTTATGACTACTGGGTTTTAATATATATATATATATAATTTGACACGCGCTTTTGTAAGGTGACGACTTGAAGATAAATGATTGAAAAGAAGATGTTAATCGATTTTAAAGAAACTGTCAATAATAGTTATTAAAAAAAAATAGTTGTAATAATTATGGTTACTTTTTGAAACTAATATTGATTCAAACTAATTGAATATTGTTACTATAAGTATTACAACCAGTTACTACTATGGTACCAGTTACGTTGGTACGAAATTAGTTACTATGGTACCAGTTACATTGGTACGAAATTAGTTACTATGGTACCAGTTACATTGGTACCAAATTAGTTACTTTGGTACCAGTTAGTTTGGTACCAATTACTTTGGTACCAGTTACTTTGGTACCAGTTACTTTAGTACCAGTTACTTTGGTACCAGTTACTTTGGTACCAGTTATTTACTTTGGTACCAGTTACTTACTGTGGTACCAGTTACTTACTGTGGTACCAGTAACTATGGTACTAGTTACTATGGTACTAGTTACTATAGTACTAGTTACTATGGTACTAGTTACTATGGTACTAGTTACTATGGTACTAGTTACTATGGTACTAGTTATTTTGGTACCAGTTACTATGGTACTAGTTACTTACTATGGTACCATTTACTTTGGTACCAGTTACTTTGTTACTATTTACTATGGTACTAGTTACTTTGGTTCTAGTTATGTTGGTACCAATTACTTTGGTACCAGTGATTATAGTACTAGTAACTTTGGTACCAGTTACTTACTAAGGTACCAGTAACTATGGTACCAGTAACTATGGTACCAATAACTATGGTACTAGATACTATAGTACTAGTTAATATGGTACCAGTTACTTTGGTACCAGTTACTTACTATGGTACCAGTAACTATGGTACTAGTTACTTTGGTACCAGTTACTTTGGTACTAGTTACATTGGTACCAGTTACTATGGTACTAGTTACTGTGGTACTAGTTAATATGGTACCAGTTAGCT